AGAGACACCACAACACTACATAAAGAGAGACGCCACAACACTACATAGAGAGACACCACAACACTACATAAAGAGAGACACCACAACACTACATAAAGAGAGAGACACCACAACACTACATAAAGAGAGACGCCACAACACTACATAAAGAGAGACACCACAACACTACATAAAGAGAGACACCACCACACTACATAAAGAGAGACACCACAACACTACATAAAGAGACACCACAACACTACATAAAGAGAGACACCACAACACTACATAAAGAGAGACACCACAACACTACATAAAGAGAGACACCACAACACTACATAAAGAGAGACACCACAACACTACATAAAGAGAGACACCACAACACTACATAAAGAGAGACACCACAACACTACATAAAGAGAGACACCACAACACTACATAAAGAGAGACGCCACAACACTACATAAAGAGAGACACCACAACACTACATAAAGAGAGACGCCACAAACACTACATAAAGAGAGACGCCACAACACTACATAAAGAGACACCACAACACTACATAAAGAGAGACACCACAACACTACATAAAGAGAGACACCACAACACTACATAAAGAGACACCACAACACTACATAAAGAGAGACACCACAACACTACATAAAGAGAGACACCACAACACTACATAAAGAGAGACACCACAACACTACATAAAGAGAGACACCACAACACTACATAAAGAGAGACACCACAACACTACATAAAGAGAGACGCCACAACACTACATAAAGAGAGACGCCACAACACTACATAAAGAGAGACGCCACAAACACTACATAAAGAGAGACACCACAACACTACATAAAGAGAGACACCACAACACTACATAAAGAGACACCACAACACTACATAAAGAGAGACACCACAACACTACCTAAAGAGAGACGCCACAACACTACATAAAGAGAGACGCCACAACACTACATAAAGAGAGACGCCACAACACTACATAAAGAGAGACGCCACAACACTACATAAAGAGAGACACCACAACACTACATAAAGAGAGACACCACAACACTACATAAAGAGAGACACCACAACACTACATAAAGAGAGACGCCACAACACTACATAAAGAGAGACACCACAACACTACATAAAGAGAGACACCACAACACTACATAAAGAGAGACGCCACAACACTACATAAAGAGAGACACCACAACACTACATAAAGAGAGACACCACAACACTACATAAAGAGAGACGCCACAACACTACATAAAGAGAGACGCCACAACACTACATAAAGAGAGACGCCACAACACTACATAAAGAGAGACACCACAACACTACATAAAGAGAGACACCACAACACTACATAAAGAGAGACGCCACAACACTACATAAAGAGAGACGCCACAACACTACATAAAGAGAGACACCACAACACTACATAAAGAGAGACACCACAACACTACATAAAGAGAGACGCCACAACACTACATAAAGAGAGACACCACAACACTACATAAAGAGAGACACCACAACACTACATAAAGAGAGACGCCACAACACTACATAAAGAGAGACGCCACAACACTACATAAAGAGAGACACCACAACACTACATAAAGAGAGACACCACAACACTACATAAAGAGAGACCTAAGACAACAACACAGCATGGCAGCAACATGACAACACAGCATGGTAGCAACACCACATGGCAACAACATGGCAGCAGCACAACATGGTAGCAACACAACATGGTAGCAGCACAACATGGTAGCAACACAACATGGTAGCAGCACAACATGGCAGCAGCACAACATGGCAGCAGCACAACATGGCAGCAGCACAACATGGTAGCAGCACAACATGGTAGCAACACAACATGGTAGCAGCACAACATGGCAGCACAACATGGTAGCAACACCACATGGCAACAACATGGCAGCAGCACAACATGGTAGCAACACAACATGGTAGCAGCACAACATGGTAGCAGCACAACATGGTAGCAACACAACATGGTAGCAGCACAACATAGCAGCACAACATGGTAGCAGCACAACATGGTAGCAGCACAACATGGTAGCAACACAGCATGGTAGCAACACAACATGGTAGCAGCACAACATGGTAGCAGCACAACATGGTAGCAGCACAGCATGGTAGCAACACAGCATGGTAGCAGCACAACATGGTAGCAGCACAACATGGTAGCAACACAGCATGGTAGCAACACAGCATGGTAGCAACACAACATGGCAGCAGCACAACATGGTAGCAGCACAACATGGTAGCAGCACAACATGGTAGCAGCACAAAACATGGTACAAACATTATTGGGCAACAGACAACAGAACAAAGGGCAAGAAGGTAGAGACAACAATACATCACGCGAAGCAGCCACAACTGTCAGTCAGAGTGTCCATGATGGAGTCTTTGAATGAAGAGATGGAGATAAAACTGTCCAGATTGAGTGTTTTTTTCAGCTCGTTCCAGTCGCTAGCTGCAGCGAACTGAAAAGAGGAGCGACCCAGGGATGTGTGTGCTTTGGGGACCTTTAACAGAATGTGCCTGGCAGAACGGGTGTTGTATGTGGAGGATGAGGGCTGCAGTAGGTATCTCAGATAGGGGGGAGTGAGGCCTAAGAGGGTTTTATAAATAAGCATCAACCAGTGGGTCTTGCGTCGGGTATACAGAGATGACCAGTTTACAGAGGAGTATAGAGTGCAGTGATGTGTCCTATAAGGAGCATTGGTGGCAAATCTGATGGCCGAATGGTAAAAAACATCTAGCCGCTCGAGAGCACCCTTACCTGCTGATCTATAAATTACGTCTCCGTAATCTAGCATGGGTAGGAGGGTCATCTGAATCAGGGTTAGTTTGGCAGCTGGGGTGAAAGAGGAGTGATTACGATAGAGGAAACCAAGTCTAGATTTAACCTCAGCCTGCAGCTTTGATATGTGCTGAGAGAAGGACAGTGGACCGTCTGGCCGTACTCCCAAGGACTCGTATGAGGTGACTACCTCAAGCTCTAAACCCTCAGAGGTAGTAATCACACCGGTGGGGAGAGGGAGGGGCATTCTTCTTACCAAACCACATGACCTTTGTTTTGGAGGTGTTCAGAACAAGGTTAAGGGCAGAGAAAGCTTGTTGGACACTAAGAAAGCTTTGTTGTAGAGCGTTTAACACAACATCTGAGGAGGGGCCAGCTGAGTATAAGACTGTATCATCTGCATATAACTGGATGAGAGAGCTTCCTACTGCCTGAGCTGTGAGCTTCCTACTGCCTGAGCTGTGAGCTTCCTACTGCCTGAGCTGTGAGCTTCCTACTGCCTGAGCTGTGTTGTTGATGTAAATTGAGAAGAGCGTGGGGCCTAGGATCGAGCCTTGGGGTACTCCCTTGGTGACAAGCAAGATATCCTTCAGAAATAATTAAACTAAATATGGAATAACAAGCATGGGTTGTTAATATGACTAGGATTGTGTCTTTGGCTGCTGGACAACGGAAGAAAGTTGAGAACATAATACTGGTTTCAATGAGGAAGTATTTATAAAAGAATCCCCTTAATATTCCTACGATTGGAACACGGTAAGACATGCCTCATAAAATGACAAACTTCCAGGTTTTAAAGAATTACGTTTATGGTTAAACAGTTTCAAAATGTGGACTGACTCAGCTCAAGGTTGCAAGGTGGGTGATGTTGCAGTGCGCAACAGGTACTGGCCTTTCTGTCTTGTCGGAACGAACAGTGCCTAAAGTATGGCGACAGAATCAAGCCTTTATACATCAGTAATGTTATTTGTCAAACATGACTGGCGTTTGGCCTATACTCTACATGACCAAAAGTATGTGGACACCTGCTCGTCGAATATCTCATTCCAACATCATGGGCATTAATATGGAGTTGGTCCCCCCTTTGCTGCTATAACAACCTCCACTCTTCTGGGAAGGCTTTCCACTAGATGTTGGAAGATTGTTGTGGGGACTTGCTTCCATTCAGCCACAAGACCATTAGTGAGGTGGGGCACTGATGTTGGGCGATTAGGCCTGGCTCGCAGTCAGCGTTCCAATTCATCCCAAAGGTGTTCGATGGGGTTGAGGTCAGGGCTCTGTGCAGGCCAGTCAAGTTCTTCCACACCGATCTCGACAAACCATTTCTGTATGGACCTTGCTTTGTGCACGGGGGCATTGTCATGCTGAAACAGGAAAGGGCCTTCCCCAAACCTTTGCCACAAAGTTGGAAGCACAGAATCGTCTAGAATGTCATTGTATGCTGTAGCTTTAAGATTTCCCTTCACTGGAACTAAGGGGCCTGAGCCATGAAAAACAGCCCCAGACCATTATTTGTCTACCAAACTTTACAGTTGGCACTATGCATTGGGGCAGGTGGCGTTCTCCTGGCATCCGCCAAAAAACTCAGATTAGTCCGTCGGACTGCCAGATGGTGAAGCGTGATTCATCACTCTAGAAAACGCGTTTCCACTGCTCCAGAGTCCAATGGTGGCGAGCTTTACACCACTCCAGCCGACGCTTGGCATTGCTCATGGTGATCTTAGGCTTGTGTGCGGCTGCTTGGCCATGGAAACCCATTTCATGAAACTCCAGACGAAGAGTTATTGTGCTGACGTTGCTTCAGAGGCAGTTTGGAACTTTGTAGTGAGTATTTGTATTTATTATGGATCCCCATTAGTTCCTGCCAAGGCAGCAGCTACTCTTCCTGGGGTCCAGCAAAATTAAAGCAGTTCATACAATTTTAAAACATTACAATATATTCATAACAGATTTCACAACACACTGTGTGCCCTCAGGCCCCTACTCCACTACTACATATCTACAATACAATATTATATATTTAGTAATATTGTGTACGAGTGTGTATATTGTTTTTTCGGTTTTCAAATTAATTTAATTGCAGGCCTGCTTCCAACCAGAATTTCTGGAAGTCCCATTTTAAAGGAATTGACTCTTATAATCCCTTTCTCTCTGTGCTTTACCTCCAGGGAAGAAAGTGGTGGACATCGCAGTCGGCTCCACCCACTGTCTGGCTCTGACTGATGAAGGAGAGGTCCACAGCTGGGGCAGTAACGACAAGCTGCAGCACTTTGATACTCTGTTCTCTAACAAGAAGCAGCCCAAGGCGCTGCCTGGCCTCAACTCCAAACACATAGTGGGCATCTCCTGTGGGCCAGGCCAGGTAAGACTAACAGAATAATGTAAGGTTTAGGTATAAGGCGTATAGAAACTACAAAGGATAACCTTTGCTATAAAGCAGGGATGGACAGCTTTGATGGGGGTGGGGCAACAAAACATCTGAAACAATCATGAGGGACCGCAGTGGGTCCGGGTCAGAGCCGGTCCTAGCCTTTTGGGGGCATGTCATGCCAAAAAGTGTCCCCCCCCTGCCAAAAAGTGTCCCCCCCCCCATGCGTCACAATTGGATTCGAGAAGCTATTAGCGTCCGTTGCTATATCAATGTGTGACGATCTAATGCGTCGAATTCTGGAGATCATTACAGCCAAAATGACATTATTTTCATCCCTGCTATGTAAACGAAGCTTCTTTCTGCGACAATTTCGCTGATTAAGGTGAAAACATTACTTTGAACTACTTTTGGGTACCTTTAACATTTCAACAACATAAAAAATTATGTCTTAAACTGTTCTTAGTTTTCTAAATAGCAAAGAAAATGCGTAAACTGCACATGAGCTTACCTTTCAGATTGCAAAGTGAGCTCCCATGAAGCTAATAACACTTAATTAATGTGCAAATCAGTTCCTGTCATACACTGGCTCCTCTGGCTGCCATATAGTTATTTTGAGCTTGTCTTGACTTAATATGCTGTTGGTCCTATTCTGATTCTTTCCCCCGAGTTCCTCGTGTAATTGGCTCAGGAATACAGCAGTATACTCGTGGTTGAATATAGTGCAGGACACAACACTGTTGAATAATGTTGAACTCACAAAAAGGGATTTACAACAATTAATTAAATGAACACCCTGTGGGAAAAAATACAACCTGGCAAAGATTAAAACATGAAAAAGTTGTTTTTTTGTGGAACAGGTGTGTCATGAACTTGTTGATTATATTTAATATACCCACATGTCAGTTATAGACTGAAATACATGAGTATAGGCTAACATCAACACATCAACAATAAAATACAATTTAGTTGAGAAAACAGAAGTATGAATGATAAGTAAAGTACATAATATGAGAGAGGGGGGCAGTCTTGGCAGAAGTAGGGTATGGGTGATGTTTTTAAAATCTCAGCTCTGGCTGTGGGATAGAGAAGAGGTGGGTTCTACAGGGGTTCTGCCACAGGCAGCCTGAGGTGGGTTCTACAGGGGGTTCTGCCACAGGCAGCCAGAGGTGGGTTCTACAGGGGGTTCTGCCACAGGCAGCCAGAGGTGGGTTCTACAGGGGGTTCTGCCACAGGCAGCCAGAGGTGTGTTCTACAGGGGGTTCTGCCACAGGCAGCCAGAGGTGGGTTCTACAGGGGGTTCTGCCACAGGCATCCAGAGGTGGGTTCTACAGGGGGCTCTGCCAGTCACCTCCCCTCCGCAGGCAGCCAGAGGTGGGTTCTACAGGGGGTTCTGCCACAGGCAGCCAGAGGTGGGTTCTACAGGGGGTTCTGCCAGTCACCTCCCCTCCGCAGGCAGCCAGAGGTGGGTTCTACAGGGGGTTCTGCCACAGGCAGCCAGAGGTGGGTTCTACAGGGGGTTCTGCCACAGGCAGCCAGAGGTGGGTTCTACAGGGGGTTCTGCCACAGGCAGCCAGAGGTGGGTTCTACAGGGGGTTCTGCCAGTCACGTCCCCTCCGCAGGCAGCCAGAGGTGGGTTCTACAGGGGGTTCTGCCACAGGCAGCCAGAGGTGGGTTCTACAGGGGGTTCTGCCACAGGCAGCCAGAGGCGGGTTCTACAGGGGGTTCTGCCAGTCACGTCCCCTCCGCAGGCAGCCAGAGGTGGGTTCTACAGGGGGTTCTGCCACAGGCAGCCAGAGGTGGGTTCTACAGGGGGTTCTGCCAGTCACCTCCCCTCCGCAGGCAGCCAGAGGTGGGTTCTACAGGGGGTTCTGCCACAGGCAGCCAGAGGTGGGTTCTACAGGGGGTTCTGCCACAGGCAGCCAGAGGTGGGTTCTACAGGGGGTTCTGCCAGTCACGTCCCCTCCGCAGGCAGCCAGAGGTGGGTTCTACAGGGGGTTCTGCCACAGGCAGCCAGAGGTGGGTTCTACAGGGGGTTCTGCCAGTCACGTCCCCTCCGCAGGCAGCCAGTCTCAGAAGGTGGACTTGAAAAGGGAGACTGTAAAGCTGTTCTCGTTGCTCTTGGAGTGTTGGCAGTGCTAGTGTATGTAGCGCATCTGTGTATCTCACTGTGCCCAGGATGATATGTCAAGCACAGGTCCTTAGCAGATTAGATCAAACCCCTTGACATTAACCTCAGCTGGAGATAATGAAATGAAAAGTGGGATCTTGGAGGGTGGTTGATCGTGGAGGACATCAGGTTGGTCCAGGTCTGGGGAAGGGATACGGTAGGAGTCTCAGAGCATGACAGAACCCCTAGAGGACATCAGGTGGATCCTGGAGAACAGGAGCAGAGTCTAAGGGAAAGGATACAGGTAGATCAGGAGAAAACACACAGGTTACAAGGGAAAGGATACAGGTAGATCAGGAGAAAACACTCAGGTTACAGGTAGATCAGGAGAAAACACACAGGTCACAGGTAGATCAGGAGAAAACACACAGGTTACAGGTAGATCAGGAGAAAACACACAGGTTACAGGTAGATCAGGAGAAAACACACAGGTTACAGGTAGATCAGGAGAAAACACACAGGTTACAGGTAGATCAGGAGAAAACACACAGGTTACAGGTAGATCAGGAGAAAACACACAGGTTACAGGTAGATCCAGGCCAGGTTGAATTGTCCCCATATTGCTTACGCCTACCCAATCCACTCAGGTCTAGGGTGTAAGGGCTAGGGGTTGATTTGGAATTCAGGGATAAGCTCTTCCTTTTTTGGGTGTATTTTACCCCCTTTTTCTCCCCAATTTCGAGGTATCCAATTTGAAGTTAGTCTTGTCCTATCGCTGCAACTCCCGTACGGACACGGGAGAGGCGAAGGTCGAGAGTCGTGCGTCCTCCGAAACACAACCCAACCGAGCTGCACAGCTTCTTGACACAGTGCCCGCTTAACCTGGAAGCACCCGGAAGCCAGCCATACCAATGTCTTAACCCGGAAGCCAGCCGTACCAATGGCTTAACCCGGAAGCCAGCCGTACCAATGTCTTAACCCGGAAGCCAGCCGTACCAATGTCTTAACCCGGAAGCCAGCCGTACCAATGTCTTAACCCGGAAGCCAGCCGTACCAATGTCTTAACCCGGAAGCCAGCCGTACCAATGTGCCGGAGTCAGCGTGCGCCCAGCCCGCCACAGGAGTCGCTAGTGTGCGATGGGACAAGAACATTCCCGCCGCCCCATGGGTCTCCCTGTCGCGGCCGGCTGCGACAGAGCCTGGACTCGAACCAGGATCTCTAGTGGCACAGCTAGCACTGCGATGTAGTGTGGGGGGGGGTACCTGTATCAGACAGGGGGAGACAGGGGGAGACAGGGGGAGACGGGCCGGGGGAGACAGGGGGAGACGGGCCAGAGCAGACAGGGGGAGACAGGGGGAGACAGGCCAGGGCAGACAGGGGGAGACGGGCCGGGGGAGACAGGGGGAGACGGGCCAGAGCAGACAGGGGGAGACAGGGGGAGACAGGCCAGGGCAGACAGGGGGAGACGGGCCAGGGCAGACAGGGGGAGACGGGCCAGGGCAGACAGGGGGAGACGGGCCAGGGCAGACAGGGGGAGACGGGCCAGGGCAGACAGGGGGAGACGGGCCAGGGCAGACAGGGGGAGACAGGGGGAGACGGGCCAGGGCAGACAGGGGGAGACAGGCCAGGGCAGACGGGGGAGACGGGCAGGTGTAGACAGGCCAGGGCAGACGGGGGAGACAGGGGGAGACGGGCCAGGGCAGACAGGGGGAGACAGGCCAGGGCAGACGGGGGAGACGGGCAGGGGGAGACAGGCCAGGGCAGACGGGGGAGACAGGGGGAGACGGGCCAGGGCAGACAGGGGGAGACAGGGGGAGACGGGCCAGGGCAGACAGGGGGAGACAGGGGGAGACGGGCCGGGGCAGACAGGGGGAGACAGGCCAGGGCAGACGGGGGAGACAGGGGGAGACGGGCCAGGGCAGACAGGGGGAGACAGGGGGAGACGGGCCGGGGCAGACGGGGAGACAGGCCAGGGCAGACGGGGAACAGATCGCCAGGTGGAATCCAAGCAGCAGTGCAGCAGGCAACAGGAATAGGTGTCACACCCGCTTGGGAGAAGCTTTTTATCGGGAGGCAGATTCCTTGTAGAAAATCCCAGCTAGCTAGCTAACGTAGCCGCTCGGTGATGCAAACAACGCATTTCATCCAGAACCGTCCACTGACCACGAATACACCCTCAGACGGGGTAAAACAGGCGCAGACACAGGATACACCCTCAGACGGGGTAAAACAGGCGCAGACACAGGATACACCCTCAGACGTGGGTAAAACAGGCGCAGACACAGGATACACCCTCAGACGGGGTAAAACAGGCGCAGACACAGGATACACCCTCAGACGGGGTAAAACAGGCGCAGACACAGGTCGGTAAATAAGTCACACGGTGGGTTTATATGAAAGGTTGCCTCTCTCGAGCTGTTTTCACGCTAGGTGCAACGCATCATCCCTTTGGTAAACGCGTAAACGCGGTTTTGTTTGGTTATTACTGCAGTGGGATTGTAACGTGCGGCCCGGGCCGTCGTATTCATTTATTAGTGGATGACGAGTTGCAGTCATACGAGTCATTTTGGTTATAAGTTACCTCTTATTCTGTGTATTATATTCATTTACAGGACTATAGCACGTTAGTGGGCCTTTACAGGACTATAGCACGTTAGTGGGCCTTTACAGGACTATAGCACGTTAGTGGGCCTTTACAGGACTATAGCACGTTAGTGGGCCTTTACAGGACTATAGCACGTTAGTGGGCCTTTTCAGGACTATAGCACGTTAGTGGGCCTTTCAGGACTATAGCACGTTATGTGGGCCTTTTACAGGACTATAGCACGTTAGTGGGGGGCCTTTTCAGGACTATAGCACGTTAGTTGGGCCTTTTCAGGACTATAGCACGTTAGTGGGCCTTTACCAGGACTATAGCACGTTAGTGGGGCCTTTACAGGACTATAGCACGTTAGTGGGCCTTTACAGGACTATAGCACGTTAGTGGGCCTTTTCAGGACTATAGCACGTTAGTGGGCCTTTTCAGGACTATAGCACGTTAGTGGGCCTTTACAGGACTATAGCACGTTAGTGGGCCTTTACAGGACTATAGCACGTTAGTGGGCCTTTACAGGACTATAGCACGTTAGTGGGCCTTTTCAGGACTATAGCACGTAGTGGGCCTTTAACAGGACTATAGCACGTTAGTGGGCCTTTTCAGGACTTATAGCACGTTAATGGGCCTTTACAGGACTATAGCCGTTAGTGGGCCTTTACAGGACTATAGCACGTTTAGATGGGCCTTTACAGGACTATAGCACGTTAGTGGGCCTTTAACAGGACTATAGCACGTTAGTGGGCCTTTTCAGGACTATAGCACGTTAGTGGGCCTTTACAGGACTATAGCACGTTAGTGGGCCTTTTCAGGACTATAGCACGTTAGTGGGCCTTTTACAGACTATAGCACGTTAGTGGGCCTTTTCAGGACTATAGCACGTTAGTGGGGCCTTTACAGGACTATAGCACGTTAGTGGGCCTTTACAGGACTATAGCACGTTAGTGGGCCTTTCAGGACTATAGCACGTTAGTGGGGCCTTTACAGGACTATAGCACGTTAGTGGGCCTTTTCTGGACTATAGCACGTTAGTGGGCCTTTACAGGACTATAGCACGTTAGTGGGCCTTTACAGGACTATAGCACGTTAGTGGGGCCTTTTCAGGACTATAGCACGTTAGTGGGCCTTTTCAGGACTATAGCACGTTAGTGGGCCTTTTCAGGACTATAGCACGTTAGTGGGCCTTTTCAGGACTATAGCACGTTAGTGGGCCTTTACAGGACTATAGCACGTTAGTGGGCCTTTACAGGACTATAGCACGTTAGTGGGCCTTTTCAGGACTATAGCACGTTAGTGGGCCTTTTCAGGACTATAGCACGTTAGTGGGCCTTTACAGGACTATAGCACGTTAGTGGGCCTTTACAGGACTATAGCACGTTAGTGGGCCTTTACAGGACTATAGCACGTTAGTGGGCCTTTTCAGGACTATAGCACGTTAGTGGGCCTTTACAGGACTATAGCACGTTAGTGGGCCTTTACAGGACTATAGCACGTTAGTGGGCCTTTTCAGGACTATAGCACGTTAGTGGGCCTTTTCAGGACTATAGCACGTTAGTGGGCCTTTTCAGGACTATAGCACGTTAGTGGGCCTTTACAGGACTATAGCACGTTAGTGGGCCTTTACAGGACTATGGCACGTTAGTGGGCCTTTACAGGACTATAGCACGTTAGTGGGCCTTTACAGGACTATAGCACGTTAGTGGGCCTTTACAGGACTATAGCACGTTAGTGGGCCTTTCAGGACTATAGCACGTTAGTGGGCCTTTTCAGGACTATAGCACGTTAGTGGGCCTTTACAGGACTATAGCACGTTAGTGGGCCTTTACAGGACTATAGCACGTTAGTGGGCCTTTACAGGACTATAGCACGTTAGTGGGCCTTTTCAGACTATAGCACGTTAGTGGGCCTTTTCAGGACTATAGCACGTTAGTGGGCCTTTTCAGGACTATAGCACGTTAGTGGGCCTTTCAGGACATAGCACGTTAGTGGGCCTTTACAGGACTATAGCACGTTAGTGGGCCTTTCAGGACTATAGCACGTTAGTGGGCCTTTACAGGACTATAGCACGTTAGTGGGCCTTTACAGGACTATAGCACGTTAGTGGGCCTTTACAGGACTATAGCACGTTAGTGGGCCTTTACAGGACTATAGCACGTTAGTGGGCCTTTCAGGACTATAGCACGTTAGTGGGCCTTTCAGGACTATAGCACGTTAGTGGGCCTTTACAGGACTATAGCACGTTAGTGGGCCTTTCAGGACTATAGCACGTTAGTGGGCCTTTCAGGACTATAGCACGTTAGTGGGCCTTTTCAGGACTATAGCACGTTAGTGGGCCTTTTCAGGACTATAGCACGTTAGTGGGCCTTTCAGGACTATAGCACGTTAGTGGGCCTTTTCAGGACTATAGCACGTTAGTGGGCCTTTACAGGACTATAGCACGTTAGTGGGCCTTTACAGGACTATAGCACGTTAGTGGGCCTTTACAGGACTATAGCACGTTAGTGGGCCTTTTCAGGACTATAGCACGTTAGTGGGCCTTTTCAGGACTATAGCACGTTAGTGGGCCTTTACAGGACTATAGCACGTTAGTGGGCCTTTACAGGACTATAGCACGTTAGTGGGCCTTTACAGGACTATGCACGTTAGTGGCCTTTACAGGACTATAGCACGTTAGTGGGCCTTTCAGGACTATAGCACGTTAGTGGGCCTTTTCAGGACTATAGCACGTTAGTGGGCCTTTCAGGACTATAGCACGTTAGTGGGCCTTTACAGGACTATAGCACGTTAGTGGGCCTTTACAGGACTATAGCACGTTAGTGGGCCTTTACAGGACTATAGCACGTTAGTGGGCCTTTTACAGGACTATAGCACTTAGTGGGCCTTTCAGGACTATAGCACGTTAGTGGGCCTTTTCAGGACTATAGCACGTTAGTGGGCCTTTACAGGACTATAGCACGTTAGTGGGCCTTTACAGGACTATAGCACGTTAGTGGGCCTTTACAGGACTATAGCACGTTAGTGGGCCTTTTCAGGACTATAGCACGTTAGTGGGGCCTTTTCAGGACTATAGCACGTTAGTGGGCCTTTACAGGACTATAGCACGTTAGTGGGCCTTTACAGGACTATAGCACGTTAGTGGGCCTTTACAGGACTATAGCACGTTAGTGGGCCTTTACCAGGACTATAGCACGTTAGTGGGCCTTTACAGGACTATAGCACGTTAGTGGGCCTTACAGGACTATAGCACGTTAGTGGGCCTTTACAGGACTATAGCACGTTAGTGGGCCTTTACAGGACTATAGACGTTAGTGGGCCTTTACAGGACTATAGCCCGTTAAGTGGGCCTTTACAGGACTATAGCACGTTAGTGGGCCTTTTCAGGACTATAGCACGTTAGTGGGCCTTTACAGGACTATAGCACGTTAGTGGGCCTTTTCAGGACTATAGCACGTTAGTGGGCCTTTACAGGAACTATGGCACGTTAGTGGGGCCTTTACATGGACCTATAGAGCACGTTAGTGGGCCTTTACAGGACTATAGCACGTTAGTGGGCCTTTTTCAGGACTATAGCACGTTAGTGGGCCTTTTCAGGACTATAGCACGTTAGTGGGCCTTACAGGACTATAGCACGTTAGTGGGCCTTTACAGGACTATAGCACGTTAGTGGGCCTTTACAGGACTATAGCACGTTAGTGGGCCTTTTCAGGACTATAGCACGTTAGTGGGCCTTTTCAGGACTATAGCACGTTAGTGGGCCTTTACAGGACTATAGCACGTTAGTGGGCCTTTACAGGACTATAGCACGTTAGTGGGCCTTTACAGGACTATAGCACGTTAGTGGGCCTTTACAGGACTATAGCACGTTAGTGGGCCTTTTCAGGACTATAGCACGTTAGTGGGCCTTTTCAGGACTATAGCACGTTAGTGGGCCTTTACAGGACTATAGCACGTTAGTGGGCCTTTTCAGGACTATAGCACGTTAGTGGGCCTTTTCAGGACTATAGCACGTTAGTGGGCCTTTTCAGGACTATAGCACGTTAGTGGGCCTTTTCAGGACTATAGCACGTTAGTGGGCCTTTACAGGACTATAGCACGTTAGTGGGCCTTTTCAGAGAATGAGTAATTATTAGTTGGTCAAGATGGTGCCGGAGAGTTCCATTGGAACCCTTTCCTAGGTCCTGATAGGAATTAGTTATATTCCATCCATTCAGTCATTCGTAATACCCTAGTCATTAATGTGCTACTACTGCCACCTAGTGGTGCTCTTTATGTAGTGTTGTGGTGTCTCTCTAGTTGTGATGTGTGTTTTGTACTATATTTTTTAATCCCAGCCCCCGTCCCAACAGGAGGCCTTTTGGTAGGCCGTCATTGTAAATAAGAATGTGTTCTTAACTGACTTGCCTCGTTAAATAAAGGTTAAATAAAGATAAAAAGTAGTTTGACAGAGGTCCACACCACGGCAGCCTGGTATGGAACAAGAAAAACCAAGGATAAACTACTCATCATGAAGTAATTCAGCAAGAAATCAATTGATTTACATTCGTACATTTTTTATTTTTTATTTATTTTTATTTCACCTTTATTTAACCAGGTAAGCCAGTTGAGAACAAGTTCTCATTTACAACTGCGACCTGGCCAAGATAAAGCAAAGCAGTGCGATAAAAACAACAACACAGAGTTACACATGGGGTAAAACAAAACGTACAGTCAAAAACACTATAGAAAATCTATATACAGTGTGTGCAAATGTAGTAAGTTATGGAGGTAAGGCAATAAATAGGCCATAGTTCAAAATAATTACAATTTAGTATTAACACTGGAATGATAGATGTACAAGAGATGATGTGCAAATAGAGATACTGGGGTGCAAATGAGCAAAATAAATAACAATATGGGGATGAGGTAGTTGGGTGGGCTAATTTAAGATGGGCTGTGTACAGGTGCAGTGATCGGTAAGCTGCTCTGACAACTGATGCTTAAAGTTAGTGAGGGAGATAAGAGTCTCCAGCTTCAGAGATTTTTGCAGTTCGTTCCAGTCATTGGCAGCAGAGAACTGGAAGGAATGGTGGCCAAAGGAGGTGTTGGCTTTGGGGATGACCAGTGAGATATACCTGCTGGAGCGCATACTACGGGTGGGTGTTGCTATGGTGACCAATGAGCTAAGATAAGGGATTTATAGATGACCTGGAGCCAGTGGGTTTGGCGACGAATATGTAGTGAGGACCAGCCAACGAGAGCGTACAGGTCACAGTGGTGGGTAGTACATTGGTATTCAATAGGTACTGTTATTGCTAAAATAACCTCACTGCAACAGTGTTTCCAGAGATCTACTAATACAGGTCCTTCCCCTTATGCATTTCCCATACGCCTGAATAGGCCTCTAGTCTGAAACCAGCCTCTCTAATGGTAGACCCAGGTACAATCTGATCACTCATGATGACCAGAAGATTAATTCATGGAGTTCACCTTTTCCCCATAGCATTTTACAGCTGATATAGCACTTGTCATAACACTTGTCGTAGGCTACTTACGATAATAGATAGCTATTTAAATCATCTTAATTTCTACAAACACAAATAATACAATACAAAACAAAGCTCAGCATAGCTAGCTAGCTAAATAAAGAGATTTGGAAAAATTGTCTTACCTCAGTGTTTGCATCCATCGTTTGAGTATCCATGCTTGCTTGCTTGCAGCATGCTCATGCTAGCAAAATCAAGGATTGCAATCAAGTTTTGCAAGCAAACATCAATGACCATGCATGGATCATGTTTTGTACTTTATCCACCAATAATCAGTGAGATTTAACGCTAAAATATATCTTAAATAGCATAAAGAACCTGTAACAATGATCGCACTTTCCTTGCTAACGGCCCTAGCAACAGACACTAATAGCTTCTCGAATCCCATTGTGACGCAGGGGGGGGACGACACTTTTTGACAGGGGGACACTATTTGGCATGACAGGCCCGAAGGCACATTTTTGTTGCCCCCCCCCCCCCAGCTTGCGAGCAAAACGTTTTGCCTGGTCTTTATACACAGTGGTCAGTGGGGCAGCGCGTGGTCGTCTAGTATCTGTCCAGTGATGTCTAATACAGTCCTAAAATGGCCATAATATAGTCCTAAGTCAGTTGTACAACTGAATGCATTCAACTGAAATCCTAATATAGTCCTTATGGGTGACAACTGTCTTATGTCTAATTGTCCTGTTCAGAGCGTTCTGTGGGGCAGCGCGTGGTCCTCCTGTTCAGAGCGTTCTGTGGGGCAGCGCGTGGTCCTCCTGTTCAGAGCGTTCTGTGGGGCAGCGCGTGGTCCTCCTGTTCAGAGCGTTCTGTGGGGCAGCGCGTGGTCCTCCTGGTCAGAGCGTTCTGTGGGGCAGCGCGTGGTCCTCCTGTTCAGAGCGTTCTGTGGGGCAGCGCGTGGTCCTCCTGTTCAGAGCGTTCTGTGGGGCAGCGCGTGGTCCTCCTGTTCAGAGTGTTCTGTGGGGCAGCGCGTGGTCGTCCTGTTCAGAGCGTTCTGTGGGGCAGCGCGTGGTCGTCCTGTTCAGAGCGTTCTGTGGGGCAGCGCGTGGTCCTCCTGTTCAGAGCGTTCTGTGGGGCAGCGCGTGGTCGTCCTGTTCAGAGTGGACTGTGGGGCAGCGCGTGGTCGTCTAGTATCTGTCCATTGTTTTAACGGGGGACACCTGTCTGTTTTCTGCTGGTCTTGTGTCTCTAGAGCTTTGCGTGGTCGTCCTGTTCAGAGTGGACTGTGGGGCAGCGCGTGCCCTTCGTAGTGGACGTGTGCCCTGTGACCTTTGAGCAGCTGGATCTGCTCTTGCGGCAGGTGAGCGAGGGCATGGACGGCTCTTCTGATTGGCCCCCGCCGCAGGAGAAGGAGTGCATGGTGGTGGCCTCACTCAACCTGCTCAGGCTACAGGTAAGGAGGCTTTTTACATTCAATGGTGTATTTAAACTATTCTTTGTTTTAAAACATTACAATATGATATTGTAGTTGATGTTTTTGTAGATCGTCCTGGATGACTTGATGTATTTCAAATGGTTTTCTACAGACTTGAGAATGTTTAGTCTGATGTTTGTTTATTGGTCTGTAGCTCCATGCAGCCATCAGTAACCAGGTGGACCCTGAGGAGCTGGGTCTGGGTCTGGGCAGCGGGCTGCTCAACAACCTGAAGCAGACCGTGGTGACGCTAGCCTCCAACGCTGGAGTCCTCAACACGGTCCAGTCAGCCGCCCAGGCCGTGCTGCAGAGCGGCTGGTCAGTGCTGCTTCCCACTGCGGAGGAGAGGGCTAGGGCACTGTCCTCACTACTACCCAACACAGGTCAGTTCGCCTCTTAGCAGACACTTTTATCTAAAGTGTATGATCCACGAGGGAATTAAACCCACAACCTTGAATTCTCGAGTGGGGTAAGCAGAAAGAATGGTTTGCTGGAGTAAAGAGTTGTTGTTATTTGTCTTGTGTTCTGAGGTGCTCAGTGGTCTCTGTGTCTGTCTGTCCTCAGTATCTGGTAACGAGATGAGCGTCAGTCCTGGACGTCGCTTCATGATCGACCTGTTGGTCAGCAGTCTGATGGCTGACGGAGGGCTGGAGTCTGCTCTCAATGCTGCCATCACAGCTGAGCTACAGGTAGGGGACACCTGGGCTGAGTCCCAAATTAACCTGTTTAGGGCACTACTTTTCACCACGGCCTTTAGAGCTCCAGTCAAGTGTAGTGCACTATATATAGGAAATAGGGTGCCATTTGGGACTCACACACAGTGTTTAATGCTCTGAACACAGCCATCATAGCTGGGATCCAGGTCAGTGTGGTTATGCTCTGAACAAAGCCATCATAGTGGATCAGTCAGTGTGGTTAATGCTCTGAAACAGCCATCATAGCTGGGATCCAGGTCAGTGTGTTTAATGCTCTGAACACAGCCATCATAGATGGGATCCAGGTCAGTGTGTTTAATGCTCTGAACACAGCCATCATAGCTGGGATCCAGGTCAGTGTGTTTAATGCTCTGAACACAGCCATCATAGATGGGATCCAGGTCAGTGTGTTTAATGCTCTGAACACAGCCATCATAGCTGGGATCCAGGTCAGTGTGTTTAATGCTCTGAACACAGCCATCCTAGCTGGGATCCAGGTCAGTGTGTTTAAATGCTCTGAACCACGCCATCATAGCTGGGATCCCGGTCGAGTGTGTTTAATATGCTCTGAACACACAAAGAGCCATCATAGATGGATTCCAGAAGTGTGTTTAAGGCGCTGAACACGCCATCATGCTGGGATAGCTGGGATCCAGGTCAGTGTGTTTAATGCTCTGAACACAGCCATCATAGCTGGGATCCAGGTCAGTGTGTTTAATGCTCTGAAACACAGGCCATCCATAGATGGGATCCAGGTCAGTGTGTTTAATGCTCTGAACACAGCCATCATAGCTGGGATCCAGGTCAGTGTGTTTAATGCTCTGAACACAGCCATCATAGATGGGATCCAGGTCAGTGTGTTTAATGCTCTGAACACAGCCATCATAGCTGGGATCCAGGTCAGTGTGTTTAATGCTCTGAACACAGCCATCATAGATGGGATCCAGGTCAGTGTGTTTAATGCTCTGAACACAGCCATCCTAGCTGGGATCCAGGTCAGTGTGTTTAATGCTCTGAACACAGCCATCCTAGCTGGGATCCAGGTCAGTGTGTTTAATGCTCTGAACACAGCCATCATAGCTGGGATCCAGGTCAGTGTGTTTAATGCTCTGAACACAGCCATCATAGCTGGGGATCCAGGTCAGTGTGTTAATGCTCTGAACACAGCCATCCTAGCTGGGATCCATGGTCAGTGTGTTTAATGCTCTGAACACAGCCATCATAGGATCTGTGTTTATGAACACGCCATCATAGCTGGATCCAGGTCAGTGTGTTTAATGCTCTGAAAACACAGCCAACCCCCCATCCCCCCACACAGCCTCATATCTGGGATCCAGGTCAGTGTGTTAATGCTCTGAACACAGCCATCATAGCTGGGATCCAGTCAGTGTGTTTAATGCTCTGAACACACACCGCCCTCACAAGCATAGCTGGGATCCAGGTCGTGTGTTAATGCTCTGAACACAGCCTCCTAGCTGGGATCCAGGTCAGTGTGTTTAATGCTCTGAACACAGCCATCCTAGCTGGGATCCAGGTCAGTGTGTTTAATGCTCTGAACACAGCCATCATAGCTGGGATCCAGGTCAGTGTGTTATGGCACTATCGCTCGCCCCTCTTCCAGTCTCTCAGGCCACAACCTATTCATGCCTGGAGTAGTCTTTGTCTGGCAGACAGACATGACTCTCTATAGGAAGAAGAAATCTGCCATTGAAGTTAGTGGTATGTCTCTGCATAGCGTCTCTGCATACCGTCTCTGCATACCAAGCATTCTGGAGCAAACCACGGAGTCCGGAATGTGCCATTCCGTAGACATAACAAAAAGAAGAAATTAGTGCCTTCAAAAAGTAATCCCGCCCCTTGACTCTCTCCACATTATGTTGTTACAAAGTGGGATTAAAATTGATTTAATTGTCGTTTTGTCAACTATCTACACAAAATACATTTATGAAAAATAAAACACTAATATAATCTTGATTAGATAAGTATTCAACCCCCTGAGTCAATACATGTTCGAATCACCTTTGGCAGCGATTACAGCTGTGAGTCTTTCTGGGTAAGTCTCTAAGAGCTTTGCACACCTGGATTGTACAATATTTGGACATTATTCTTTAAAAAATTCTTCAAGCTCTGTCAAATTGGTTGTTGATCATTGCTAGACAGACATTTTCAAGTCTTGCCATAGATTTTCAAGCCGATTTAAGTCAAAACTCTAACTAGGCCACTCAGGAACATTCAATGTTGTCTTGGTAAGTATCTCCAGTGTATATTTGGCCTTGTGTTTTTGGTTATTGTCCTGCTAAAAGGCTGTATTGATACACCATCCAAAGTGTAATTAATAACTTCACAATGCTCAAAGGGATATTCAATGTCAGTTTATTTATTTATTTTTAATTTTTAACCCATCTACCAATTGGTGCCCTTCTTTAGGAGACAACACCTCCCTGGTCTCTGTGAATTGGCCCACTGACACAAAATCTCAATGTTATATATTTTAACTTCCGGTTGTAACGCAACAAAATGTGGAAAAAGTCAAGGGGTGTGAATAATTTCTGAAGGCACTGTACAGTAAGTTCACGCAAGGCCAACAAAATTTTACATTTGATTCAATCAGGGAAAAGTTGTCACTTTCTAACATACAAATATGATTTAATACCTACTTGTTGCAACAAGGGATTTATTCACCAAAATGTACTGATGATAACAGATATGAATGCTCACATACTGTCAGATCCAAAATGATTGGCACCCTTGATAAAGATGAGCAGAAAAGACTATAAAATGAATGATACTTTATCAAGACTGCCAATCATTTTGGACCTGATTAAAATCTCTTTACTCTCCAATTGTGCAGCAGTCTTACAAATTCTAATGTATTTTTTTTGTCTCTGTATTTTTTTATTTCACCTTTATTTAACCAGGTAAGCCAGTTGAGAACAGGTTCTCATTTACAACTGCGACCTGGCCAAGATAAAGCAAAGTAGTGCAATAAAAACAACACAGAGTTACATATGGGGTAAAAAAACATAAAGTCAGAAATACAACAGAAAATATATATACAGTGTGCGCAAATGTAGCAAGTTATGGAGGTAAGGCAATAAATAGGCTATAGTGCAGAATAATTACAATAGTATTAACACTGGAATGCTAGATGTGCAAGAGATTATGTGCAAATAGAGATACTGGGGTGCAAAAGAGCAAAATAAATAACAATATAGGGATGAGGTAGTTGGGTGGGCTAATTTCAGATGGGCTGTGTACAGGTGCAGTGATCGGTAAGGTGCTCTGACAACTGATGCTTAAATTATTGAGGGAGATAAGAGTCTCCAGCTTCAGAGATTTTTGCAATTCGTTCCAGTCATTGGCAGCAGAGAACTGGAAGGAATGGCGGCCAAAGGAGGTGTTGGCTTTGGGAATGACCAGTGAGATATACCTGCTGGAGCACAGACTACGGGTGGGTGCTGCTATGGTGACCAATGAGCTAAGATAAGGCGGGGATTTGCCTAGCAGTGATTTATAGATGGCCTGGAGCCAGTGGGTTTGACGACGAACATGTAGTGAGGACCAGCCAACAAGAGCGTACAGGTCACAGTGGTGGGTAGTGTATGGGGCTTTGGAGACAAAACGGATGGCACTGTGATAGACTACATCCAATTTGCTGAGTAGAGTGTTGGAGGCTATTTTGTAAATTACATCGCCGAAGTCAAGGATTGGTAGGATAGTCAGTTTTACGAGGGCATGTTTGGCAGCATGAGTGAAGGAGGCTTTATTGCGAAATAGGAAGCCGATTCTAGATTTAACTTTGGATTGGAGATTCTTTATGTGAGTCTGGAAGTTGAGTTTACAGTCTAACCAGACACCTAGGTATTTGTAGTTGTCCACATACTCTAGGTCAGACCCGTCGAGAGTGGTGATTCTAGTCGGGTGGGCGGGTGCCAGCAGCGTTCGATTGAAAAGCATGCATTTAGTTTTACTAGTGTTTAAGAGCAGTTGGAGGCTACTGAAGGATTGTTGTATGGCATTGATGCTCGTTTGGAGGTTTGTTAACACAGTGTCCAATGAAGGGCCAGATGTATACAAAATGGTGTCGTCTGCGTAGGGCCAGATGTATACAAAATGGTGTCGTCTGCGTAGAGGTGGATCTGAGAGTCACCAGCAGCAAGAGCGACATCATTGATATACACGGAGAAAAGTGTCGGCCCAAGAATTGAACCCTGTGGCACCCCCATAGAGACTGCCATAGGTCCAGACAACAGGCCCTCCGATTTGACACACTGAACTCTATCTGAGAAGTAGTTGGTGAACCAGGCGAGGCAGTCATTTGAGAAACCAAGGCTATTTAGTCTGCCAATAAGAATGCGGTGGTTGACAGAGTCGAAAGCCTTGGCCAGGTCGATGAAGACGGCTGCACAGTACTGTCTATTATCAATCGCGGTTATAATATCGTTTAGGACCTTGAGCGTGGCTGAAGTGCACCCGTGACCAGCTCGGAAACCGGATTGCATAGCGGAGAAGGTACGGTGGTATTCGAAATGGTCGATGATCTGTTTGTTAACTTGGCTTTCGAATACTTTCGAAAGGCAGGGCAGGATGGATATAGGTCTGTAGCAGTTTGGATCTAGAGTGTCACCCCCTTTGAAGAGGGGGATGACCGCGGCAGCTTTCCAATCTCTGGGGATCTCAGACGTTATGAAAGAGAGGTTGAACAGACTAGTAATAGGGGTAGCGACAATTTCGGCGGCTAGTTTTAGAAAGAAAGGGTCCAGATTGTCTAGCCCAGCTGATTTGTAGGGGTCCAGATTTTGCAGCGCTTTCAAAACATCAGCTGTCTGAATTTGTGTGAAGGAGAAGCGGGGGGGGTATGTGTGTGACGAATCCAATTTCCCCCTGATCAATAAAGTGTATTCAATTCTAACGATCTGTTTTCCACTAGGACATAGAGGCAAAGAAGGAGGCCCAGAAGGAGAAGGAGGTCGATGAGCAGGAGGCCAATGCCTCCAGCATGCAGCGCTGTCGCACCACCCTGGACAAAGACCTCATCAACACTGGGATATACGAGTCCGCTGGGAAACAGAGCCTACCGCTGGTCCAGCTCGTACAGCAGCTACTGAGGTGGGTAGTTAACACTACACTGGGGTGGGTAGTTAACACTACACTGGGGTGGGTAGTTAACACTACACTGGGGTGGGTAGTTAACACTACACTGAGCTGTAGATTTTTTTTTTTTTTTTGGGGGGGGGGATCAGAATCTACAATGTTTACCCTGACAAAAGCACCCCAATTCTATAGAACCCTTTGGAAGCACCAGCATACCTGTATGCGACTGAATTGAACTGTGTTGATAAACAATAACTGTTATTTTAGCAGAGTAACTTTTATACTTTATGGGTGTCCCACATATAGTAGTCACCTTGGGGGGTGTACGTCTAGCCAAATGTGGTGAATATTGTACAGAATGAACTTAAAAGTATTTGTTTTTTTGATCCCTCAGGAACATAGCCTCCCAGACCATCGGCAGACTGAAGGACGTGGCCAGGAAGATATCTAGCTGCATGGACACGGAGCACGTCAGTAAAGAACGCTCCGCCTCCCTGGACCTGCTGCTGCGCTTCCAGAGGCTGCTGGTCAGCAAGCTCTACCTGGGAGTCAACGGCACCGAGAACACCAACGGATACAGTGAGTCCTCGCAGTCCTCATTAGGGTTGTGAACGTTTAAACGTTAAAGCGTTTAAAGTAAATTTGGATCCTTAACGTTAAGAAAATCCGTAACCGTAAAACGTTTTGTTTTTGGGTTTTTTTTCCCACAAAATGTAAATCACAGTGCGATTATCACAAAACACGTTCTTTGCTATGTTATAAAGGCCTGGGGAAAGACATTGTGAGAAAGTATTTATACCCCTTGACTTATTCCACATTTTGTTGTTCCAGCCTGAATTCAAAATGGATGAAATATATTTTTTTCCGCACCCATCTGCACACAACACCCCCACCACGCCATCGTCGTTAACGGTTGGAAGAATGACAGAGAAAGGCTGTCAACCAAGTCCTGTATGACAATACTTTGAGAAGTTAAATAAGAAGGAAAATCAAACTTTTGCGAGGTGGAATTGAGGTTCAGTAATGGTAGTGCAGGTTTGATGCTTAACCAACTGAAAGGGACGTGTCGTGAGCCGTTGCTGGCAGCAGCTGCGTTTTATTATTTTATTTATATTAGTTTAAGAATTTTTCTTATAGTTTTAACGGAAAACCGATAAAAAAATGTGCAGTTTAAACGTTATGAATTTTTTTTAATTTGTCACATCCCTAGTCCTCATAATGCAGGTTTAACTGATGCAGTGAGTCTTCATAATGCAGGTTTAACTGATGCAGAGAGTCTTCATAATGCAGGTTTAACTGACAGTGAGTCCTCATAATGCAGGTTTAACTGATGCAGTGAGTCCTCATAATGCATGTTTAACTGATACAGTGAGTCCTCATATTGCAGGTTTAACTGATGCAGTGAGTCCTCATAATGCAGGTTTAACTGATGCAGTGAGTCCTCATAATGTAGGTTTAACTGATCAAATCAAATCAAATGTTATTTGCCACATGCGCCGAATACAACAGGTGTAGACATTACCATGAAATGCTTACTTACAGCCCTTAACCAACAATGCATTTATTTTTTAATAAAAAAGTAAAATGAAACGACAACAACAACAAAAAAGTGTTGAGAAAAAAAAGAGCAGCAGTAAAATAAAATAACAGTAGGGAGGCTATATATACAGGGGGGTACCAGTGCAGAGTCAATGTGCGGGGGCACCGGCTAGTTGAGGTAGTTGAGGTAATATGTACATGTGGGTAGAGTTAAAGTGACTATGCATAAATAATTAACAGAGTAGCAGCAGCGTAAAAATATGGGGTGGGGGTGAGGGGGCAGTGCAAATAGTCTGGGTAGCCATGATTAGCTGTTCAGGAGTCTTATGGCTTGGGGGTAGAAGCTGTTGAGAAGCCTTTTGGACCTAGACTTGGCGCTCCGGTACCACTTGCCGTGCGGTAGCTGAGAGAACAGTCTATGACTAGGGTGGCTGGAGTCTTTTGACAATTTTGAGGGCCTTCCTCTGACACTGCTTGGTATAGAGGTCCTGGATGGCAGGAAGCTTGGCCCCAGTGATGTACTGGGCCTTGCGGTCGGAGGCCGAGCAGTTGCCATACCAGGCGGTGATGCAACCAGTCAGGATGCTCTCGATGGTGCCAAATCTTTTTAGTCTCCTGAGGGGGAAAAGGGGTTGTCGTGCCCTCTTCACGACTGTCTTGGTGTGTTTGGACCATGATAGTTTGTTGGTGATGTGGACACCAAGGAACTTGAAGATCTCAACCTGTTCCACTACAGCCCCGTCGAAGAGAATGGGGGCGTGCTCGGTCCTCTTTTTTTCCCTGTAGTCCACAATCATCTCCTTTGTCTTGGTCACGTTGAGGGAGAGGTTGTTTTCCTGGCACCACACGGCCAGGTCTCTGACCTCCTCCCTATAGGCTGCCTCATCGTTGTCGGTGATCAGGCCTACCACTGTTGTGTCGTCGGCAAACTTAATGATGGTGTTGGAGTCGTGCCTGGCCATGCAGTCATGGGTGAACAGGGAGTACAGGAGGGGACTGAGCACGCACCCCTGAGGGGCCCCCGTGTTGAGGATCAGCGTGGCAGATGTGTTGTTACCTACCCTTACCACCTGGGGGCGGCCCGTCAGGAAGTCCAGGATCCAGTTGCGGAGGGAGGTGTTTAGTCCCAGGATCCTTAGCTTAGTGATGAGCTTTGAGGGCACTATGGTGTTGAACGCTGAGCTGTAGTCAATGAATAGCATTCTCACGTAGGTGTTCCTCTTGTCCAGGTGGGAAAGGGCAGTGTGGAGTGCAATAGAGATTGCATCATCTGTGGATCTGTTGGGGCGGTATGCAAATTGGAGTGGGTCTATGGTTTCTGGGATAATGGTGTTGATGTGAGCCATGACCAGCCTTTCAAAGCACTTCATGGCTACAGACGTCAGTGCTACAGGTCGGTAGTCATTTAGGCAGGTTATCTTAGTGTTCTTGGGCACGGGGACTATGGTGGTCTGCTTGAAACATGTTGGTATTACAGACTCAGTCAGGAACAGGTTGAAAATGTCAGTGAAGAGTACACGTCCTGGTAATCCGTCTGGCCCTGCGGCCTTGTGAATGTTGACCTGCTTAAAAGTCTTACTCACATCGGCTACGGAGAGCGTGATCACATAGTCATCCGGAACAGCTGGTGCTCTCATGCATGCTTCAGTGTTGCTTGCCTCGAAGCGAGCATAGAAGTAGTTTAGCTCGTCTGGTAGGCTTGTGTCACTGGGCAGCTCGCGGCTGTGCTTCCCTTTGTAGTCTGTAATAGTTTTCAAGCCCTGCCACATATGACGAGCGTCAGAGCCGGTGTAGTACGATTCAATCTTAGTCCTGTATTGACTCTTTGCCTGTTTGATGGTTTGTCGGAGGGCATAGCGGGATTTCATATAAGCGTCCGGGTTAGAGTCCCACTCCTTGAAAGCGGCAGCTCTACCCTTTAGCTCAGTGCGGATGTTGCCTGTAAGCCATGGCTTCTGGTTGGGGTATGTACAGTGAGGGGAAAAAGTATTTGATCCCCTGCTGATTTTGTACGTTTGCCCACTGACAAAGACATGATCAGTCTATAATTTTAATTGTAGGTTTATTTGAACAGTGAGAGACAGAATAACAACAACAAAATCCAGAAAAACGCATGTCAAAATGTTAGAAATTGATTTGCATTTTAATGAGGGAAATAAGTATTTGACCCCCTCTCAATCAGAAAGATTTCTGGCTCCCAGGTGTCTTTTATACAGGTAACGAGCTGAGATTAGGAGCACACTCTTAAAGGGAGTGCTCCTAATCTCATTTTGTTACCTGTATAAAAGACACCTGTCCACAGAAGCAATAAATCAATCAGATTCCAAACTCTCCACCATGGCCAAGACCAAAGAGCTGTCCAATGATGTCAGGGACAAGATTGTAGATCTACACAAGGCTGGAATGGGCTACAAGACCATCGCCAAGCAGCTTGGTGAGAAGGTGACAACAGTTGGTGCGATTATTCGCAAATGGAAGAAACACAAAATAACTGTCAATCTCTATGCAAGATCTCACCTCGTGGAGTTGCAATGATCATGAGAATCAGCCCAGAACTACACGGGAGGATCTTGTCAATGATCTCAAGGCAGCTGGGACCATAGTCACCAAGAAAACAATTGGTAACACTATGCCGTGAAGGACTGAAATCCTACAGCGCCCGCAAGGTCCCCCTGCTCAAGAAAGCACATATACAGGCCCGTCTGAAGTTTGCCAATGAACATCTGAATGATTCAGAGGAGAACTGGGTGAAAGTGTTGTGGTCAGATGAGACCAAAATAGAGCTCTTTGGCATCAACTCAACTCGCCGTGTTTGGAGGAGGAGGAATTCTGCCTATGACCCCAAGAACACCATCCCCACTGTCAAACATGGAGGTGGAAACATTATGCTTTGGGGGTGTTTTTCTGCTAAGGGGACAGGACAACTTCACTGCATCAAAGGGACGATGGACGGGGCCATGTACCGTCAAATCTTGGGTGAGAACCTCCTTCCCTCAGCCAGGGCATTGAAAATGGGTCGTGAATGGGTATTCCAGCATGACAATGACCCAAAACACACGGCCAAGGCAACAAAGGAGTGGCTCAAGAAGAAGCACATTAAGGTCCTGGAGTGGCCTAGCCAGTCTCCAGACCTTAATCCCATAGAAAATCTGTGGAGGGAGCTGAAGGTTTGAGTTGTCAAACGTCAGCCTCGAAACCTTAATGTCTTGGAGAAGATCTGCAAAGAGGAGTGGGACAAAATCCCTCCTGAGATGTGTGCAAACCTGGTGGCCAACTACAAGAAACATCTGACCTCTGTGATTGCCAACAAGGGTTTTGCCACCAAGTACTAAGTCATGTTTTGCAGAGGGGTCAAATACTTATTTCCCTCATTAAAATGCAAATCAATTTATAACATTTTTGACATGCGTTTTTCTGGATTTTGTTGTTGTTATTCTGTCTCTCACTGTTCAAATAAACCTACCATTACAATTATAGACTGATCATGTCTTTGTCAGTGGGCAAACGTACAAAATCAGCAGTGGATCAAATACTTTATTCCCTCACTGTACATATATACACATACATATACATTTCTTTTTTTTAAATATATATTTCCCTTTATTACTTTCCAACCCCACCATCCCTTCCCTAATTGGAGTAAACTAGTGAACAACAACCCTTAGGCCTCTACTTCCAGCTTATACATACTATATGGCTTTTTCTTTGCAACTCTGATTAGAGACATTTTGCGCTGTTCTGTGAAGGGAGTAGCACACAGCGTTGTACGAGATCTTCAGTTTCTTGGGAATTTCTCGCATGAAATAGCCTTCATTTCTCAGAACAAGAATAGACTGACGAGTTTCAGAAGAAAGATCTTTGTTTCTGGCCATTTTGAGCCTGTAATCGAACCCACAATTGCTGATGCTCCAGATACTCAACTAGTCTCAAGAAGGCCAGTTTTATTGCTTCTTTAATCAGCACAACAGTTTTCAGCTGTGCTAGCATAATTGCAAAAGGGTTTTCTAATGATCAATTAGCCTTTTAAAATGATAAACTTGGATTAGCAAACACAACGTGCCATTGGAACACAGGACTGATGGTTGCTGATAATGGGCCTCTGTACGCCTATGTAGATATTCCATTAAAAGTCAGCCGTTTCCAGCTACAATAGCCATTTACAACATTAACAATGTCTACACTGTATTTCTGATCAATTTGATGTTATTTTAATGGACAAATAAATTGCTTTTCTTTCGAAAACAAGGACATTTCTAAGTGACTTTGAACGGTAGTGTATATATGTGTGTATATGTATGTGTGTGTGTGTATCTATATATTGCCCATATTTCCTTCCTGCAGACCCAGAGCTGCTGGGTGTGGGGTCCCTGTTGAAGAAGTACATTGCCCTACTGTGTACTCACATCGGAGACATCCTCCCTGTGGCAACCAGCATCGCCTTCACGGGACACCGACACTTTAATGAAGTGTCCCGGGTCATCGAGGGTGACCTCACTGGTTAGTTTTACTCTGGTTAATCTAAATCTACAAGGCTGTACTCAGACCAGGGTTTGGATCAATTCCTTCCAATTTACTTCCTGAATTGACCAACCTTGACTCATACCTGTTTTTGAGCCAGTATGATGTGAGAATGTTATATATACCCATCAGGTAATCTGTTTTTCCTCCTGGCCTGTAGGTGTGCTCCTCCCTGAGTTGGTGGTGTCCATCGTGTTGCTGCTGACCATCGACGCTGGCCTGCTGCAGGAGACAGGCTCCATCCCTCTGCTGGCTGGACTTCTGGAACATCTGGACCGCTTCAACCACCTGGCGCCTGGACACGAGAGGGACGACAACGAAGACCTGGCCTGGCCCGGCATCATGGGTACAGGGCCACCTGGGGGAGAGGGCGGAGGTCAGGGGTACAGGGCCTCCTGGGGGAGAGGGCGGAGGTCAGGGGTACAGGGCCTCATGGGGGAGAGGGCGCAGGTCAGGGGTACAGGGCCTCCTGGGGGAGAGGGCGGAGGTCAGGGGTACAGGGCCTCCTGGGGGAGAGGGGGGAGGTCAGGGGTACAGGGCCTCCTGGGGGAGAGGGCGGAGGTCAGGGGTACAGGGCCTCCTGGGGGAGAGGGGGGAGGTCAGGGGTACAGGGCCTCCTGGGGGAGAGGGGGGAGGTCAGGGGTACAGGGCCTCCTGGGGGAGAGGGGGGAGGTCAGGGGTACAGGGCCTCCTGGGGGAGAGGGGGGAGGTCAGGGGTACAGGGCCTCCTGGGGAGAGGGCGGAGGTCAGGGGTACAGGGCCACCTGGGGGAGAGGGCAGAGGTCAGGGGTACAGGGCCTCCTGGGGAGAGGGCGGAGGTCAGGGGTACAGGGCCACCTGGGGGAGAGGGCGGAGGTCAGGGGTACAGGGCCACCTGGGGGAGAGGGCGGAGGTCAGGGGTACAGGGCCACCTGGGGGAGAGGGCGGAGGTCAGGGGTACAGGGCCACCTGGGGGAGAGGGCAGAGGTCAGGGGTACAGGGCCTCCTGGGGAGAGGGCGGAGGTCAGGGGTACAGGGCCACCTGGGGGAGAGGGCGGAGGTCAGGGGTACAGGGCCTCATGGGGGAGAGGGCGGAGGTCAGGGGTACAGGGCCTCCTGGGGGAGAGGGCAGAGGTCAGGGGTACAGGGCCTCCTGGGGGAGAGGGGGGAGGTCAGGGGTACAGGGCCTCCTGGGGGAGAGGGCGGAGGTCAGGGGTACAGGGCCTCATGGGGGAGAGGGCGGAGGTCAGGGGTACAGGGCCACCTGGGGGAGAGGGCGGAGGTCAGGGGTACAGGGCCTCCTGGGGGAGAGGGCGGAGGTCAGGGGTACAGGGCCTCCTGGGGGAGAGGGCGGAGGTCAGGGGTACAGGGCCTCCTGGGGGAGAGGGCGGAGGTCAGGGGTACAGGGCCTCCTGGGGGAGAGGGCGGAGGTCAGGGGTACAGGGCCACCTGGGGGAGAGGGGGGAGGTCAGGGGTACAGGGCCTCCTGGGGGAGAGGGCGGCGGTCAGGGGTACAGGGCCTCCTGGGGGAGAGGGCGGAGGTCAGGGGTACAGGGCCTCCTGGGGGAGAGGGCGGAGGTCAGGGGTACAGGGCCAGCGGTGCATGGAGGGTTGATGAGTGGGGAATGAGTGGGGAATTTAAGCCTAGACTGGAGCAATTCAGTAGGTTAAATGTGGAGAGTTTCAGTATGTTTGAATGTAAAAGGTTGTTAGTGTTTAGTTGTGGTTAGAATGTAACTAGTTGTGTCTGCTGTGGCAGGTCTATTCTTCACAGGGTAGAGTTCTATTAGTGTGTGGTTAGGGTTAGTTTAGTGCAGGGTTCCCCAACTGGAGGCCCGTGGGTGGTTTTATTTGGACCCCCACATTTTCGGAGCAAAAAAATTACATTATTTGTACTTTTTTAAACTTTTTTTTAAATTGTTGGACATAAAACTGTAAAAATACCAGGAAATCAGCTCCAAGTGACTTCAATTTAGGAAATCTGTTCCCAAGTATTCCCACGCATAACAGAGAGACACGTGATCGTATACAAATGTAAGCAAGGTTTGAAATGATTATATTTTAGTCAAACATTCTATCTGTTTGGGCTTCTTGTGGTCAATTTGCAGTCTACAAATTATTTGTAATCATGTTCCGACCCCCCGACCATCCGCTCAAGAAAGAAATCATCCCGTGGCTGAATCTAGTTGATGATCCCTGGTTTAGTGTGTCGTGGGTTAGAATGTAACTAGTGTGTGTCCTGCTGTGGCAGGTCGATTCTTCACAGGGCAGAGCTCTAAGAACAATGAGGAGATGTCTCTGATCCGCAAGGCCGACCTGGAGAATCACAACAAAGATGGCGGCTTCTGGACAGTCATCGACGGGAAAGTCTACGACATCAAAGACTTCCAGGCCCAGTCGCTCACTGGGAACAGCATCCTGGGTACGGTGACTAAGGCCCTTTATAGAACTGTGGAGAAACACAGGCATTGAAATACCAACTATCTATTTGTGACCGTTGTATTGTTGTAGAAGTATTGGGATCAACTACGGTCCTAATGGAACTGTAGAAATCCTAGAACAGACATACATTTTTATGGTTCAGAGTTGGCTTTTACCAATTTATTCATTCTATACTTATTTGATGACATTTCATTTTCACTCTGTATTGTGGTCTTCCCCCTTTCCAGCCCAGTTTGCAGGAGAGGACCCTGTTGTTGCATTAGAAGCAGCCCTGCAGTTTGAAGACACCAGGATGTCTATGCAGGCTTTCTGTGTTGGACAGTACATGGAGGTGTGTGTCCATGTATCATTATTTATTTACAGCTCTTAGACTTCCCACTGTTGTTCTTTTGTCTTTGGTTAGTCTTGGAACAGATTTGGAATAGTCTTGGAAAAGTCTCGGAATAGTTCCCAAACAGGCATTGAACAAAACTAAATAAAACGTAATAATCTCGGAACAGTCTTTTAACGGTCTGTCTGTTCCCTGTGTCCTCCAGCCCAACCAGGAGACAATGACCACCCCAGACCTGAGCAGCCTGTGCTCCCCCCTCATCGACACGGAGAGGAACCTGGGACTCCTGCTGGGCCTCCACGCCTCCTACCTGGCCAACAGCACCCCCCTCTCACCCATGGAGATAGAATGTGCCAGTGAGTAACCCTGACCCCTGACCTGTAACTCCTGTCTGACCCTAACCCTGTCCCCAGTGGAGATAGAATGTGCCAGTGAGTAACCCTGACCCCTGACCTGTTGTCCATTGAGATAATGAGCTAGTTAGTACAACAGTCAATGCATCATCGTTTTTTTTTATGGAACTTCATGGGCCGGTTTCAGATTGAGCGATTTTCCAATGGGCATGATTTTCAGTCGAGGGTTAATCTGTTTCCAGGAAACCAGCCCTATGAGTTCAACAACACAACTCTGTCCTGCTGTTTGTGATTGATTCATCTGAACAGTTCCTAACCAGCTCATGAACTCTCTCTTCTCTCCCTGGTCAGAATGGCTCCAGTCGTCTATCTTCCAAGGTGGTCTGCAGACCAGTCAGGTCCATTACAGCTACAACGGGGAGAAGGAAGAGGACCACTGCTCCTCCCCAGGAAGCACCACACCAGACAAGACCAACCCCTCCCCCAGACTCACCCTCAGCGACCACACACAGCCCTTCTTACAGGCTATCGCTGACAACACCACTCAGGACCACACTGTGAAGGTAAAGGTCAGGGGTCAGGGTCATTATCATCCATTTTAAATTGGTATTTCGAGCTGTGACTATTTAATATCTCATTTAGCCGTAGCTATCTGAAACACTGGTTATACCCTATCCTATGTTTAATTGTCCTTGGAGCCGGACAGTCCTGTGGTTAGGGTTAGGGTTAGGGTTAGGGTTACCCACTGGCAGCTTTAGTTATGGGCTTGTACACCCCTATGTCTCAATCACATCAGGAATGTCTTCTTCCTTCTCATTAGTGTGTGTTAGCTGTCTGCCTCAATTAGATGTGTCTACTTAAATTTACATTTACATTTTAGTCATTTAGCAGACGCTCTTATCCAGAGCGACTTACAGGAGCAATTAGGGTTAAGTGCCTTGCTTACGGGCACATCGACAGATTTTTCACCTATTCGGCTCAGGAATTAGAACCAGCGACCTTTCGGTTACTGGCACAACGCTCTTACCCACTAAGCCACCTGCCGCCCACTTAGTTTCTATTGGTCTGTTTCTGTTCCAGGACTTCCTGTGCCAAATGGAGCGGTGCTGTAAGCAGTACCACCTCATCACGCCCATAACCTTCCCCCTGGAGCACCCTGTGGAGGAAGTAGGCCGTCTTCTTCTTTGCTGCCTGCTCAAACACCAGGACCTCGGTAACCTAGCAACCACACGCCACTGCCACACCTCGAACCACTGAGACAGAATTTTAGCTTCCATTGTGGTCTTTGAAATGTATTCCATTTTGAATTAGCTAGTTATGTTAAAAAGGTATAATATTTGTCCTTTTGGTGCGAAATAGATACATTTCTACTTCCATACTGTCTATGTAGTAACGGGGTAGTAGTCATACTGTCTATGGAGTAACGGGGTAGTAGTCATACTGTCTATGTAGTAACGGGGTAGTAGTCATACTGTCTATGGAGTAACGGGGTAGTAGTCATACTGTCTATGTAGTAACGGGGTAGTAGTCATACTGTCTATGTAGTAACGGGGTAGTAGTCATACTGTCTATGCAGTAACGGGGTAGTAGTCATACTGTCTATGTAGTAACGGGGTAGTAGTCATACTGTCTATGTAGTAACGGGGTAGTAGTCATACTGTCTATGGAGTAACGGGGTAGTAGTCATACTGTCTATGTAGTAACGGGGTAGTAGTCATACTGTCTATGTAGTAACGGGGTAGTAGTCATACTGTCTATGTAGTAACGGGGTAGTAGTCATACTGTCTATGTAGTAACGGGGTAGTAGTCATACTGTCTATGGGGTAGTAGTCATACTGTCTATGTAGTAACGGGGTAGTAGTCATACTGTCTATGTAGTAACGGGGTAGTAGTCATACTGTCTATGTAGTAACGGGTAGTATTCATACTGTCTGTAGTAACGGGTAGTAGTCATACTGTCTATGGGGTAGTAGTCATACTGTCTATGTAGTAACGGGGTAGTAGTCATACTGTCTATGTAGTAACGGGGTAGTAGTCATACTGTCTATGTAGTAACGGGGTAGTAGTCATACTGTCTATGTAGTAACGGGGTAGTAGTCATACTGTCTATGTAGTAACGGGGTAGTAGTCATACTGTCTATGTAGTAACGGGGTAGTAGTCATACTGTCTATGTAGTAACGGGGTAGTAGTCATACTGTCTATGGAGTAACGGGGTAGTAGTCATACTGTCTATGGAGTAACGGGGTAGTAGTCATACTGTCTATGGAGTAACGGGGTAGTAGTCATACTGTCTATGTAGTAACGGGGTAGTAGTCATACTGTCTATGGAGTAACGGGGTAGTAGTCATACTGTCTATGGAGTAACGGGGTAGTAGTCATACTGTCTATGTAGTAACGGGGTAGTAGTCATCCTGTCTATTTAGTAACGGGGTAGTAGTCATACTGTCTATGGAGTAACGGGGTAGTAGTCATACTGTCTATGGAGTAACGCGGTAGTAGTCATACTGTCTATGTAGTAACGGGGTAGTAGTCATACTGTCTATGTAGTAACGGGGTAGTAGTCATACTGTCTATGTAGTAACGGGGTAGTATTCATACTGTCTATGGAGTAACGGGGTAGTAGTCATACTGTCTATGTAGTAACGGGGTAGTAGTCATACTGTCTATGTAGTAACGGGGTAGTAGTCATACTGTCTATGTAGTAACGGGGTAGTAGTCATACTGTCTATGTAGTAACGGGGTAGTAACGGGGTAGTAGTCATACTGTCTATGTAGTAACGGGGTAGTAGTCATACTGTCTATGTAGTAACGGGGTAGTAGTCATACTGTCTATGTAGTAACGGGTAGTAGTCATACTGTCTATGTAGTAACGGGGTAGTAGTCATACTGTCTATGTAGTAACGGGGTAGTAGTCATACTGTCTATGTAGTAACGGGGAAGTAGTCATACTGTCTATGTAGTAACGGGGTAGTAGTCATACTGTCTATGGAGTAACGGGGTAGTAGTCATACTGTCTATGTAGTAACGGGGTAGTAGTCATACTGTCTATGTAGTAACGGGGTAGTAGTCATACTGTCTATGTAGTAACGGGGTAGTAGTCATACTGTCTATGTAGTAACGGGGTAGTAGTCATACTGTCTATGTAGTAACGGGTATAGTATAGTAGTATAACGGGTTTTGTCATACTGTCTATGTAGTAACGGGGTAGTAGTCATACTGTCTATGTAGTAACGGGAAAGTGTAGTCATACTGTCTATGTAGTAACGGGGTAGTAGTCATACTGTCTATGTAGTAACGGGGTAGTAGTCATACTGTCTATGTAGTAACGGGGTAGTAGTCATACTGTCTATGTAGTAACGGGAGATAGTCATACTGTCTATGTAGTAACGGGGTAGTAGTCATACTGTCTATGAGTACGGGGTAGTAGTCATACTTCTATGTAGTAACGGGGTAGTCTACTGTCTAGGAGTAACGGGTAGTAGCATACTGTCTATGGAGTAACGGGGTAGTAGTCATACTGTCTATGTAGTAACGGGGTAGTAGTCATACTGTCTATGTAGTAACGGGGTAGTTCAATGTTGTGTACGGGGTAGTTCATACTGTCTATGTAGTAACGGGGTAGTAGTCATACTGTCTATGTAGTAACGGGGTAGTAGTCATACTGTCTATGTAGTAACGGGGTAGTAGTCATACTGTCTATGGTAGTAACGGGGTAGTAGTCATACTGTCTATGTAGTAACGGGGTAGTAGTCATACTGTCTTGATGTAGTAACGGGGTAGTAGTCATACTGTCTATGTAGTAACGGGGGTAGTAGTCATACTGTCTATGTAGTAACGGGGTAGTAGTCATACTGTCTATGTAGTAACGGGGTAGTAGTCATACTGTCTATGTAGTAACGGGGTAGTAGTCAATACTGTCTATGTAGTAACGGGGTAGTAGTCATACTGTCTATGTAGTAACGGGGTAGTAGTCATACTGTCATGTAGTAACGGGGTAGTAGTCATACTGTCTATGTAGTAACGGGGTAGTAGTCATACTGTCTATGTAGTAACGGGGAAGTAGTCATACTGTCTATGTAGTAACGGGGTAGTAGTCATACTGTCTATTAGTACCGGGTAGTAGTCATACTGTCTTGTAGTAACGGGGTAGTAGTCATACTGTCTGTAGTAACGGGGTAGTAGTTCATCCTGTCTATGTAGTAACGGGGTAGTAGTCATACTGTCTAGTAGTAACGGGGTAAGTAGTCATACTGTCTATGTAGTAACGGGGTAGTGAGTCATACTGTATATGTAGGAAACGGGGTAGTAGTCATACTGTCTATGTAGTAACGGGGTAGTAGTCATACTGTCTGTCAGTAACGGGGTTAGTACGGTAATAGTCATACTGTCTATGTAGTAACGGGGGTAGTAGTCATACTGTCTATGTAGTAACGGGGTAGTAGTCATACTGTCTATGTAGTACGGGTAGTAGTCTACTGTCTGTAGTAACGGGTAGTAGTCATACTGTCAGAGTAACGGGGTATAGTCATACTGTCTATGTAGTAACGGGGTAGTAGTCATACTGTCTGTAGTAACGGGGTAGTAGTCATACTGTCTATGAGTAACGGGGTAGTATTCATACTGTCTATGTAGTAACGGGGTAGTAGTCATACTGTCCTAGTAGTAACGGGTAGTAGTCATACTGGTCTGTAGTAACGGGGTAGTATCATACTGTCTATGGAGTAACGGGTAGTATTCATACTGTCTATGTTTAACGGGGTAGTAGTCATACTGTCCTATGTAGTAACGGGGTAGTGTCATCTGTCTGTAGTAACGGGGTAGTAGTCATACTGTCTATGTAGTAACGGGGTATATGTCATACTGTCTATGTAGTAACGGGGTAGTAGTCATACTGTCTATGTAGTAACGGGGGTAGTAGTCATACTGTCTATGTAGTAACGGGGTAGTAGTCATACTGTCTATGTAGTAACGGGGTAGTAGTTCATACTGTCTATGTAGTAACGGGGTAGTAGTCATACTGTCTATGTAGTAACGGGGTAGTAGTCATACTGTCTATGTAGTAACGGGGTAGTAGTCATACTGTCTATGTAGTAACGGGGTAGTAGTCATACTGTCTATGTAGTAACGGGGTAGTAGTCATACTGTCTATGTAGTAACGGGGTAGTAGTCATACTGTCTATGTAGTAACGGGGTTAGTAGTTCATACTGTCTATGTAGTAACGGGGTAGTAGTCATACTGTCTATGTAGTAACGGGTGTAGTAGTCATACTGTCTATGTAGTAACGGGGTAGTAGTCATACTGTCTATGTAGTAACGGGGTAGTAGTCATACTGTCTATGTAGTAACGGGGTAGTAGTCATACTGTCTATTAGTAACGGGGTAGTAGTCATACTGTCTATGTAGTAACGGGGTAGTAGTCATACTGTCTATGTAGTAACGGGGGTAGTAGTCATACTGTCTATGTAGTAACGGGGTAGTAGTCATACTGTCTATGTAGTAACGGGGGTAGTAGTCATACTGTCTATGTAGTAACGGGGTAGTAGTCATACTGTCTATGTAGTAACGGGGTAGTAGTCATACTGTCTATGTAGTAACGGGGGTAGTAGTCATACTGTCTATGTAGTAACGGGGTAGTAGTCATACTGTCTATGTAGTAACGGGGTAGTAGTCATACTGTCTATGTAGTAACGGGGTAGTAGTCATACTGTCTATGTAGTAACGGGGTAGTAGTCATACTGTCTATGTAGTAACGGGGTAGTAGTCATACTGTCTATGTAGTAACGGGGTAGTAGTCATACTGTCTATGTAGTAACGGGGTAGTAGTCATACTGTCTATGTAGTAACGGGGTAGTAGTCATACTGTCTATGTAGTACGGGGTAGTAGTCATACTGTCTATGTAGTAACGGGTGTAGTAGTCATACTGTCTATGTAGTAACGGGGAGTAGTCATACTGTCTATGTAGTAACGGGGTAGTAGTCATACTGTCTATGTAGTAACGGGGTAGTAGTCATACTGTCTATGTAGTAACGGGGTAGTAGTCATACTGTCTATGTAGTAACGGGGTAGTAGTCATACTGTCTATGTAGTAACGGGGTGTAGTAGTCATACTGTCTATGTAGTAACGGGGTAGTAGTCATACTGTCTATGTAGTAACGGGGGTAGTAGTCATACTGTCTATGTAGTAACAGGGGGTAGTAGTCATACTGTCTATGTAGTAACGGGGGGTAGTAGTCATACTGTCTATGTAGTAACGGGGGGTAGTAGTCATACTGTCTATGTAGTAACGGGGGGTAGTAGTCATACTGTCTATGTAGTAACGGGGGTGCAGTAGTCTCTTCAGTTTAGTAAGGTGGTTGTATGTAGTCATACTGTTATTATAAGTTCTCCAGTTTATCAAGTGATTTGATTGGTTACTGGGTGATTGACGGCAGCGTCTGGCCCTCTCGTAGGTCACATCGCCTTTTCCCTCGCCACCCAATGTGCCTTGGGCGTGGAGCAGGGCAGGCAGAGGACCCTCCCCAGATCGGTGATTGACGTGTGCCGCATGGTGTACCAGACAAAGTGCTCTTTAATCAAGGTACACGTTCATACTTGTCTATAATTTAATCCTGTATAGAAAAAGTCATTGAGTGTTATTCTTTAGCCTGGTCCCAGGTCTGTTTGTGCTGGTCTTTGGTATCCAAATAAGTTGCCTATACAGCACTAACAGATCTGGGACCAGGCTAGTTATTCTAGGTCCTGATAGATACAGTATCTTTCTCTCCATCCTCTGTGTTCCAGACCCACCAGGAGCAGGGTCGTAGTTATAAGGAGGTCTGTGCTCCTGTAATCGAGAGGCTGCGGTTCCTGTTCAACGAGCTCCGTCCCGCCGTCAGCAACGACCTCTCCATCGTGTCCAAGCTGAAGCTGCTCAGCGCCCAGCCGCGCTGGAAGAGGATCACGCAGAAGCTCATCAGAGACTACAGGAAAAAGAGGGGTAAGCTACTGGAAGCTACTGGCCCCAGAAGGGTTATTAATGTCATTGTGAAGGTCAAGATGACCGAAACATCAACGATTTCAACTCTTGTAAATTGATTTTTTTTACTTCAAGAGCGAGAGCTGCACCTGTTTCTCCCCCATGTCGTTAATGTAAAGGGTGAAGCTGGTATGGTGTGTAGCATTTTGTATTGTGTTGATATTTACAGTTGAAGTCGGAAGTTTACATACACTTGGGTTGGAGTCATTAAAACATGTTTTTCAACTACCAAACTATAGTTTTGGCAAGTCGGTTAGGACATCTACTTTGTGCATGACACAAGTAATTTTTCCAACAATTGTTTACAGACAGATTATTTCACTTATAATTCACTGTATCACAATTCCAGTGGGTCAGAAGTTTACATACACTAAGTTGACTGTGCCTTTAAACAGCTTGGAAAATTCCAGAAAATGATGTCATGGCTTTAGAAGCTTCTGATAGGCTAATTGACATCATTTTAGTCAATTGGAGGTGTACCTGTGGATGTATTTCAAGGCCTACCTTCAAACTCAGTGCCTCATTGCTTGACATCATGGGAAAATCAAAATAAATCAGCCAAGACCTCAGAAAATAAATTGTAGACCTCCACAAGTCTGGTTCATCCTTGGGAGCAATTTCCAAACGCCTGAAGGTACCACGTTCATCTGTACAAACAATAGTACGCAAGTATAAACACCATGGGACCACGCAGCCGTCATACCGCTCAGGAAGGAGACGCGTTCTGTCTCCTAGAGATGAATGTACTTTGGTGCGAAAAGTGAAATTTATCCCAGAACAACAGCAAAGGACCTTGTGAAGATGCTGGAGGAAACAGGTACAAAAGTATCTATATCCACAGTAAAACTAGTCCTATATCGACATAACCTGAAAAGCCGCTCAGCAAGGAAGAAGCCACTGCTCCAAAACCGCCATAAAAAAGCCAGACTGTGGTTTGCAACTGCACATGGGGACAAAGATCGTACTTTTTGGATGAATGTCTGATGAAACAAAAATAGAACTGTTTGGCCATAATGACCATCGTTATGTTTGGAGGAAAAAGGGGGTAACTTGCAAGCCAAAGAACACCATCCCAACTGTGAAGCACGGGGGTGGTAGCATCATACTGTGGGGGTGCTTTGCTGCAGGAGGGACTGGTGCATTTCACAAAATAGATGGCATTATGAGGAAGGAAAATTATGTGGATATATTGAAGCAACGTCTCAAGACATCAGTCAGGAAGCTAAAGCTTGGTCGCAAATGGGTCTTCCAAATGGACAATTACCCCAAGCATACTTCCAAAGTTGTGGCAAAATGGCTTAAGGACAACAAAGTCAAGGTATTGGAGTGGCCATCACAAAGCCCTGACCTCAATCCTATAGAAAATGTCTGGGCAGAACTGAAAAAGCGTGTGCGAGCAAGGAGGCCTACAAACCTGACTCAGTTACACCAGCTCTGTCAGGAGGAATGGGCCAAAATTCACCAAACTTATTTTAGAAGGCTACCTGAAACGTTTGACCCAAGTTAAACAATTTATAGGCAATGCTACCAAATACTAATTGAGTGCATGTAAACTTCTTACCCACTGGGAATGTGATGAAAGAAATAAAAGCTGAAATAAATCATTCTCTCTACTATTATTCTGACATTTCACATTCTTAAAATAAAGTGGTGATCCAAACTGACCTAAGACAGGGAATTTTTACTAGGATTAAATGTCAGGAATTGTGAAAAAGTGAGTTTAAATGTATTTGGCTAAGGTGTACGTAAACTTCCGACTCCAACTGTATGTATTCTGTCTGTTGTTCCAGTGCCTAAGAAGTCTGAGTCAGCTGGCGTAGAGGAGCCTAAACTACAGAACGAAGGGACCAATGAGGAGGAGCTCTGTGTCCCCATAAGCCCCGCCCCCACAGACAGAAAACCACCCACCAACAAGACACCCAAGGTGCCTGTCCTATCTCTCTCTCTCTCTCTCTCTCTCCCTCTCCCTCTCCCTCTCCCCCTCCCCCTCCCCCCCCTCCCCCTCCCCCTCCCCCTCCCCTCTCCCTCTCCCTCTCCCTCTCCCTCTGTCTCTCTCCTCTCTCTCTCTCTCTCTCCTTCTCTCCTCTCCTCTCCCCCTCTCTCTCTCTCTCTCTCTCATCTCTCTCTCTTCTCTCTCTCTCTCTCTCTCTCTCTCTCTCTCTCCTCTCTCTCTCTCTCTCTCTAGTCATACCCCTCCATCCCACTCCTCTCCTTTTCTCCTCCTCCTCTCCTCCTCCATCCTGGATAGAGGTGTGATCTCTCCTCCTCCTCTCCTCCATCCTGGATAGAGGTGTGATCTCTCCTCCTCCTCCTCTCCTCCATCCTGGATAGAGGTGTGATCTCTCCTCCTCCTCTCCTCCATCCTGGATAGAGGTGTGATCTCTCCTCCTCCTCTCCTTCATCCTGGATAGAGGTGTGATCTCTCCTCCTCCTCTCCTTCATCCTGGATAGAGGTGTGATCTCTCCTCCTCCTCCTCTCCTCCATCCTGGATAGAGGTGTGATCTCTCCTCCTCCTCTCCTTCATCCTGGATAGAGGTGTGATCTCTCCTCCTCCTCCTCCATCCTGGATAGAGGTGTGATCTGCCGTGTCAGTTGTGTTACTGTGTGTTGTCTATCAGCAGGATAGGTTGGCTCCTCTCCTCAACACGGTAGCTAACGTCCAGAAGTTTAAGTGGCTGAAGCACAGTGTCCAGGGAGTCTTCTCTACCTCCAGCCTCATGGGGACCATCGTAGAGTTCGCCCTGAAGGAGGAGCCGCTCGACGTGGAGAAGATGAGGAAGTGTCTCCTCAAACAGGTACAGAATGGGACAGGGAGAGAAGTGTCTCCTCAAACAGGTACATAATGGGACAGGGAGAGAAGTGTCTCCTCAAACAGGTACAGAATGGGACAGGGAGAGATGTGTCTCCTCAAACAGGTACAGAATGGGACATGGAGAGAAGTGTCTCCTCAAACAGGTACAGAATGGGACAGGGAGAGAAGTGTCTCCTCAAACAGGTACATAATGGGACAGGGAGAGAAGTGTCTCCTCAAACAGGTACAGAATGGGACAGGGAGAGAAGTGTCTCCTCAAACAGGTACAGAATGGGACAGGGAGAGAAGTGTCTCCTCAAACAGGTACAGAATGGGACAGGGAGAGAAGTGTCTCCTCAAACAGGTACAGAATGGGACAGGGAGATAAGTGTCTCCTCAAACAGGTACAGAATGTGACGGGGAGAGAAGTGTCTCCTCAAACAGGTACAGAATGTGACAGGGAGAGAAGTGTCTCCTCAAACAGGTACAGAATGGGACAGGGAGTTGGATATGAAGGAGACTGGGAGAGTTACAACCATGGTGGGCCAGACATAGACATAGTTACTAGAATGGACATTCCCATTCAAGTCAATGTTTTGTGGTGGGTGGACCACCGGTCAGAATTCTATTTCTGTAGGTCCATATCAGACAGAGGGAAGGATAAGGTTGTGTAGGGTGAATAAATGGTTGTCTGTGAAGGTGGAGGGACAGGGAAGACCATTCTGGGTGAAAATTAAAGAGACATCCCAAATCTAATTTCGCAGACCTCATGTGGATTTATGTCCAATTGAATCCATATCCCTTGCATCAATTGTGTAAAGTGAGGAAGATGAGGTAGCAGGATATATTGTGTAAAGGGGAGAGAAGTGAATAAGATGAGGTAGCAGGATAGTGAATGAGATGAGGTAGCAGGATAGTGAATGAGATGAGGTAGCAGGATAGTGAATGAGATGAGGTAACAGGATAGTGAATGAGATGAGGTAACAGGATAGTGAATGAGATGAGGTAGCAGGATAGTGAATGAGATGAGGTAGCAGGATAGTGAATGAGATGAGGTAGCAGGATAGTGAATGAGATGAGGTAGCAGGATAGTGAATGAGATGAGGTAACAGGATAATGAATGAGATGAGGTAGCAGGATAGTGAATGAGATGAGGTAGCAGGATAGTGAATGAGATGAGGTAGCAGGATAGTGAATGAGATGAGGTAGCAGGATAGTGAATAAGATGAGGTAGCAGGATAGTGAATGAGATGAGGTAGCAGGATAGTGAATGAGATGAGGTAGCAGGATAGTGAATGAGATGAGGTAACAGGATGAACAAGGCCAGATGCTGACGTTGGTTAATTGGGGTTTAGTTGCTTTGATGTCTGATGTTGATATTTTCTCCTCCAGTTGGAGCGTGCTGAGGTGCGGCTGGAGGGCATTGACACCATGCTGAAGCTGGCCTCCAAGAGCTTCCTGCTGCCCTCTGTCCAGTACGCCATGCTGTGTGGCTGGCAGAGGGTCATACCTGAGGGGACCAACATCGGGTACATGGCACTGGTTTTACAGTTGTTTCTGAGGTGTAAAGGATGTCTGTTGAGGAGCTTGCCTGAGACATGCATGTTGATGAGGAGTAGGAGTTTACTGTCATTTCTCATGGCAGTTGTGGAACTTGTCTGATTTAATGCATGTTTAGTTTTGTGTCTGTATGTGTTAGTTACTGGTTTGTGTGTGTGTGTGTGTGTGTGTGTGTGTGTGTGTGTGTGTGTGTGTTAGTTAGTTAGTTGTGTGTGTTAGTTAGTCGTGTGTGTGTGTGTGTTAGTTACTAGTGTGTGTGTGTGTGTGTGTGTGTGTGTTAGTTACTGGTGTAGTGTGTGTGTGTGTGTGTGTTAGTTACTAGTGTGTGTGTGTGTGTGTTAGTTACTGGTGTGTGTTGTGTTGTGATGTATCCCTCAGGGAGCCGCTGTCCGACTGTCTGAAAGACGTAGATCTGATCCCTCCCTTTAACCGCATGCTGTTAGAGATGACCTTCGGGAAGCTGTACGCCTGGTCCATCCAGAACGTACGCAACATACTGCTGGAAGCAAGTGGCAGGTTTAATGAACTGGGTGAGCTAACGGCTACCATGGCTCCACATAGCCTGGGGGGCCCAGCACTTTAATATCCATCTTCTATAGAGGTTACCACCAGGCTACTACCATGGCTCCACATAGCCTGGGGGGCCCAGCACTTTAATATCCATCTTCTATAGAGGTTACCACCAGGCTACTACCATGGCTCCACATAGCCTGGGGGGCCCAGCACTTTAATATCCATCTTCTATAGAGGTTACCACCAGGCTACTAACATGGCTCAAACATTATGGAGCAGAATCCTTAGAGACTTCAGTTAAATCAGAATTTGATGTAAATCATTGATGTCAATGGAAGAGTAAAGATTCTGACCTAAATGCGTAATGAATGAATGTATGACCTAACTCTGTCACTGTTGTTACCGTGTGGATTCCAGGTGTACAGCCCGTCCCTCTCCAGACCATTACCAATGAGAACCCGGCCAGTCCCAGTCTGGGTATCATCCCCCAGGCCCGTTTCCTTCTCTCCATGCTCCACATGCTGTCTCTGAAACACGGAGCCAACAGCCTCACGCTGCTGCTCAACTCTGGAACTCTGGCCCTCACACAGAGCATCCTCAGACTCATAGGTGAGGACTGGCAGCATGGTATCCACTCTGACTCATACAGACACACACACACACACGGTTATTGATGATTGTCTGTTATTGATCATTGTTTCCAGGCCCCAGTACAGACAGCAGTGAGGAGGAGCTGGAGACGAGAGGTCACGGGGGGTCAGCTACGGTGCTGGAGGAGAGCCGAAAAGAGGCGACCCCCACTCCCCTGCCCGCCTCAGGACCTGAACTAGCTGCCATGATGAAGATCGGAACCAGGGTGATGAGAGGACTGGACTGGAAGTGGGGAGATCAGGTTAATAACTAGTACTACTGGTATTATATACTACTGGTATACCACTATTACTACTACTACTACTATTAATACTACTACTAGTTTATAATGATTCACTAAGTATGAGAGGATTGGACTGGAAGTGAGAGGATCAGGTCAGGGGAGAACGACTGCCCCCTCGCACTGAGGATTTCAAGTTGAAGGCCGACCGCGGTACTGCAGGCATTGTTTCCAGAAAACAGGATCCCCCATTATAGTGAATGGGGAAATGGTGACCTGTTGTGGTCAATATTCGTGGATATACACCGAGTCTACAAAACATTAAGAACAGCTGTTCTTTCCATGCCGTAGACTGACCAGGTGAATCCAGGTGAAAGCTATGATCCCTTATTGGTCAGTGTAGATCAATGGCGGTTGGTGCCGTTGTAGATGAGGGAGGACGAAATATGTTTTTATGAGCTTGGCCTTATGTCTGTTACAGCGTATTGGATGACTGTCTATTCACCCTGTCCAATGTAACATCGATACGTTTAGGCTGCTACATGATACTCGTGAGGTTGCTACAACCTAGTCTACGAATGAAAGTTTACAACGTAGGTACACACAGGTCGAGAGAAAAATGTGAGGTGACAGACGGTGACATCCAATACCGCCTTGCCACTCTTGTCTGCATCCAGCTGACCTAGGTTGTAATCGTTAGGGCTTTTCTATTGGACAAATTCAGGTATGTTTATCCCCGTTTCGTTCCGTTTGCTTCCGTTTATGAAAAGTTTTCCAACAGAATCGGCTGAATGAATACACCCCTGATCACACGCAAACACAGTTCACTTTCATAGCAGCCTAGTTGTATTATATCATATAGGGGTGTGCCGAGGAGTCGGACAAAACTAGTATTGTAACGGATATTTTCTGGATACGATTATGATCCGAGTATTTCTTGTAATTATCCGGGAAAAAAAGTTGTTCTTCGGTGACAGCAAGCGTCTTTCTCATGTCAGTCACAGAGTTTCTAAATCATACTGTACTGTCTGAGTCGGTCTAAATAACTCAGCTGGTTAGTTTGCCTGTCTGTAAAGAGAAGGGCGGGCTGTACGTTGATCCTGCTGTTCTGATTGGATAGAGTGAAGCTGTATTTCTCCGTCCACGCTCTTCATAATTTCACCCGATTTACTTTTCCTCGCATGTTTTCGGTCAGATCATTTAGAGTGCTGCTGCCTGCTACTATGATAAATCACATGGTGAGGACGTTTAATGCTCCTGCTACTATGATAAATCACATGGTGAGGACGTTTAATGCTCCTGCTACTATGATAAATCACATGGTGAGGGCGTTTAATGCTCCTGCTACTATGATAAATCACATGGTGAGGACGTTTTAATGCTCCTGCTACTATGATAAATCACATGGTGAGGACGTTTAATGCTCCTGCTACTATGATAAATCACATGGTGAGGACGTTTAATGCTCCTGCTACTATGATAAATCACATGGTGAGGACGTTTAATGCTCCTGCTACTATGATAAATCACATGGTGAGGACGTTTAATGCTCCTGCTACTATGATAAATCACATGGTGAGGACGTTTAATGCTCCTGCTACTATGATAAATCACATGGTGAGGACGTTTAATGCTCCTGCTACTATGATAAATCACATGGTGAGGACGTTTAATGCTCCTGCTACTATGATAAATCACATGGTGAGGACGTTTAATGCTCCTGCTACTATGATAAATCACATGGTGAGGACGTTTAATGCTCCTGCTACTATGATAAATCACATGGTGAGGACGTTTGCTATCAAGCTATCAATGTGCATCATATCTAACAAGCGGGGCGAGGGTAGGGGAAAAAAATATGAAACTAATGCACATTCTGACGGAGTGACAGCAAACTTAATAATAATAATAATAATATGCCATTTAGCAGACGCTTTTATCCGAAGCGACTTAGTCATGTGCGCATACATTTTTACGTATGGGTGGTCCCGGGGATCGAACCCACTACCCTGGCGTTACCAGCGCCGTGCTCTACCAGCTGAGCTACAGAGGACCTTGGCTGCCTGCAGCAACTTGATCACACAGCCACCCCTCCCTGTGCTGCTCCTAATCTGCAGCTTTTTAGCAGTGAAGTATTTCGCCAACATCTATTTTAGGCATATTAAAACACGTCCTTTGTTTGTTATTTTGAAGTTTTCCTCTTGTCATTGCATACCTTAGAGAGCTATTTATAACTTGTCAGAAATGTCCAGATCAACTAGCCCATGTCAGCTAATGTTTTTTTAGTTAGGTTTTTTAGCACATAATTTTGTAGTAATGTTTGAGTCACTCATTAGACATGACAAAATGTATAGAGTTGCAAGAAAATAAGCTTTAAACCTGCTAAATTGTACCTCTCCCAACAAGAGGGTGTGAAGTTTGTGTCATGAACAGTGCTTGTGTCCATAGAAACAGACGTGGGATTGAGGGGCGCGGGATGTTCCCCAACGCTGGAAGTGGGGGCCTGGGTGAAAAGGTTTGGGAACCCTTGTGCTAAATGACTAAAATGTTAATGTCTCCCTGTAGGACGGTCCTGCGCCGGGTCTGGGCCGGGTGATAGGGGAGCTGGGTGAGGATGGCTGGATAAGGGTCCAGTGGGATACCAGCAGTACCAACTCCTACAGGATGGGGAAGGAGGGAAAATACGACCTGAAACTGTCCGAGCCCCCACCTTCCTCCCAGCCTGCCACTGAAGACTCTGACACTGAGGACGACACTGGTCAGTGTATATATAGACACAATACGCCCCCTGGTGCAAATCAAATCAATCACATTTGATTTCTTAAGGCCTACATCAACAGTGATCAAAGCAAGTGCTTTGCAATGTGTAGTAAAAGTCACTGAGGTGAAATAACAAGTCAGACAGACCTTTTCTCTAATATACAGGGGGTTTGTTCCTGTGTGCATTAGAAGGAGAGGTTCTGGATAAGAGCACCCACCCCACAGCCATGTTGTTGACCAGCACAGTGAACCTGTTGAAGACCCTTTCTCTGTCTGCTGGGATCTACTCCGAGGTGATGCAGACAGACGCCACGCGGACCCTCTGTGGCCTACTCCGCATGCTGGTGGAGAGTGGAGCCAAAGACAAGACCGGTAACTCATCGGAACTAGAGGAAGAAACTATGTATATGGAATCACTCAGCCCTGACAAATGGCTCAGTCTACCCTCTGCCCTCAGGTTGTCCATCTCACCGGCTGGTGTCCAGAGAGCAGCATCGTAGCTGGTGTACTCTGTCCTGACCTCTAACCTCTACCCTCTGCCCTTCAGGTTGTCCATCTCACCGGCTGGTGTCCAGAGAGCAGCATCGGAGCTGGTGTACTCTGTCCTGACCTCTAACCTCTACCCTCTGCCCTTCAGGTTGTCCATCTCACCGGCTGGTGTCCAGAGAGCAGCATCGTAGCTGGTGTACTCTGTCCTGACCTCTAACCTCTACCCTCTGCCCTTCAGGTTGTCCATCTCACCGGCTGGTGTCCAGAGAGCAGCATCGGAGCTGGTGTACTCTGTCCTGACCTCTAACCTCTACCCTCTGCCCTTCAGGTTGTCCATCTCACCGGCTGGTGTCCAGAGAGCAGCATCGTAGCTGGTGTACTCTGTCCTGACCTCTAACCTCTACCCTCTGCCCTTCAGGTTGTCCATCTCACCGGCTGGTGTCCAGAGAGCAACATCGTAGCTGGTGTACTCTGTCCTGACCTCTAACCTCTACCCTCTGCCCTCAGGTTGTCCATCTCACCGGCTGGTGTCCAGAGAGCAACATCGTAGCTCTTGTACTCTGTCCTGACCTCTAACCTCTACCCTCTGCCCTTCAGGTTGTCCATCTCACCGGCTGGTTTTCCAGAGAGCAGCATCGGAGCTGGTGTACTCTGTCCTGACCTCTAACCTCTACCCTCTGCCCTTCAGGTTGTCCATCTCACCGGCTGGTGTCCAGAGAGCAGCATCGTAGCTGGTGTACTCTGTCCTGACCTCTAACCTCTACCCTCTGCCCTTCAGGTTGTCCATCTCACCGGCTGGTGTCCAGAGAGCAACATCGTAGCTCTTGTACTCTGTCCTGACCTCTAACCTCTACCCTCTGCCCTTCAGGTTGTCCATCTCACCGGCTGGTTTCCAGAGAGCAGCATCGGAGCTGGTGTACTCTGTCCTGACCTCTAACCTCTACCCTCTGCCCTTCAGGTTGTCCATCTCACCGGCTGGTTTCCAGAGAGCAGCATCGTAGCTGGTGTACTCTGTCCTGACCTCTAACCTCTACCCTCTGCCCTTCAGGTTGTCCATCTCACCGGCTGGTGTCCAGAGAGCAACATCGTAGCTGGTGTACTCTGTCCTGACCTCTAACCTCTACCCTCTGCCCTCAGGTTGTCCATCTCACCGGCTGGTGTCCAGAGAGCAACATCGTAGCTCTTGTACTCTGTCCTGACCTCTAACCTCTACCCTCTGCCCTTCAGGTTGTCCATCTCACCGGCTGGTTTCCAGAGAGCAGCATCGGAGCTGGTGTACTCTGTCCTGACCTCTAACCTCTACCCTCTGCCCTTCAGGTTGTCCATCTCACCGGCTGGTGTCCAGAGAGCAGCATCGTAGCTGGTGTACTCTGTCCTGACCTCTAACCTCTACCCTCTGCCCTTCAGGTTGTCCATCTCACCGGCTGGTGTCCAGAGAGCAACATCGTAGCTCTTGTACTCTGTCCTGACCTCTAACCTCTACCCTCTGCCCTTCAGGTTGTCCATCTCACCGGCTGGTTTCCAGAGAGCAGCATCGGAGCTGGTGTACTCTGTCCTGACCTCTAACCTCTACCCTCTGCCCTTCAGGTTGTCCATCTCACCGGCTGGTTTCCAGAGAGCAGCATCGTAGCTGGTGTACTCTGTCCTGACCTCTAACCTCTACCCTCTGCCCTTCAGGTTGTCCATCTCACCGGCTGGTTTCCAGAGAGCAGCATCGGAGCTGGTGTACTCTGTCCTGACCTCTAACCTCTACCCTCTGCCCTTCAGGTTGTCCATCTCACCGGCTGGTTTCCAGAGAGCAGCATCGGAGCTGGTGTACTCTGTCCTGACCTCTAACCTCTACCCTCTGCCCTTCAGGTTGTCCATCTCACCGGCTGGTGTCCAGAGAGCAGCATCGTAGCTGGTGTACTCTGTCCTGACCTCTAACCTCTACCCTCTGCCCTTCAGGTTGTCCATCTCACCGGCTGGTGTCCAGAGAGCAGCATCGGAGCTGGTGTACTCTGTCCTGACCTCTAACATCTACCCTCTGCCCTTCAGGTTGTCCATCTCACCGGCTGGTTTCCAGAGAGCAGCATCGGAGCTGGTGTACTCTGTCCTGACCTCTAACCTCTACCCTCTGCCCTTCAGGTTGTCCATCTCACCGGCTGGTTTCCAGAGAGCAGCATCGGAGCTGGTGTACTCTGTCCTGACCTCTAACCTCTACCCTCTGCCCTTCAGGTTGTCCATCTCACCGGCTGGTTTCCAGAGAGCAGCATCGGAGCTGGTGTACTCTGTCCTGACCTCTAACCTCTACCCTCTGCCCTTCAGGTTGTCCATCTCACCGGCTGGTGTCCAGAGAGCAGCATCGGAGCTGGTGTACTCTGTCCTGACCTCTAACCTCTACCCTCTGCCCTTCAGGTTGTCCATCTCACCGGCTGGTTTCCAGAGAGCAGCATCGGAGCTGGTGTACTCTGTCCTGACCTCTAACCTCTACCCTCTGCCCTTCAGGTTGTCCATCTCACCGGCTGGTGTCCAGAGAGCAGCATCGGAGCTGGTGTACTCTGTCCTGACCTCTAACCTCTACCCTCTGCCCTCAGGTTGTCCATCTCACCGGCTGGTTTCCAGAGAGCAGCATCGGAGCTGGTGTACTCTGGGTTTCATCCGCAGTATTGCCCTCCAGCCGCAGATGTGTTCTACTCTAAGTACTCCGGCCTGGATCAGCCTGCTGATCCGCATCGTAGAGGGACAACAGTCCTTTAACGCTGTTACGCTGCAGAGACAGGTAAGACCATCTTGATGTTGGTCAATGAAAGACTGGTGCTGATGTTCTGCTGGCGGTGGGTTGGCGGAGCTGGCTTTGGTACCGCTTTATGGCCACTGTCAAACAGAGTGACAGATGAGGACAGAACAGTCCACCATCATGGGACAGAGATAATGAATGGAGAGGCATGTCCTCCCTGTCCCCAGAGAGACTGGAGAGGCATGTCCTCCCTGTCCCCAGAGATAATGAATGGAGAGGCATGTCCTCCCTGTCCCCAGAGAGACTGAATGGAAAGGCATGTCCTCCCTGTCCCCAGAGAGACTGAATGGAGAGGCATGTCCTCCCTGTCCCCAGAGAGAATGAATGGAGAGGCATGTCCTCCCTGTCCCCAGAGAGACTGAATGGAGAGGCATGTCCTCCCTGTCCCCAGAGAGACTGGAGAGGCATGTCCTCCCTGTCCCCAGAGAGACTGAATGGAAAGGCATGTCCTCCCTGTCCCCAGAGAGACTGAATGGAAAGGCATGTCCTCCCTGTCCCCAGAGATAATGAATGGAGAGGCATGTCCTCCCTGTCCCCAGAGAGAATGAATGGAGAGGCATGTCCTCCCTGTCCCCAGAGAGAATGAATGGAGAGGCATGTCCTCCCTGTCCCCAGAGAGACTGGAGAGGCATGTCCTCCCTGTCCCCAGAGAGACTGAATGGAGAGGCATGTCCTCCCTGTCCCCAGAGAGACTGAATGGAAAGGCATGTCCTCCCTGTCCCCAGAGAGACTGAATGGAGAGGCATGTCCTCCCTGTCCCCCAGAGAGACTGAATGGAGAGGCATGTCCTCCATGTCCCCAGAGAGACTGGAGAGGCATGTCCTCCATGTCCCCAGAGAGACTGGAGAGGCATGTCCTCCATGTCCCCAGAGAGACTGAATGGAAAGGCATGTCCTCCCTGTCCCCAGAGATAATGAATGGAGAGGCATGTCCTCCCTGTCCCCAGAGAGACTGGAGAGGCATGTCCTCCCTGTCCCCAGAGAGACTGGAGAGGCATGTCCTCCATGTCCCCAGAGAGACTGAATGGAGAGGCATGTCCTCCCTGTCCCCAGAGAGACTGAATGGAAAGGCATGTCCTCCCTGTCCCCAGAGAGACTGAATGGAGAGGCATGTCCTCCCTGTCCCCAGAGAGACTGAATGGAGAGGCATGTCCTCCCTGTCCCCAGAGAGACTGAATGGAGAGGCATGTCCTCCCTGTCCCCAGAGAGACTGAATGGAGAGGCATGTCCTCCATGTCCCCAGAGAGACTGGAGAGGCATGTCCTCCATGTCCCCAGAGAGACTGGAGAGGCATGTCCTCCATGTCCCCAGAGAGACTGAATGGAAAGGCATGTCCTCCCTGTCCCCAGAGATAATGAATGGAGAGGCATGTCCTCCCTGTCCCCAGAGAGACTGGAGAGGCATGTCCTCCCTGTCCCCAGAGAGACTGGAGAGGCATGTCCTCCATGTCCCCAGAGAGACTGAATGGAGAGGCATGTCCTCCCTGTCCCCAGAGAGACTGAATGGAAAGGCATGTCCTCCCTGTCCCCAGAGAGACTGAATGGAGAGGCATGTCCTCCCTGTCCCCAGAGAGAATGAATGGAGAGGCATGTCCTCCCTGTCCCCAGAGAGAATGAATGGAGAGGCATGTCCTCCCTGTCCCCAGAGAGACTGAATAGAGAGGCATGTCCTCCCTGTCCCCAGAGAGACTGAATGGAGAGGCATGTCCTCCCTGTCCCCAGAGAGACTGAATGGAGAGGCATGTCCTCCCTGTCCCCAGAGAGACTGGAGAGGCATGTCCTCCCTGTCCCCAGAGAGACTGAATGGAAAGGCATGTCCTCCCTGTCCCCAGATTTCTAACTGATCCTGGCTCTGCGTCTGCTGTATAGAGCTGGCCAAATGAGACATTCCCCTTGTATCCCCTGTATCGATATTATTCTGTGTGTAACGAGTGTCTCCTCCCTGTCTCCAGATCCTGGCTCTGCGTCTGCTGCAGGCCGTGCTCCCCTCCTGGGACAAGATGGAGAGATCTCAGGACATGAAGTTCCTGGTGGAGAAACTCTTTGGTTTCCTGGGGGGTCTGCTCAGTACCTGCTCCTCTGACCTGCCTCTGCTCAGAGGTATGACCCCTAACCCCTAACCCCTCACCCTGACCCCTAACCCCTGACCCCTAACCCCTCACCCTGACCCCTAACCCCTAACCCCTAACCCTGACCCTAAACTCTTTGGTTTCCTGGGGGGTCTGCTCAGTACCTGCTCCTCTGACCTGCCTCTGCTCAGAGGTATGACCCCTAACCCCTAACCCCTCACCCTGACCCCTAACCCCTAACCCTGACCCCTAACCCCTAACCCCTAACCCTGACCCTAAACTCTTTGGTTTCCTGGGGGGTCTGCTCAGTACCTGCTCCTCTGACCTGCCTCTGCTCAGAGGTATGACCCCTAACCCCTAACCCCTCACCCTGACCCCTAACCCTGACCCCTAACCCCTGACCCCTCACCCTGACCCCTAACCCCTCACCCTGACCCCTAGCCCCTAACCCTGTCCCCTAACCCCTCACCCTGACCCCTAACCCTGACCCCTAACCCCTAACCCTGACCCTAAACTCTTTGGTTTCCTGGGGGGTCTGCTTCACTCCTGCTCCTCTGATCTGCCTCTGCTCAGAGGTATGTACCCTAACCCCTAACCCCTAACCCTGACCCCTAACCCCTAACCCCTAACCCTGACCCTAAACTCTTTGGTTTCCTGGGGGGTCTGCTTCACTCCTGCTCCTCTGATCTGCCTCTGCTCAGAGGTATGTACCCTAACCCCTAACCCCTAACCCTGACCCCTAACCCCTAACCCCTAACCCTGACCCTAAACTCTTTGGTTTCCTGGGGGGTCTGCTCAGTACCTGCTCCTCTGACCTGCCTCTGCTCAGAGGTATGACCCCTAACCCCTAACCCCTCACCCTGACCCCTAACCCCTCACCCCGACCCCTAACCCCTAACCCTAAACTCTGGTTTCCTGGGGGGTCTGCTTCACTCCTGCTCCTCTGATCTGCCTCTGCTCAGAGGTATGTACCCTAACCCCTAACCCCTCACCCTAACCCCTATCCCTGACCCTAAACTCTTTGGTTTCCTGGGGGGTCTGCTTCACTCCTGCTCCTCTGATCTGCCTCTGCTCAGAGGTATGGGAGGGTTAAATACAACTTTATGAACCCCCTCAGGTGCAAATCAAGACCAATGATAACATTGTCCATGTACCAACACAAGGACCGTATACACATAGAACATTCCCTCGGACTAAGTATCTCTCTGTTCTCTGTAATAACATGTCTTCCTGTCCCTGTTACAGAGGGCTCTCTGAGACGCAGGAAGTCCCGCCCCCAGGCCTCCCTGACAGCCAGTCACAGCAGTACACTGGCTGAGGAGATAGTTGCTGTGCTGCGCACGCTGCACTCCCTGGGCCAATGGAATGCTCTGATCAACGACTATATCAACTCTCAACTCAGCTGTATAGGAGATGTGATGGCCGGACGACACTCTGAGGTGCTACTCTCTTCTTACTGCACTATGGGCCCGTTTCCCAGACACAGATTAAGTCCTGGACTAAAAAGCTCTTTCAGTGGAGAATCTGTGCTGAGAATGGTTTTTATATTTATTATGTGATGATGACTTCATGTGGGAGCAGCAGCGCTTAATGTATGTTCAAGAGAGATGTCCCCTCAGGATCAACTTCAGTCTCCCAATCTCACTGTTGTAGAACTCTTCACAAGTGTTATGGGTTCGATCGTCTATCCTCATGTTGACTTTACTGTCAGTTCTTTATGAAAACATCTGCATCTTCTTTAAGACTCAATCAACTTTATTTAGAAAATATCACAGTGTAATAATGTTCTCTCTCTGTCCCCAGGCCCTCCTAGAGGAATACTTCCCTGACTCGGAGGGCCCCAGGGTGGGTAGTTTGATGGCCGTGCTGGCTGTGATCGGGGGCATCGACGGGAGGCTGAGGCTGGGCGGACAGGTCGTCCACGAGGAGTATGGAGAGGGAACGGTCACACGCATCACACCTAAAGGACGAATCACAGTCCAGTTTCATGAGATGAGGACCTGTAGGATCTGCCTGCTCAGCCAACTCAAACCAGTAGGTGTTTAGCTATTCACACACACACCATTATCTCCGGGTGTAGTTCTAACGACCCTGTCCGTCCTCCCCTAGCTACCAGTAGTATCGTTCAGCGTTCAGAACCTTCCCTTCTCTGACTCCATGTTGGTTGTCTGGGCTCAACTGGTTAACCTGGCCGGCAGCAAGCTGGAGAAACAACGCCTGAAGAAGTCCCTCAGCCGTGGACTCACAGGTAGGAGACCCACAGAGAATCACTGTCTGAGTCACAAACTGTAGTAGTTAACTCTCTGAATCACTGAGTCGCATAGTAGTTAACTCTCTGAATCACTGAGTCGCATAGTAGTTAACTCTCTGAATCACTGAGTCGCATAGTAGTTAACTCTCTGAATCACTGAGTCGCATAGTAGTTAACTCTCTGAATCACTGAGTTGCATAGTAGGTAACTCTCTGAATCACTGAGTCGCATAGTAGTTAACTCTCCGAATCACTGAGTCGCATAGTAGTTAACTCTCTGAATCACTGAGTCGCATAGTAGTTAACTCTCTGAATCACTGAGTTGCATAGTAGGTAACTCTCTGAATCACTGAGTCGCATAGTAGTTAACTCTCTGAATCACTGAGTCGCATAGTAGATAACTCTCTGAATCACTGAGTCGCATAGTAGGTAACTCTGAATCACTGAGTCGCATAGTAGTTAACTCTCTGAATCACTGAGTCGCATAGTAGTTAACTCTCTGAATCACTGAGTCGCATAGTAGTTAACTCTCTGAATCACTGAGTCGCATAGTAGGTAACTCTCTGAATCACTGAGTCGCATAGTAGTTAACTCTCTGAATCACTGAGTCGCATAGTAGTTAACTCTCTGAATCACTGAGTCGCATAGTAGTTAACTCTCTGAATCACTGAGTCGCATAGTAGGTAACTCTCTGAATCACTGAGTCGCATAGTAGGTAACTCTCTGAATCACTGAATCGCATAGTAGTCTCAACCCTCTCTCGCTCTCTCCCCACCCACCCATCACTGAGTCGCATAGTAGTTAACTCTCTGAATCACTGAGTCGCATAGTAGTTAACTCTCTGAATCACTGAATCGCATAGTAGTTAACTCTCTGAATCACTGAATCGCATAGTAGTCTCAACCCTCTCTCGCTCTCTCCCCACCCACAACATTTCAGTCGCATCTTGCGCCATAGTCTACACTTGTCTGTCCCTCATGCATGCAACAACTAGCTCGCCTGTTCTAGCCGCACTGATTGGTGAAATTATTTATTGAGATAAATGTCTGAGTCACAAACTGTAGTAGTTAACTCTCTGAATCACTGAGTCGCATAGTAGTTAACTCTCTGAATCACTGAGTCGCATAGTAGTTAACTCTCTGAATCACTGAGTCGCATAGTAGTTAACTCTCTGAATCACTGAGTCGCATAGTAGTTAACTCTCTGAATCACTGAGTCGCATAGTAGTTAACTCTCTGAATCACTGAGTCGCATAGTAGGTAACTCTCTGAATCACTGAGTCGCATAGTAGGTAACTCTCTGAATCACTGAGTCGCATAGTAGGTAACTCTCTGAATCACTGAGTCGCATAGTAGTTAACTCTCTGAATCACTGAGTCGCATAGTAGTTAACTCTCTGAATCACTGAGTCGCATAGTAGTTAACTCTCTGAATCACTGAGTCGCATAGTAGTTAACTCTCTGAATCACTGAGTCGCATAGTAGTTAACTCTCTGAATCACTGAGTCGCATAGTAGGTAACTCTCTGAATCACTGAGTCGCATAGTAGTTAACTCTCCGAATCACTGAGTCGCATAGTAGTTAACTCTCTGAATCACTGAGTCGCATAGTAGTTAACTCTCTGAATCACTGAGTTGCATAGTAGGTAACTCTCTGAATCACTGAGTCGCATAGTAGTTAACTCTCTGAATCACTGAGTCGCATAGTAGATAACTCTCTGAATCACTGAGTCGCATAGTAGGTAACTCTGAATCACTGAGTCGCATAGTAGTTAACTCTCTGAATCACTGAGTCGCATAGTAGTTAACTCTCTGAATCACTGAGTCGCATAGTAGTTAACTCTCTGAATCACTGAGTCGCATAGTAGTTAACTCTCTGAATCACTGAGTCGCATAGTAGGTAACTCTCTGAATCACTGAGTCGCATAGTAGTTAACTCTCTGAATCACTGAGTCGCATAGTAGTTAACTCTCTGAATCACTGAATCGCATAGTAGTCTCAACCCTCTCTCGCTCTCTCCCCACCCACAACATTTCAGTCGCATCTTGCGCCATAGTCTACACTTGTCTGTCCCTCATGCATGCAACAACTAGCTCGCCTGTTCTAGCCGCACTGATTGGTGAAATTATTTATTGAGATAAATGTTTTTTTTAAACGGTTGATTTCACAGGTTAAAAAAGGAACAGACAAGTGTAGACTATGGCGCAAGATGCGACTGAAATGTTGTGGGTGGGGAGAGAGCGAGAGAGGGTTGAGACTACTATGCGATTCAGTGATTCAGAGAGTTAACTACTATGCGACTCAGTGATTCAGAGAGTTAACTACTACAGTTTGTGACTCAGACATTTATCTCAATAAATAATTTCACCAATCAGTGCGGCTAGAACAGGCGAGCTAGTTGTTGCATGCATGAGGGACAGACAAGTGTAGACTATGGCGCAAGATGCGACTGAAATGTTGTGGGTGGGGAGAGAGCGAGAGAGGGTTGAGACTACTATGCGATTCAGTGATTCAGAGAGTTAACTACTATGCGACTCAGTGATTCAGAGAGTTAACTACTATGCGACTCAGTGATTCAGAGAGTTAACTACTATGCGACTCAGTGGGGGGTTCAAACCGGTTCAGTACTTTATTTTGCTGGTCAGAACAATGGAACAGAACATAAATACTTCTGCTATAAAACACACTGTGAAACCAGGCCACCCACCTACACCTACTCTCTGTTCAGGTTCAGAACCAGGCCACCCACCTACACCTACTCTCTGTTCAGGTTCAGAACCAGGCCACCCACCTACACCTACTCTCTGTTCAGGTTCAGAACCAGGCCACCCACCTACTCTCTGTTCAGGTTCAGAACCAGGCCACCCACCTACTCTCTGTTCAGGTTCAGAACCAGGCCACCCACCTACTCTCTGTTCAGGTTCAGAACCAGGCCACCCACCTACACCTACTCTCTCTTCAGGTTCAGAACCAGGCCACCCACCTACTCTCTGTTCAGGTTCAGAACCAGGCCACCCACCTACTCTCTGTTCAGGTTCAGAAACAGGCCACCCACCTACTCTCTGTTCAGGTTCAGAACCAGGCCACCCACCTACTCTCTGTTCAGGTTCAGAACCAGGCCACCCACCTCTGTTCAGTCAGAACCAGGCCACCCACCTACTCTCTGTTCAGGTTCAGAACCAGGCCACCCACCTACACCTACTCTCTCTTCAGGTTCAGAACCAGGCCACCCACCTACACCTACTCTCTGTTCAGGTTCAGAACCAGGCCACCCACCTACACCTACTCTCTGTTCAGGTTCAGAACCAGGCCACCCACCTACTCTCTGTTCAGGTTCAGTGTGTTTGTTTGCTATTAGCAGAATGTTCTGACTGACACAATGAACTATATGTCCTGTCGCCTTTCTGGCAATGTTCTGCTTCGTGCTCTAGGACATGATGCTGTTGGTTCCTGTTGAACTGTTCTTCACGCCTCAGTAACCAGGTGTTCTGTGTCTCCTGTTCTACCACTGACTCTATTTTACACCGTGGAAGTCTGTCTGTTCAGTGTGTGTCTGTAGACTGTTCAAGTCCACGTTGTAACTGTGTATTGATGTCATCTAGCTGACCAGGTAGACATTGCCCTCTTGCGGTGCCAGCAGCTGAGACTGTACATCCTGAAGGCAGCCAGAGCGCTCCTCTCATACCAGGACAAACTTCGACAGATCCTCTCTCAGGCTGCCGTGCTAGACCTGCCACCCAACCCCAGCGGTAAGCACTGATTCAGGGTCAGATCTAACCCTAGCAGGGCTAGTCTGGTCCCCCTTGTGAGTGGATATAATGATAACTCGGAGAAAGAGTCTCTGTTGAATGGTTGACGTTGTAGATATTTATTGGGTGATCTGAGGGTCCCCCGCCCTCATCCTCCTCTCCCTCCCTCCCTCCCTCCCTCCCTCCCTCCCTCCCTCTCTTTACAGAGGAGTCTATGGCCGTGTCTCCTGATGTGGGTGACCTGTCTCCTGAGGGTCCTCTGCCCCCCCTTCTTCTTGTCCAGCAGCTGCTTTCTGCAGCAACACAGCCCTCACCTATCAAGGCCATCTTCGACAGGCAGGAACTGGAGGTAAGAACCCACGCTTTCACAGACACCAGGATTTCCGTTAGCCAGTAATTGACGGCTTTTGGCAAAAAAAATTGTTGCTGGCCAAATTGTCAGGGAGAAAGAAAAAAAATCCCATTTGCAAAATAATGCTTTTTATTCAAAGGCAAATATATAATGAACAAAAATATAAATGCAACATGTAAAGGGTTGGTCCCATGTTTCATGAGCTGAAATAAAAGATCCCAGAAATGTTCCATATGCACAATTTCTTTACATCCCTGTTGGTGAGCATTTCTCCTTTGCCAAGATAATCCATCCACCTGACAGCTGTGGCATATCAAGAAGCTGATTAAACAGCATGATCATTACACAGGTGCACCTTTGTAACAAAAAATGCCACTAAAATGTGCAGTTCTGTCACACAACACAATGCCACTGATGGAGCGTGCAATCACCAGAGCTGTTGCATGTTCATGTTGTTTCCATCTCTCTAGGCTGCAGCCCTGGCAGTGTGTCAGTACTGATGATGTTCCCATCTCTCTAGGCTGCAGCCCTGGCAGTGTGTCAGTACTGATGATGTTTCCATCTCTCTAGGCTGCAGCCCTGGCAGTGTGTCAGTACTGATGATGTTTCCATCTCTCTAGTCTGCAGCCCTGGCAGTGTGTCAGTACTGATGATGTTTCCATCTCTCTAGGCTGCAGCCCTGGCAGTGTGTCAGTACTGATGATGTTCCCATCTCTCTAGGCTGCAGCCCTGGCAGTGTGTCAGTACTGATGATGTTTCCATCTCTCTAGGCTGCAGCCCTGGCAGTGTGTCAGTACTGATGATGTTCCCATCTCTCTAGGCTGCAGCCCTGGCAGTGTGTCAGTACTGATGATGTTCCCATCTCTCTAGTCTGCAGCCCTGGCAGTGTGTCAGTACTGATGAAGTTTCCATCTCTCTAGGCTGCAGCCCTGGCAGTGTGTCAGTACTGATGTTTCCATCTCTCTAGGCTGCAGCCCTGGCAGTGTGTCAGTACTGATGTTGTTCCCATCTCTCTAGGCTGCAGCCCTGGCAGTGTGTCAGTACTGATGATGTTCCCATCTCTCTAGGCTGCAGCCCTGGCAGTGTGTCAGTACTGATGATGTTTCCATCTCTCTAGGCTGCAGCCCTGGCAGTGTGTCAGTACTGATGATGTTTCCATCTCTCTAGGCTGCAGCCCTGGCAGTGTGTCAGTACTGATGAAGTTTCCATCTCTCTAGGCTGCAGCCCTGGCAGTGTGTCAGTACTGATGTTTCCATCTCTCTAGGCTGCAGCCCTGGCAGTGTGTCAGTACTGATGATGTTCCCATCTCTCTAGGCTGCAGCCCTGGCAGTGTGTCAGTACTGATGTTGTTTCCATCTCTCTAGGCTGCAGCCCTGGCAGTGTGTCAGTACTGATGATGTTTCCATCTCTCTAGGCTGCAGCCCTGGCAGTGTGTCAGTACTGATGTTGTTTCCATCTCTCTAGGCTGCAGCCCTGGCAGTGTGTCAGTACTGATGATGTTCCCATCTCTCTAGGCTGCAGCCCTGGCAGTGTGTCAGTACTGATGTTGTTTCCATCTCTCTAGGCTGCAGCCCTGGCAGTGTGTCAGTACTGATGTTCCCATCTCTCTAGGCTGCAGCCCTGGCAGTGTGTCAGTACTGACGATGTTTCCATCTCTCTAGGCTGCAGCCCTGGCAGTGTGTCAGTACTGATGATGTTCCCATCTCTCTAGGCTGCAGCCCTGGCAGTGTGTCAGTACTGACGATGTTTCCATCTCTCTAGGCTGCAGCCCTGGCAGTGTGTCAGTACTGATGTTTCCATCTCTCTAGTCTGCAGCCCTGGCAGTGTGTCAGTACTGACGATGTTTCCATCTCTCTAGGCTGCAGCCCTGGCAGTGTGTCAGTACTGATGTTGTTCCCATCTCTCTAGTCTGCAGCCCTGGCAGTGTGTCAGTACTGATGATGTTCCCATCTCTCTAGGCTGCAGCCCTGGCAGTGTGTCAGTACTGATGTTCCCATCTCTCTAGGCTGCAGCCCTGGCAGTGTGTCAGTACTGATGTTTCCATCTCTCTAGGCTGCAGCCCTGGCAGTGTGTCAGTACTGATGATGTTCCCATCTCTCTAGGCTGCAGCCCTGGCAGTGTGTCAGTACTGATGTTGTTTCCATCTCTCTAGTCTGCAGCCCTGGCAGTGTGTCAGTACTGATGTTGTTTCCATCTCTCTAGGCTGCAGCCCTGGCAGTGTGTCAGTACTGATGTTGTTTCCATCTCTCTAGGCTGCAGCCCTGGCAGTGTGTCAGTACTGACGATGTTTCCATCTCTCTAGGCTGCAGCCCTGGCAGTGTGTCAGTACTGACGATGTTTCCATCTCTCTAGGCTGCAGCCCTGGCAGTGTGTCAGTACTGACGATGTTCCCATCTCTCTAGGCTGCAGCCCTGGCAGTGTGTCAGTACTGACGATGTTTCCATCTCTCTAGGCTGCAGCCCTGGCAGTGTGTCAGTACTGATGTTCCCATCTCTCTAGGCTGCAGCCCTGGCAGTGTGTCAGTACTGATGATGTTCCCATCTCTCTAGGCTGCAGCCCTGGCAGTGTGTCAGTACTGACGATGTTTCCATCTCTCTAGGCTGCAGCCCTGGCAGTGTGTCAGTACTGATGTTGTTTCCATCTCTCTAGGCTGCAGCCCTGGCAGTGTGTCAGTACTGATGTTGTTTCCATCTCTCTAGTCTGCAGCCCTGGCAGTGTGTCAGTACTGATGTTGTTCCCATCTCTCTAGTCTGCAGCCCTGGCAGTGTGTCAGTACTGATGTTGTTTCCATCTCTCTAGGCTGCAGCCCTGGCAGTGTGTCAGTACTGACGATGTTTCCATCTCTCTAGTCTGCAGCCCTGGCAGTGTGTCAGTACTGATGTTGTTCCCATCTCTCTAGGCTGCAGCCCTGGCAGTGTGTCAGTACTGATGATGTTTCCATCTCTCTAGGCTGCAGCCCTGGCAGTGTGTCAGTACTGATGTTGTTCCCATCTCTCTAGTCTACAGCCCTGGCAGTGTGTCAGTACTGATGTTGTTTCCATCTCTCTAGGCTGCAGCCCTGGCAGTGTGTCAGTACTGATGATGTTCCCATCTCTCTAGGCTGCAGCCCTGGCAGTGTGTCAGTACTGATGTTGTTCCCATCTCTCTAGTCTACAGCCCTGGCAGTGTGTCAGTACTGATGTTGTTTCCATCTCTCTAGGCTGCAGCCCTGGCAGTGTGTCAGTACTGATGATGTTCCCATCTCTCTAGGCTGCAGCCCTGGCAGTGTGTCAGTACTGACGATGTTCCCATCTCTCTAGGCTGCAGCCCTGGCAGTGTGTCAGTACTGACGATGTTTCCATCTCTCTAGGCTGCAGCCCTGGCAGTGTGTCAGTACTGATGTTGTTTCCATCTCTCTAGTCTGCAGCCCTGGCAGTGTGTCAGTACTGACGATGTTTCCATCTCTCTAGTCTGCAGCCCTGGCAGTGTGTCAGTACTGATGTTGTTTCCATCTCTCTAGTCTGCAGCCCTGGCAGTGTGTCAGTACTGACGATGTTTCCATCTCTCTAGTCTGCAGCCCTGGCAGTGTGTCAGTACTGATGTTGTTTCCATCTCTCTAGGCTGCAGCCCTGGCAGTGTGTCAGTACTGATGATGTTCCCATCTCTCTAGGCTGCAGCCCTGGCAGTGTGTCAGTACTGATGTTGTTTCCATCTCTCTAGTCTGCAGCCCTGGAAATGTGTGTCAGTACTGATGATGTTCCCATCTCTCTAGTCTGCAGCCCTGGCAGTGTGTCAGTACTGATGTTGTTTCCATCTCTCTAGGCTGCAGCCCTGGCAGTGTGTCAGTACTGATGATGTTCCCATCTCTCTAGGCTGCAGCCCTGGCAGTGTGTCAGTACTGATGTTGTTTCCATCTCTCTAGTCTGCAGCCCTGGCAGTGTGTCAGTACTGACGATGTTTCCATCTCTCTAGTCTGCAGCCCTGGCAGTGTGTCAGTACTGATGTTTTTTCCATCTCTCTAGGCTGCAGCCCTGGCAGTGTGTCAGTACTGATGATGTTCCCATCTCTCTAGGCTGCAGCCCTGGCAGTGTGTCAGTACTGACGATGTTCCCATCTCTCTAGGCTGCAGCCCTGGCAGTGTGTCAGTACTGATGTTGTTTCCATCTCTCTAGTCTGCAGCCCTGGCAGTGTGTCAGTACTGATGTTGTTTCCATCTCTCTAGGCTGCAGCCCTGGCAGTGTGTCAGTACTGATGTTGTTTCCATCTCTCTAGGCTGCAGCCCTGGCAGTGTGTCAGTACTGACGATGTTTCCATCTCTCTAGGCTGCAGCCCTGGCAGTGTGTCAGTACTGACGATGTTCCCATCTCTCTAGGCTGCAGCCCTGGCAGTGTGTCAGTACTGATGTTGTTCCCATCTCTCTAGGCTGCAGCCCTGGCAGTGTGTCAGTACTGACGATGTTCCCATCTCTCTAGGCTGCAGCCCTGGCAGTGTGTCAGTACTGACGATGTTCCCATCTCTCTAGGCTGCAGCCCTGGCAGTGTGTCAGTACTGATGTTGTTCCCATCTCTCTAGGCTGCAGCCCTGGCAGTGTGTCAGTACTGATGTTGTTTCCATCTCTCTAGTCTGCAGCCCTGGCAGTGTGTCAGTACTGATGTTGTTCCCATCTCTCTAGTCTGCAGCCCTGGCAGTGTGTCAGTACTGATGTTGTTTCCATCTCTCTAGGCTGCAGCCCTGGCAGTGTGTCAGTACTGACGATGTTTCCATCTCTCTAGTCTGCAGCCCTGGCAGTGTGTCAGTACTGATGTTGTTCCCATCTCTCTAGGCTGCAGCCCTGGCAGTGTGTCAGTACTGATGATGTTTCCATCTCTCTAGGCTGCAGCCCTGGCAGTGTGTCAGTACTGATGTTGTTCCCATCTCTCTAGTCTACAGCCCTGGCAGTGTGTCAGTACTGATGTTGTTTCCATCTCTCTAGGCTGCAGCCCTGGCAGTGTGTCAGTACTGATGATGTTCCCATCTCTCTAGGCTGCAGCCCTGGCAGTGTGTCAGTACTGATGTTGTTCCCATCTCTCTAGTCTACAGCCCTGGCAGTGTGTCAGTACTGATGTTGTTTCCATCTCTCTAGGCTGCAGCCCTGGCAGTGTGTCAGTACTGATGTTGTTCCCATCTCTCTAGGCTGCAGCCCTGGCAGTGTGTCAGTACTGATGTTGTTTCCATCTCTCTAGGCTGCAGCCCTGGCAGTGTGTCAGTACTGATGTTCCCATCTCTCTAGGCTGCAGCCCTGGCAGTGTGTCAGTACTGATGATGTTTCCATCTCTCTAGGCTGCAGCCCTGGCAGTGTGTCAGTACTGATGTTCCCATCTCTCTAGGCTGCAGCCCTGGCAGTGTGTCAGTACTGACGATGTTTCCATCTCTCTAGGCTGCAGCCCTGGCAGTGTGTCAGTACTGATGTTGTTTCCATCTCTCTAGGCTGCAGCCCTGGCAGTGTGTCAGTACTGACGATGTTCCCATCTCTCTAGGCTGCAGCCCTGGCAGTGTGTCAGTACTGATGTTGTTCCCATCTCTCTAGGCTGCAGCCCTGGCAGTGTGTCAGTACTGATGTTGTTCCCATCTCTCTAGGCTGCAGCCCTGGCAGTGTGTCAGTACCTGGCGGTAGAGTCCACCCACCCCTCCTCCCCCCTGTTTGAAAGCAGCAGCTCCAGTGAGGCCACGACGCCTGTCACCGTGCAGCACGTTAAAGCCCCTACCCAGAAGAAGCAGAAGGCCTCTCCTGCCCCCCCGCTGCCCATCGTTCTGCAGCTGATGGAGATGGGCTTCCACAGGAACAATATAGAGTTCTCCCTGAAGTCTCTGTCTGGGACCACCGGCAGCGCCTCTGGTGTACCAGGTACTGTTGTTAACACGGCGTGTGGAGCGTGTGGAGCGTGTGGGGCGTGTGGAGCGTGTGGTGCGTGTGGAGCGTGTGGGACGTGTGGAGCGTGTGGAGCGTGTGGGGCGTGTGGAGCGTGTGGGGCGTGTGGAGCGTGTGGGGCGTGTGGAGCGTGTGGGGCGTGTGGGGCGTGTGGAGCGTGTGGGGCGTGTTTGGCGTGTGGGGCGTGTGGGGCGTGTGGAGCGTGTGGAGCGTGTGGGGCGTGTGGAGCGTGTGGGGCGTGTGGGGCGTGTTTGGCGTGTGGGGCGTGTGGAGCGTGTAATGGTGTGTACACAGCGAGCTCCAACAGCACTGGGACAGGGACACGTGTTGCTGTTTTGGCTCTGAACTCCAGCACGTTGGGTTTGAAATGATACGATGACTATAAGGTTAAAGGGCCCTACCTTTGAGCGCACTGTGTGTGAGTGTGTTCATCTCCTGGTGGACTGGCTGCTAGACCACCCTGACATTAAGGACACCTGCTCTTTCCATGACAGGCTGTCCAGGTGAATCCAGGTGAAAGCTATGATCCCTTATTGATGTCACTTGTTAAATCCACTTCAATCAGTGTAGATGAAGGGGAGGAGACAGGTTAAAGAAGGATTTTTAAGCCTTGAGACAATTCAAATCAAATTTGATTTGTCACATACACGTGTTTAGCAGATGTTATAGCGGGTGTAGCGAAATGCTTGTGCTTCTAGCTCCGACAGTACAGTAATATCTAACAAGTAATATCTAACAATTTCACAACATATCCCCAATACGAGGTCAGTACAGGTGCAAAGCTGGGACCGAGAGAATGAAAAACAGCTTCTATCTCAAGGCCATCAGACTGTTAAACAGCCAACACTAGCACATTAGAGGCTGCTGCCTATTGAAATCACTGGCCACTTTAAGAAATGGAACACCAGTCACTTTAATAATGTTTCCATATCTTGCACTCCTCATCTCATATGTATATACTGCATTCTATTCTATAATATTCTACTGTATCTTAGTCCATGCCGCTCTGTCATTGCTTGTCCATATATGTATATATTCTTAAATCCCATTCCTTACTTTTTTGTGTGTATTGGGTATATGTTGTGAAATTGTTAGATATTACTGCACTGTCGGAGCTAGAAGCACAAGCATTTCGCTACACCCGCTATAACATCTGCTAAACACGTGTATGTGACAAATAACATTTGATTTGATTTGATTTGAAATAACAGGTGTACCTTCTTAAAAGTTACTTTTTTGAATGTATTTCCTTAATGCGTTTGAGCCAATCAGTTGTGTTGTGACAAGGTAGGGGTGGTATACAGAAGATGGCCCTATTTGGTAAAAGACCAAGTCCATATTATGGCAAGAACAGCTCAAATAAGCAAAGAGAAACAACAGTCCATCATTACTTTAAGACATGAAGGTCAGTCAATACGAAAAATTTCAAGAACTTTGAAAGTTTCTTCAGGTGCAATCGCAAAAACCATCAAGCGCTATGATGAAACTGGCTCTCATGAGGACCGCGACAGGAATGGAAGACCCAGAGTTACCTCTGCTGCAGAGGATAAGTTCATTAGAGTTACCAGCCTCAGAAATTGCATCCCAAATAAATGCTTCACAGAGTTCAAGTAACAGACACATCTCAACATCAACTGTTCAGAGGAGACTGCATGAATCAGGCCTTCGTGGTCGAATTGTTGCAAAGAAACCACTACTAAAAGGACACCAATAAGAAGAAGAGACCTGCTTGGGCCAAGAAACACAAGCAATGGACATTAGAACGGTGGAAATGTGTACTTTGGTCTGGAGTTCAAATTGGAGATTTTTGGTTCCAACCGCCGTGTCTTTGTGAGACGCTGTGTGGGTGAACGGATGATCTCCGCATGTGTAGTTCCCACCGTGAAGCATGGAGGAGGAGGTGTTATGGTGTGGGGGTGCTTTGCTGGTGACACTGTCTGTGATTTATTTAGAATTGAAGGCACACTTAACCAGCATGGCTACCACAGCATTCTGCAGCGATACGCTATCCCATCTGATATAGGCTTAGTGGGACTATCACTTGTTTTTCAACAGGACAATGACCCAACACACCTCCAGGCTGTGTAAGGGCTATTTTACCAAGAAGGAGAGTGATGGAGTGCTGCATCAGATGACCTGGCCTCCACAATCCCCCGTCCTCAACCCAATTGAGATGGTTTGGGATGAGTCGGACCACAGAGCGAAGGAAAAGCAGCCAACAAGTGCTCAGCATATGTGGGAACTCCTGCAAGACTGTTGGAAAAGCATTCCAGGTGAAGCTGGTTGAGAGAATGCCAAGAGTGTGCAAAGCTGTCATCAAGGCAAAGGGTGGCTATTTGAAGAATCTCAAATATAACATATATTTTGATTTGTTTAACACTTTTTTGTTTACAACATGATTCCATATGTGTTATTTCATAGTTTTGATGTCTTCACTATTATTCTACAATGTTGAAAATAGTAGAAAATAGTAAAAATAAAGAAAAACCCTTGAATGAGTAGGTGTGTCCAAACTTTTGACTGGTAGTGTGTGTGTGTGTGTGTGTGTGTGTGTGTGTGTATATACATGGCATATTTGTAAAAGAGATCTAGGTCACTGTTAAATGAAAAATAAATGTAAAAAAAGTCAAGACAACAGATTTAGGTGCCTTTTAACGGAGTATTGTAGTAGGTGCCAGGCGCACCGGTTTGTGTCAAGAACTGCAACGCTGCTGGGTTTTTCACACTCAACAGTTTCCCGTGTGTGTCAAGAATGGTCCACCACCCAAAGGACATCCAGCCAACTTGACACAACTGTGGGAAGCATTGGAGTCAACATGGGCCAGCATCCCTGTGGAACGCTTTTGACACCTTGTAGAGTCCGTGCCCCGACGAATTGAGGCTGTTCTGAGGGTGAAAAGGAAGTGCAACTCAATATTATATAGGTGTTCCTAATGTTTTGTACACCCAATGTGTGTGTTTCTGTTAATGTGGTACTGTATCTGTGTGTGTTTGTATCTATATTAATGAATGTGTCCTGGAGGTGTAAAGTCCCCGGGGGTCTGGTTGCTGGACAATCCTGATGTATTAATGTGTGTGTCTGTGTTAATGTGTGTGTCTGTGTGTTAATGGAACAAATTGCAAAAATCTCTGAAGCTGGAGACACTTATCTCCCTCACTAACTTTAAGCATCAGTTGTCAGAGCAGCTTACCGATCACTGCACCTGTACACAGCCCATCTGTAATTAGCCCACCCAACTACCTCATCCCCATATTGTTATTTATTTTGCACCCCAGTATCTCTATTTGCACATCATCTTCTGCACATCTATCATTCCAGTGTTAATGCTAATTGTAATTATTTTGCACTATGGCCTATTTTATTGCCTTACCTCCATAACTTGCTAAATTTGCACACACTGTATATTATATGTATTTCTGTTGTATTTTTGACTTTGTTTTGTTTTACCCCATATGTAACTCTGTGTTGTTGTTTTTATTGCACTGCTTTGCTTTATCTTGGCCAGGTCGCAGTTGTAAATGAGAACTTGTTCTCAACTGGCTTACCTGGTTAAATAAAGGTGAAATAAAAATAAAATATAAAAAAATGTGTGTGTGTCTGTGTTAATGTGTGTGTCTGTGTGTTAATGTGTGTGTGTCTGTGTTAATGTGTGTGTCTGTGTTAATGTGTGTGTGTCTGTGGCCCATGGGGCGGCGCACAATTGGCCCAGCGTCGTCCAGGGTATGGGAGGGAATGGCCGGCAGGGATGTATCTCAGTTGGTAGAGCATGGCGTTTGCAACGCCAGGGTTGTGGGTTCGATTCCCACGGGGGGCCAGTATGAAAAAATAAAACAATTATGTATGCACTCACTAACTGTAAGTCGCTCTGGATAAGAGCGTCTGCTAAATGGCTAAAATGTAAATGTAATTAATTTGTGTCTGTGTTAATGTGTTAAATCAAATCAAATCAAATTTTATTGGCCACATGCGCCGAATACAACAGGTGCAGACATTACAGTGAAATGCTTACTTACAGCCCTTAACCAACAGTGCATTTATTTTTAATAAAAAAGTAAAATAAAACAACAACAAAAAAGTGTTGAGAAAAAAAGAGCAGAAGTAAAATAAAGTGACAGTAGGGAGGCTATATATACAGTAAAATAAAGTGACAGTAGGGAGGCTATATATACAGTAAAATAAAGTGACAGTAGGGAGGCTATATATACAGGGGGGTACTGGTGCAGAGTCAATGTGCGGGGGCACCGGCTAGTTGAGGTAATATGTACATGTGGGTGGAGTTAAAGTGACTATGCGTAAATAATTGAATGTGTGTGTCTGTGTGTTAATATGTTAAGTGTGTGTGTTAATGTGTGTGTCTGTGTGTTAATATGTTAAGTGTGTGTGTTAATGTGTGTGTCTGTGTTGTCTTTTAGGTGTGGAGTCTCTAGTGGCCTGGTTGCTGGACCATCCTGATGTCCAGGTGACGGAGCTGTCTGATGCTGACACGGTGTCTGATGAGTACTCTGAGGAGGAGCTGGAGGAGGAGCTGGAGGAGGAGCTAGAGGAGGAGCCTCCCACAGCCTTCCCCGTGGTACGTTTACCTGTCACCTGGCTGCAGACCCAGCTAATGCACCCCTACCTGGCTGCAGACCCAGCTAATGCACCCCTACCTGGCTGCAGACCCAGCTAATGCACCCCTACCTGCCTAGGTTACCCCTACGACCTACCTGGTCAGCCATTACTGCTGAACCAATGAGACTAGGAATCACCCATGGATCTTTTATCATGTGTAGTTACTAATGTTGGAACTCAACCTGGAACTTTCACATGTTAGATGAATGAATTGATCTATTTTACATCTCTCTCTGTGTGTCCTCAGCCTCCTGGTGCAGTGGTGACGGAGACTCAGACCTTTAAGAACAGATCAGATTTCCAGAGCAACGATGACTATGCTGTCTACATCAGAGAGAACATTCAGGTAAGACTGCTGTCTACATCAGAGAGAACATTCAGGTAAGACTGCTGTTTACATCAGAGAGAACATTCAGGTAAGACTGCTGTTTACATCAGAGAGAACATTCAGGTAAGACTGCTGTCTACATCAGAGAGAACATTCAGGTAAGACTGCTGTTTATATCAGAGAGAACATTCAGGTAAGACTGCTGTCTACATCAGAGAGAACATTCAGGTAAGACTGCTGTTTATATCAGAGAGAACATTCAGGTAAGACTGCTGTTTATATCAGAGAGAACATTCAGGTAAGACTGCTGTCTACATCAGAGAGAACATTCAGGTAAGACTGCTGTTTACATCAGAGAGAACATTCAGGTAAGACTGCTGTCTACATCAGAGAGAACATTCAGGTAAGACTGCTGTTTATATCAGAGAGAACATTCAGGTAAGACTGCTGTTTATATCAGAGAGAACATTCAGGTAAGACTGCTGTTTATATCAGAGAGAACATTCAGGTAAGACTGCTTACATTCAGTTAAGGCTGGTGGTCCTCTGTAGCTCAATTGGTAGAGCATGGCGCTTGTAACTCCAGGGTAGTGGGTTCGATCCCAGGGACCACCCATACGTAAAAATGTATGCACGCATGACTGTAAGTCGCTTTGGATAAAAGCGTCTGCTAAATGGCATATTATTTATTTATTATTATTTACTGCTGTTTACAGTGCCTTCAAACAGTATTTATACCCCTTGACTTATTCCACATTTTGTTGTGTTACAGCCTGAATTTAAAATGGATAAAATATATATTTTCCTCACCCATCTACACACAATACCCCATAACGACAAAGTGAAAACATGTTTTTAGAATTTTACCTGTGGCCAACTCAATTGTTTGGACATGATTTAGAAAGAAACACACCTGTCTATATAAAGGTCCCACAAAGATTCGGTGGTCTGATGAGACAAAATGTGAACTCTTTGGCCTGAATTGCAAAGCGCTATGTCTGGAGAAAACCAGGCACAGCTCATCACCTGTCTAACACCATCCCTACCGTGAAGCATGGTGGTGGCAGCATCATGCTATGGGGATGCTTTTCAGCGGCAGGGACTGGGAGACTGGTAAGGATAGAGGGAACAATGAATGGAGCCAAATACAGGTAAATCCTTGATGAGAACCTGCTTCAGAGTGCAAACAACCTTTAGACTGGGGTGAAGATTTACATTCCAACAGGACAATGTGACCCCAAGCATATAGCCAAAAGCAACGCTGGAATGGCTTCAGAACCAGATTGTGAAAGTCCTTGAGTGGCCCAACCAAACCCCATTGAGTGGCCCAGCCAAAGCCCCTTGAGTGGCCCAGCCAACGCCCATTGAAAATCTGTGGAAAGACAAACATTTCTGTCCACCGCTGCTCCCCGTCTAATTTAAGAGCTTGAGAAAATCTGCAAGGAAGAATGGGAGAAAATCCCCAAATCCAAAGCTGATCCAGACATACCCAAGACGACTCAAAGCCATAATCACCACCAAAGGTGCTTCTACAAAGTATTATATTTTTACATTTTAGTCATTTAGCAGACGCTCTTATCCAGTGCGACTTACAGGAGCAATTAGGGTTAAGTGCCTTGCTCAAGAGCACATCGACAGATTTTTCACCTAGTCAGCTCGGAGATTAGAACCAGCAACCTTTCGGTTACTGGCACAACGCTCTTAACCACTAAGCTACCTGCTGCCCCATTGACTCAGGAGTGTAAATAATTATATAAATGTATTTAAATTTTCAATTAATTTGCAAAAATGTGTAAAAACATGTTTTGACTTTGTCATTATGGGGTATTGTGTGTAGAGGATGGGTGAGGGGGGAAAAAGTATATAATAATAATAATAATTATAATAATTATAATATAATAATAATAATAATAATATGCCATTTAGCAGACGCTTTTATCCAAAGTGACTTACAGTCATGTGTGCATAAATTTTTACGTATGGGTGGTCCCGGGGATCGAACCCACTACCCTTGGCGTTACAAGCGCCGTGCTCTACCAGCTGAGCTACAGAGGACCACATTTTTAATTCAGGCTGTAATACAACAAAATGTGGAATACGTCCAGGGGTGTGAATACGTCCAGGGGTGTGAATACGTCCAGGGGTGTGAATACGTCCAGGGGTGTGAATACTGTCACTGTAAGTCAGAGAGAACATCCAGTCTTAATGAAAGAGACATAATCATTTAAATGCACCAAATATAATAGCACCCTATTCCCTATATAGTGCACTACTTTAGACCAGAGAATGGCACCCTATTCCCTATATAGTGCACTACTTTAGACCAGAGAATGGCACCCTATTCCCTATATAGTGCACTACTTTAGACCAGAGAATGGCACCCTATTCCCTATATAGTGCTCTACTTTAGACCAGAGAATGGTACCCTATTCCCTATATAGTGCACTACTTTAGACCAGAGAATGGCACCCTATTCTCTATATAGTGCACTACTTTAGACCGGGAGCCCTGTCTCTATCTAGGGGTTAGGGTGTTAAATGCATCAGAGAGGGTATGTGTCTTATTGACCTCTAACTTCTGCCCCCTGACCTCTGTGTAGGTGGGTATGAAGGTGAAGTGCTGTAGAACGTATGAGGAAGTGTTCGAGTTATTGACCCCTGTAACGTTCCCCAGCAAGAAAACAAAAAATGTCACTCAAACAGAAGGGGGAACTAACAAAGAACCAAAAACCAAAATAAAACAGGTGGGGTTTTAGGAGGGGTTCTGAAAGACACTCATGGGGTGTCCACTGGAGGTTGACTAGCAACAACCACTGGGCCCTAAAAGACACCCACCATGAGACCCACTGAATCTGCCCAAGAAGAGGCAAACAACAGAAAACCCCCAAACTGAAAGACAGGAAGCAAACCACACAGTGGAGCAAAATGAAAACAGGGAAATCAGATTAAGGATTTTGTCTAGAAATGAAATATATCAAGACAACTAAAGGTGTTAACCCTCCACATCTATCAAGACAACTAAAGGTGTTAACCCTCCACATCTATCAAGACAACTGGAGCACTGGGCCAGCCACTCTTAAATATCACCTGGGCCAGCACAGGTGTAACACCTTCCCACTAACGAGATGACAAACCAGCACAGGTGTAACACATACTGACTAACGAGGTGATACCAATCGGTGCGCCCCACGTGCTAACGAGCTGTACGTGCTAAAGTCCAACCTCAAAACATAAATGGAAAAACCAAAACCTGTAACAACCCCTGACTTCTGTGTGTAGATTGTCATTTTTGTGTTTGAGACCACCTAAAGCAAGACCAATTCAAGACCAAGACCGGAGCAAATCGAGTCCAAGTCAAGACCAAGACCGGGAGGGGGACCGAGTCAAGACCGATACCAGTAAAAAAGCGAGTCCAATTCAAGACCATGATTGTAATTTTGTCCAGTATTTCTGTGTTCATATTTCAGAAGAACATATGGATTCTTTAGACAATTAGAATGGTGAACAAAATGCATGCTGAGTGCAAATAGCCACTCTACTAATGATTACTGCTGGTCCTCTGTAGCTCAGCTGGTAGAGCACGGCGCTTGTAACGCCAAGGTAGTCGGTTCGATCCCCGGGACCACCCATACACAAAAAAATGTTATGCACACATGACTGTAAGTCGCTTTGGATAAAAGCGTCTGCTAAATGGCATATTATTATTATTATTATTATTATTATTATTATTACTAACCCAAACACAGGGGGGAACGATGAGGGACTTCTACACCTTCAGAGAAGGTCTAAGGATATTTAAAATAATAAGAATTCTAATTTTCTGATTTTAAAAAGATCCAGTCAGGATTTTTCTTTGGTCGTCTCTGGGGAGATAAATCTAGCTAGCTAAGTCAGCCATTGGCTAGGCCATCAGAAGCTAGATAGTGTGACGAGTACTGAGGATACGAAGAGGCAGGAATTAACAATGTAAAGGTTTACTTGACACTGAGCAGGAGAACAACAAAGAGCGAGTACACGACAAGACACTAACAATCACACACAACACAACACTGAACAGTCCAGGGCTAAATAGGGGTGGTGATGAGATGATGAGGTGCAGGTGCGCTGGAGGTGATTAGGGTGCGTTGGTTTTTCATTCCGGTGTTGCCGAGGTGGTGCGCTCAGACCGGTGGCTCAGTAGACCGGTGAATCAGAGCGCTGGAGGGGAGCAACGGGAGGAGACGTGACAGATAGAAGGCATCTGCCATTCAACTGTATTAGGGCAACATTTTGGAGTGACAGTGGAATCAACCAATCACATTTTGACTTGTAATGGGTGGGACCGTTTTTACAAAAAGACGTATGGAAACTTCTGCCTTCTCAAAGGCCAAGAGGTCACTGCGCAATAGTGAGCAGTAGTTTTCCCATGGTCTAGCTAGCTAGCTTTGGTTGTTGGCTAGTTTGCAGCGGCTGTAGCAGGTGTTATCGAAGAGGATGTTGTAGGGTAGTTTGCAGCGGCTGTAGCAGGTGTTATCGAAGAGGATGTTGTAGGGTAGTTTGCAGCGGCTGTAGCAGGTGTTATCGAAGAGGATGTTGTTGGCTAGTTTGCAGCGGCTGCAGCAGGTGTTATCGAAGATGTTGTTGTTGCTAATTTGTTAGCTTCTCCCTTTTGAAGAATAAGTTTCAGGGTCACAGACTGTTTCTTGGTAGTCTTCAACATCTACTTTGAAACAAATGTACACACCTCACACATGGTTATGGGCTTTAAAAAATGGCACCTGTACCATGTCAGATATAGAGTTGAAATGTATAAAATATTTTTTTTGCGTTATTACACTTTATATAAATCACAGAAAACTGATCAAATCCGGTGTTTTTGTTAACAAAACTGTTTGACATAGAAACACCGGATTTCTGTCCCCCCCCCCCCCCCAAAAAAAATAACAGGGTATTATGAAATTATGATACATATTTATAACATTCCACACATGAGGCCAAAGAGGGCGCTTTTGTTTATTGACTGCAGGAAAGCGTTGTTTCAAATTGTGTGTTTTTTGTAATAATAATGTATTTCTTCTTTGTTTTTGCTCAGTCTGAAGTGTATTTAACCTCTGACCTCTAATCCCTGACCTCTGTGTAGGCTGGGCATGATGGTGAAGTGCTGTAGAACGTATGAGGAAGTGTGTTTAACCTCTGACCCCTAACCCCTGACCTCTGTGTAGGCTGGGCATGATGGTGAAGTGCTGTAGAACGTATGAGGAAGTGTGTTTAACCTCTGACCCCTATGTACCGTAGGTGGGCATGATGGTGAAGTGCTGTAGAACGTATGAGGAAGTGTGTTTAACCTCTGACCCCTATGTACCGTAGGTGGGCATGATGGTGAAGTGCTGTAGAACGTATGAGGAAGTGTGTTTTACCTCTGACCCCTATGTACCGTAGGTGGGCATGATGGTGAAGTGCTGTAGAACGTATGAGGAAGTGTACGAGGGAGACGTTGGGAAGGTGATAAAGCTGGACAGAGATGGCCTCCATGACCTGAATGTCCAGTGTGACTGGCAGCAGAAAGGCGGGACCTACTGGGTCCGCTACATACACACTGAACTACTAGGTAAGATTGATGCTTTGCTTTGTCTGAAGACATAACTGAATGTAACCCTAATGGAAGATGATTTTATGATGTAGAATCTGTTGCCTGATTCATCAGGAGCGTGTTGATATGAATGTTAACGGTTTTCTCTCTTCCCCCGGTCTTGCTCCAGGCTTCCCACCACAGACCTCTCCATCCCACATTAAGATCGGGGACAAAGTGAGAGTGAAGTCTACCGTCACGACGCCAAAGTACAAATGGGGCTCCGTCACTCACAGGAGTGTGGGAGTGGTCAAGGGTAAGTCTCTAGTTTTGGCATTTAGTTCTCTAGCTGTATTTAAGGGCCAAACACCTCTTGGTCTGTGCTACTGACTTCTTTCAGGTTGTTATTTTAAACGAGAATATGCCCTCCGTTATCTACCAAATGTTAACTATGGTCCTGTCCTGTGTTGTGTTCAGCTTTCAGTGCCAATGGGAAGGATGTGATTGTGGACTTCAGTCAGCAATCTCACTGGACCGGTCTGCTGTCTGAGATGGAGCTGGTGCCCAGTGTCCACCCTGGAGTCCGGTAGGGATACGTTACATTTGTTTAATATATGTTTTATTTTACCATTATTTTTACCATGCAGGTCAATTAAGAACACGATGGCCTCAATACCATCGTGGCGGCAGGTAGCTTAGTGGTTAAGAGCGTTGTGCCAGTAATCGAAAGGTCGCTGGTTCTAATCCCCGAGCCGACTAGGTGAAAAATCTGTCTGTGCCCTTGAGCAAGGCACTTAACCCTAATTGCTCCTGTAAGTCGCTCTGGATAAGAGCGTCTGCTAAATGACTAAAAATTTAAAAAATTTAAATACAGTTCACAATGATATTACCCAAGTATCAATGGACCAATCAATCAATCGACCAATCATTCAATCAATCAATGAATGTTTTAACCCACATCCAGTCATAATGGTCACCTCTGTTCCTGCAGGTGTGATGGCTGTCAGATGTTCCCTATCAACGGCCCCAGGTTCAAATGTAGAAACTGTGACGACTTTGACTTCTGTGAGAGGTGCTTCAAAACACGGCAACACAACACCAGGCACTCCTTTGGACGCATCAATGAACCAGGTGAGTTACACACTCCTGTTATTCATCGAGATTTGATCTGAATTTCTTTTTCGACATCAAACCAAACTACTTCTCACTAAAAACATAGTTTCGTGTTTAATACTTTAAAGTGCAGTTTCCCGGACAATTAGTAAACCTGGTCCTGGACTAAAATGTTATTTCAATAGAGAATCTCTTTTTAGTTGAGGACTAAATTTAATCTGCTTTTTTATGTGTATGTAGTGTTAATCTCTAGTCTTTCTGCCTCCCAGGCCAGTAATGTTAATCTCTAGTCTGTCTGCCTCCCAGGCCAGTAATGTTAATCTCTAGTATGTCTGCCTCCCAGGCCAGTAATGTTAATCTCTAGTATGTCTGCCTCCCAGGCCAGTAATGTTAATCTCTGGTCTGTCTGCCTCCCAGGCCAGTAATGTTAATCTCTAGTCTGTCTGCCTCCCAGGCCAGTAATGTTAATCTCTAGTCTGTCTGCCTCCCAGGCCAGTAATGTTAATCTCTAGTATGTCTGCCTCCCAGGCCAGTAATGTTAATCTCTAGTATGTCTGCCTCCCAGGCCAGTAATGTTAATCTCTAGTCTGTCTGCCTCCCAGGCCAGTAATGTTAATCTCTGTCTGTTCTCCTCCAGGCCAGTAGTGTTAATTTCTGTCTGTTCTCCTCCAGGCCAGTAATGTTAATCTCTGTCTGTTCTCCTCCAGGCCAGTAATGTTAATCTCTGTCTGTTCTCCTCCAGGCCAGTAGTGTTAATTTCTGTCTGTTCTCCTCCAGGCCAGTAATGTTAATCTCTGTCTGTTCTCCTCCAGGCCAGTAGTGTTAATCTCTGTCTGTTCTCCTCCAGGCCAGTAATGTTAATCTCTGTCTGTTCTCCTCCAGGCCAGTAATGTTAATCTCTGTCTGTTCTCCTCCAGGCCAGTAATGTTAATCTCTGTCTGTTCTCCTCCAGGCCAGTAGTGTTAATCTCTGTCTGTTCTCCTCCAGGCCAGTAATGTTAATCTCTGTCTGTTCTCCTCCAGGCCAGTAATGTTAATCTCTGTCTGTTCTCCTCCAGGCCAGTAATGTTAATCTCTGTCTGTTCTCCTCCAGGCCAGGCCAGTAATGTTAATCTCTGTCTGTTCTCCTCCAGGCCAGTAATGTTAATCTCTGTCTGTTCTCCTCCAGGCCAGTAATGTTAATTTCTGTCTGTTCTCCTCCAGGCCAGTAATGTTAATCTCTGTCTGTTCTCCTCCAGGCCAGTAATGTTAATTTCTGTCTGTTCTCCTCCAGGCCAGTAATGTTAATTTCTGTCTGTTCTCCTCCAGGCCAGTCTCCAGCGTTCTGTGGGCGCTCAGGGAAGCAGTTGAAGCGTCACCACAGCAACCAGAGGGGCATGCTGGTAGATGAGTGGTCTAGAGCCGTCAAGAGCCTTAACGTGTCGTCGTCTGTTAACCAGGCATCACGCCTCATCGACTGTAGTGAGCTCTGCTGGCAGTCCTCTGGGTCACAGGGAAAGGTGAGAGGCTTTGGGACCGTATTAAAACACATTCAGACACTCAAGCAAAACACCAGCCAAAACATCTGATATTGCTATGCTGCTGTTTTCCTATCTATTTTATTTAAATCATAGTTTGTTTAATAAAATACCTTGATGAAGCCTTGTAGATGCAGGTTGTGTTAGTGGAGGCAGGTTGGAGGCAGGTTGGAGGCAGGTTGTATTAGTGGGGGCAGGTTGGAGGCAGGTTGTATTAGTGGAGGCAGGTTGTATTAGTGGAGGCAGGTTGGAGGCAGGTTGTATTAGTGGAGGCAGGTTGTATTAGTGGAGGCAGGTTGTATTAGTGGAGGCAGGTTGGAGGCAGGTTGTGTTAGTGGAGGCAGGTTGGAGGCAGGTTGTATTAGTGGAGGCAGGTTGTATTAGTGGAGGCAGGTTGTATTAGTGGAGGCAGGTTGTGTTAGTGGAGGCAGGTTGTGTTAGTGGAGGCAGGTTGGAGGCAGGTTGTATTAGTGGGGGCAGGCTGGAGGCAGGTTGGAGGCAGGTTGTATTAGTGGAGGCAGGTTGTATTAGTGGAGGCAGGTTGTGTTAGTGGAGGCAGGTTGGAGGCAGGTTGTATTAGTGGAGGCAGGTTGTATTAGTGGAGGCAGGTTGTGTTAGTGGAGGCAGGTTGTGTTAGTGGAGGCAGGTTGTGTTAGTGGAGGCAGGTTGTATTAGTGGAGGCAGGTTGTGTTAGTGGAGGCAGGTTGTGTTAGTGGAGGCAGGTTGTATTAGTGGAGGCAGGTTGTGTTAGTGGAGGCAGGTTGTGTTAGTGGAGGCAGGTTGGAGGCAGGTTGTATTAGTGGAGGCAGGTTGTATTAGTGGAGGCAGGTTGTATTAGTGGAGGCAGGTTGTGTTAGTGGAGGCAGGTTGTGTTAGTGGAGGCAGGTTGTGTTAGTGGAGGCAGGTTGGAGGCAGGTTGTATTAGTGGAGGCAGGTTGTATTAGTGGAGATAGGTTGTATTAGTGGAGGCAGGTTGTATTAGTGGAGGCAGGTTGGAGGCAGGTTGTATTAGTGGAGGCAGGTTGGAGGCAGGTTGTGTTAGTGGAGGCAGGTTGGAGGCAGGTTGTATTAGTGGAGGCAGGTTGTATTAGTGGAGGCAGGTTGTATTAGTGGAGGCAGGTTGTATTAGTGGAGGCAGGTTGTGTTAGTGGAGGCAGGTTGTGTTAGTGGAGGCAGGTTGTATTAGTGGAGGCAGGTTGTGTTAGTGGAGGCAGGTTGGAGGCAGGTTGTATTAGTGGAGGCAGTTTGTATTAGTGGAGGCAGGTTGTATTAGTGGAGGCAGGTTGTATTAGTGGAGGCAGGTTGTATTAGTGGAGGCAGGTTGGAGGCAGGTTGTGTTAGTGGAGGCAGGTTGTATTAGTGGAGGCAGGTTGTATTAGTGGAGGCAGGTTGTGTTAGTGGAGGCAGGTTGTATTAGTGGAGGCAGGTTGTATTAGTGGAGGCAGGTTGTGTTAGAGGAGGCAGGTTGTGTTAGTGGAGGCAGGTTGTATTAGTGGAGGCAGGTTGTATTAGTGGAGGCAGGTTGTGTTAGTGGAGGCAGGTTGTGTTAGTGGAGGCAGGTTGTATTAGTGGAGGCAGGTTGTATTAGTGGAGGCAGGTTGTATTAGTGGAGGCAGGTTGTATTAGTGGAGGCAGGTTGTGTTAGTGGAGGCAGGTTGGAGGCAGGTTGTATTAGTGGAGGCAGGTTGTATTAGTGGAGGCAGGTTGTGTTAGTGGAGGCAGGTTGGAGGGCAGGTTGTATAGTAGGTGGTAGGCAGGTTGTATTAGTGGAGGCAGGTTGTATTAGTGGAGGCAGGTTGTATTAGTGGAGGCAGGTTGGAGTGGAGGCAGGTTGTATTAGTGGAGGCAGGTTGTGTTAGTGGAGGCAGGTTGTATTAGTGGAGGCAGGTTGTATTAGTGGAGGCAGGTTGTTTATTAGTGGAGGCAGGTTGAGGAGGGTTGTATTAGTGGAGGCAGGTTGGAGGCAGGTTGTATTAGTGGAGGAGGCAGGTTGTGTTAGTGGAGGCAGGTTGTATTAGTGGAGGCAGGTTGTATTAGTGGAGGCAGGTTGTATTAGTGGAGGCAGGTTGGATGGAGGCAGGTTGTATTAGTGGAGGGAGCAGGTTGTGATTGTGGAGGCAGGTTGTATTAGTGGAGGCAGGTTGTATTAGTGGAGGCAGGTTGTGTTAGTGGAGGCAGGTTGTGTGTTAGTGGAGGCAGGTTGTGTTAGTGGAGGCAGGTTGGAGGCAGGTTGTATTAGTGGAGGCAGGTTGTGTTAGTGGAGGCAGGTTGTGTTAGTGGAGGCAGGTTGTGTTTTGTGGAGGCAGGTTGTGTTAGTGGAGGCAGGTTGTGTTAGTGGAGGCAGGTTGAGGGAGGGTTTGTGTTAGTGGAGGCAGGTTGTATTAGTGGAGGCAGGTTGTATTAGTGGAGCAGGTTGTATTAGTGGAGGCAGGTTGTGTTAGTGGAGGCAGGTTTGTTTGGAGTGGAGGCAGGTTGTATTAGTGGAGGCAGGTTGTGAGTAGGTGGGGAGGGCAGGTTGTATTAGTGGAGTAGGTTGTATTAGTGGAGGCAGGTTGTGTTAGTGGAGGCAGGTTGTTTAGTGGAGGCAGGTTGTATTAGTGGAGGCAGGTTTGTATTAGTGGAGGCAGGTTGGAGGCAGGTTGTATTAGTGGAGGCAGGTTGGAGGCAGGTTTGTGTTAGTGGAGGCAGGTTGGAGGCAGGTTGTATTAGTGGAGGCAGGTTGTATTAGTGGAGGCAGGTTGTGTTAGTGGAGGCAGGTTGTGTTAGTGGAGGCAGGTTGTATTAGTGGAGGCAGGTTGTGTTAGTGGAGGCAGGTTGTATTAGTGGAGGCAGGTTGTATTAGTGGAGGCAGGTTGTGTTAGTGGAGGCAGGTTGTGTTAGTGGAGGCAGGTTGTATTAGTGGAGGCAGGTTGTATTAGTGGAGGCAGGTTGTATTAGTGGAGGCAGGTTGTATTAGTGGAGGCAGGTTGTGTTAGTGGAGGCAGGTTGGAGGCAGGTTGTATTAGTGGAGGCAGGTTGTATTAGTGGAGGCAGGTTGTGTTAGTGGAGGCAGGTTGGAGGCAGGTTGTATTAGTGGAGGCAGGTTGTATTAGTGGAGGCAGGTTGTATTAGTGGAGGCAGGTTGTATTAGTGGAGGCAGGTTGGATGGAGGCAGGTTGTATTAGTGGAGGCAGGTTGTGTTAGTGGAGGCAGGTTGTGTTAGTGGAGGCAGGTTGTATTAGTGGAGGCAGGTTGTATTAGTGGAGGCAGGTTGTATTAGTGGAGGCAGGTTGGAGGCAGGTTGTATTAGTGGAGGCAGGTTGGAGGCAGGTTGTATTAGTGGAGGCAGGTTGTGTTAGTGGAGGCAGGTTGTATTAGTGGAGGCAGGTTGTATTAGTGGAGGCAGGTTGTATTAGTGGAGGCAGGTTGGATGGAGGCAGGTTGTATTAGTGGAGGCAGGTTGTGTTAGTGGAGGCAGGTTGTATTAGTGGAGGCAGGTTGTATTAGTGGAGGCAGGTTGTGTTAGTGGAGGCAGGTTGTGTTAGTGGAGGCAGGTTGTGTTAGTGGAGGCAGGTTGGAGGCAGGTTGTATTAGTGGAGGCAGGTTGTGTTAGTGGAGGCAGGTTGTGTTAGTGGAGGCAGGTTGTGTTAGTGGAGGCAGGTTGTGTTAGTGGAGGCAGGTTGTGTTAGTGGAGGCAGGTTGGAGGCAGGTTGTGTTAGTGGAGGCAGGTTGTATTAGTGGAGGCAGGTTGTATTAGTGGAGATAGGTTGTATTAGTGGAGGCAGGTTGTGTTAGTGGAGGCAGGTTGTGTTAGTGGAGGCAGGTTGTATTAGTGGAGGCAGGTTGTATTAGTGGAGGCAGGTTGTATTAGTGGAGATAGGTTGTATTAGTGGAGGCAGGTTGTGTTAGTGGAGGCAGGTTGTATTAGTGGAGGCAGGTTGTATTAGTGGAGGCAGGTTGGAGGCAGGTTGTATTAGTGGAGGCAGGTTGGAGGCAGGTTGTGTTAGTGGAGGCAGGTTGGAGGCAGGTTGTATTAGTGGAGGCAGGTTGTATTAGTGGAGGCAGGTTGTGTTAGTGGGGCAGGTTAGGCAGGGTTGGTATTAGTGGAGGAGGTTGTGTTAGTGGAGGCAGGTTGGAGGCAGGTTGTATTAGTGGAGCAGGTTTGTATTAGTGGAGGCAGGTTGTATTAGTGGAGGCAGGTTGTATTAGTGGAGGCAGGTGTATTAGTGGAGGCAGGTTGGAGGCAGGTTGTGTTAGTGGAGGCAGGTTGTATTAGTGGAGGCAGGTTGTATTAGTGGAGGCAGGTTGTGTTAGTGGAGGCAAGGTTGTATTAGTGGAGCAGGTTGGTGTGTAGTGGAGGCCAGGTTGTGTTAGTGGAGGCAGGTTGTGTTAGTGGAGGCAGGGTTGTATTAGTGGAGGCAGGTTGTGTAGTGGAGGCAGGTTGGAGGCAGGTTGTATTAGTGGAGGCCAGGTGTATTAGTGGAGGCAGGTTGTAATAGTGGGAAGGAGCAGGTTGTATTAGTGGAGGGCAGGGGTTGTATTAGTGGAGGCAGGTTGTATTAGTGGAGGCAGGTTGTGTTAGTGGAGGCAGGTTGTATTAGTGGAGGCAGGTTGTGTTAGTGGAGGCAGGTTGTATTAGTGGAGGCAGGTTGTTTAGTGGAGGCAGGTTGTTTAGTGGAGGCAGGTTGTTAGTGGAGGCAGGTTGTTAGTGGAGGCAGGTTGAGGCAGGTTGTATTAGTGGGGCAGGCTGGAGGCAGTGTGTTGTGGAGGCAGGTTGTATTAGTGGAGGCAGGTTGTTTAGTGGAGGCAGGTTGATTAGTGGAGCAGGTTGTATTAGTGGAGGCAGGTTGTTAGTGGAGGCAGGTTGTATAGGAGCGTTGGAGGCAGTTGTATAGTGGAGGCAGTGAGGCAGTTGTGTTAGTGGAGGCAGGTGTATTAGTGGAGGCAGGTGTTAGTGGAGGCAGTTGATGTGAGCAGTTGGAGGCAGTTGTGTTAGTGGAGGCAGGGTTAGTGAGGCAGGTTGTGTTAGTGGAGGCAGGTTGGAGGCAGGTTGTGTTAGTGGAGGCAGGTTGTGTTAGTGGAGGCAGGTTGTGTTAGTGGAGGCAGGTTGTATTAGTGGAGGCAGGTTGTGTTAGTGGAGGCAGGTTGGAGGCAGGTTGTGTTAGTGGAGGCAGGTTGTATTAGTGGAGGCAGGTTGTGTTAGTGGAGGCAGGTTCTATTAGTGGAGGCAGGTTGTATTAGTGGTCTGACCATGTCTGTCTCTCTGTCTGCAGCACTGGATCCGTTTGCAGCTGTTATCTGATGTCTTGGTCCACAGGCTGAAGATGATGGTGGACCCTGCAGACAGCAGCTACATGCCCTCTCTGGTGGTCGTCTCAGGTACACACACAGCAGGGTTTCGTTAGCCGGTAATAGACGGCTTTTGGCATATAAAAAAAATTTGAAAACCCGATCGAATTGGCGCTGGCCAGTTGTCTGGGATCGGTGTAGAAGAACATGACTGGCCTTCAGAGAGCCCTGACCTCAACCCCATCGAACACCTTTGGGATGAATTGGAACGCCGACTGCAAGCCAGGCCTAATTGCCCCAACATCAGTGACCGACCTCACTAATGCTCTTGTGGCTGAATGGAACCAAGTCCCCACAGCAATGTTCCAACATCTAGTGGAAAGCCTTCCCAGAAGAGTGGAGGCTGTTATAGCAGCAAATGAGGGACCAACTCCATATTAATGCCCATGATTTTGGAATGAGATGTTTGACGAATAGGTGTCCATATACACTACCGTTCAAAAGTTTGGATTCACTTCAAAATTAACTTGTTTTCAAAAGAAAAGCAATTTTTTTGTCCATTAAAATAACATCAAATTAATCAGAAATACAGTGTAGACATTGTTAATGTTGTAAATGGCTATTGTAGCTGGAAACGGCTGATTTTTAATGGAATATCTACATAGGCGTACAGAGGCCCATTATCAGCAACCATCAGTCCTGTGTTCGAATGGCACGTTGTGTTTGCTAATCCAAGTTTATAATTTTAAAAGGCTAATTAATTGATCATTAGAAAACCCTTTTGTAATTATGTTAGCACAGCTGAAAACTGTTGTGCTGATTTAATGAAGCAATAAAACTGGCCTTCTTGAGACTAGTTGAGTATCTGGAGCATCAGCAATTGTGGGTTCGATTACAGGCTCAATATGGCCAGAAACAAAGATCTTTCTTCTGAAAGTTGTCAGTCTATTCTTGTTCTGAGAAATGAAGGCTATTCCATGCAAGAAACTGCCAAGAAACTGAAGATCTCGTACAACGCTGTGTACTACTCCCTTCACAGAAAAGCGCAAACTGGCTCTAACCAGAATAGAAAGAGGAGTGGGAGGCCCCGATGCACAACTGAGCAAGAGGACAAATACATTAGAGTGTCTAGTTTGAGAAACAGACGCCTCACAGGTCCTCAACTGGCAGCTTCATTAAATAGTACCCACAAAACACCAGTCTCAACGTCAACAGTGAAGAGGCGACTCCGGGATGCTGACCTTCTAGGCAGAGTTGCAAAGAAAAAGCCAAATCTCAGACTGGCCAATAAAAAGAAAAGATTAAGATGGGCAAAAGAACACAGACACTGGACAGAGGAAGATTGGAAAAAAGTGTTATGGAAAGACGAATTGAAGTTTGAGGTGTTCGGATCACAAAGAAGAACATTTGTGAGACGCAGACCAAATGAAAAGATGCTGGAGGAGTGCTTGATGCCATCTGTCAAGCATGGTGGAGGCAATGTGATGGTCTGGGGGTGCTTTGGTGGTGGTAAAGTGGGAGATTTGTACAGGGTAAAAGGGATCTTGAAGAAGGAAGGCTATCACTCCATTTTGCAACGCCATGCCATGTGGACGGCGCTTGATTGGAGCCAATTTCCTCCTACAACAGGACAATGACCCAAAGCACAGCTCCAAACTATGCAATAACTATTTAGGGAAGAAGCAGTCAGCTGGTATTCTGTCTATAATGGAGAGGCCAGCACAGTCACCGGATCTCACCCCTATTGAGCTGTTGTGGGAGCAGCTTGACCGTATGGTACGTAAGAAGTGCCCATCAAGCCAATCCAACTTGTGGGAGGTGCTTCAGGAAGCATGGAGTGAAATCTCTTCAAATTACCTCAACAAATTGACAACTAGAATGCCAAAGGTCTGCAAGGCTGTTATTGCTGCAAATGGAGGATTCTTTGACGAAGTTTGAAGGACACAATTATTATTTCAATTAAAAATAATTGTTTCTAACCTTGTCAATGACTACATTTTCTATTCGTTTTGCTATATTTCCTATTCAAACTAATTTCATGTATGTTTTCATGGAAAACAAGGACATTTCTAAGTGACCCCAAACTTTTGAACGGTAGTGTGCTTTTGGTAATGTAGTGTATATCAGAGCTCAATCACCTGTGAATGAATTGTGGTTGTAGTTTACATGTATAAGTAAGAAAACATATTTTTTTTGTCATGAGCAGTATTCTCATGATAGTGTTTTAAATGACATGGTTTGTGCCAGAGCAGGATTCTCATGTTAGTGTTTTAAATGACATGGTTTGTGCCAGAGCAGTATTCTCATGTTAGTGTTTTAAATGACATGGTTTGTGCCAGAGCAGGATTCTCATGTTAGTGTTTTAAATGACATGGTTTGTGCCAGAGCAGGATTCTCATGTTAGTGTTTTTACCTTTATAGGTGGTAGTTCCCTGAACAACCTGGTAGAGCTGAAGACCATCAACATCAACCCCACAGACACCACTGTTCCTCTGCTCAACGACTGCACTGAGGTAACTTAAACATTATCTACATGATCTATACTGAGCAAAAATATGAACGCAACATGCAACCATTTCAACGATTTTACTGAGTTACAGGTAAATGCATTAGGCCCTAATCTATGGATTTCACCTGACTGGGAATGAAAAAGGTGCATCATCTGTTGGTCACAGATACCTTTAAAAAAAAAGGGCTTTACAATGGTCCTCAGGATCTCGTCAAGGTATCTCTGTGCATTCAAATTGCCGTCGATTAAATGCAGTTGTGTTCGCTGTCCGTAGCTTATGCCTGCCCATACCATAACCCCACCGCCACCATGGGGCACTCTGTTCACAACGTTGACATCAGCAAACCACTCGCCCACACAACGCCATACACGCTGTCTGCGGTTGTGATGCCGGTTGGACGTACTGACAAATTCTCTAAAACGACGTTGGAGGAGGCTTATGGTAGAGAAATTTACATTAAATCTCTGGCAACAGCTCTGGTGGACATTCCTGCAGTCAGCATGCCAATTGCATGCTCCCTCTAAACTTCTGACATCTGTGGCATTGTGTTGTGTGACAAAACTGCACATTTTAGAGTTGCCTTTTATTGTCCCCAGCACAAGGTGCACATGTGTAATTGTCATGCTGTTTAAACAGCTTCTTGATATGCCACACCTGTCAGGTGGATCGATTATCTTGGCAAAGAGAAATGCTCACTAACAGGGACGTAAAGAAATGTTTGCAAAAAAATTGCGAGAAATAAGCTTTTTGTGCATATTGAACATTTCTGGGATCTTTTATTTCAGCTCATGAAACTTGGGACCAACACTTTACATGTTGCGTTTATTTTTTGTTCATACATTCATATCAACCCCACAGACACCACTGCTCCTCTGCTCAACGACTGCACTGAAGTACGTTCACTCAACTTGTAGGGACAATCTGGGATTGGTACATCCATTTTTGGACTTGTATATTAAATATACACTCAGTGGACAGTTTATTAGGTACACCCATCTAGTACCGGGTCGGAGCCTCCTTTGTCTCCAGAACAGCCTGAATTCTTCGTGGCATGGAAACGCTGCTCAATTGGTATCAAGGGACCTAACGTGTACCAGGAAACATTCCCCACACCATTACACCACCGCCACCAGCCTGTACCGTTGACACCAGGCAGGATGGGGCAATGGACTCATGCTGCTTACGCCAGATCCTTACTCTGCCATCAGCATGACGCTACAAGAACCGGGATTCACCGGAGCAGGCAATGTTTTTCCACTCCTCAGTTGTCCAGTGTTGGTGATACCGTATCTGACAGGAGTGGAACCCGGCGTGGTCGTCTGCTGCAACAGCCCATCCGTGACAAGGACCGACGAGTTGTGTGTTCGGCGATGCCATTCTGCACACCACTTTGTACTGGTGTTATCTGCCTGTTTGTGGCCCGCCTGTTAGCTTGCATGAATCTTGTCATTCTCCTTCGACCTCTCTCGTCAACGAGCTGTTTTCACCCACAGAACTGCCGCTGACTGGATGTTTTTTGTTTGTCACACCATTCTCGGTAAACCCTAGACACTGTCCTACGTGAAAAGCCCAGGAGGGTGGCCGTTTCTGAGATACTGGATCCGGCGCGCCTGGCACCGACGATCATACCACCCACACTCAAAGTCGATTAGGTCACTCCTTTTGCCCATTCTAACCTTCAATCGAACAGTAACTGAATGCCTCGATGCCGGTCTGCCTGCTTTATATAGCAAGCCACGGCCACGTGACTCACTGTCTGTAGGAGTGAACCATTTTCGTGAACGGACTGGTGTACCCAATAAACTGGCCGTTGATTCTTGAAGAATATAACTTATAATTGCTTCATGAGCTTAGTTCAACTGTTGTACCCCATCTGAACCCCAGTAGGCTTGTTTTACTCCACTCTTTTTGTAAACTTTGTAATTGTAAATCAAACACTCTATAGCTTCAAAAGACGGAATACATTGGAATTCCTCAGTACCACAAACCAGTGTTAACCGTGTCCACCAGTACTAACCAGTGTTAACTGTGTGTCCACCAGTACTAACCAGTGTTAACCGTGTCCACTAGTACTAACCAGTGTTAACTGTGTGTCCACTAGTACTAACCAGTGTTAACTGTGTGTCCACCAGTACTAACCAGTGTTAACTGTGTGTCCACTAGTACTAACCAGTGTTAACTGTGTGTCCACCAGTACTAACCAGTGTTAACTGTGTGTCCACCAGTACTAACCAGTGTTAACCGTGTCCACCAGTACTAACCAGTGTTAACTGTGTGTCCACCAGTACTAACCAGTGTTAACTGTGTCCACCAGTACTAACCAGTGTTAACTGTGTGTCCACCAGTACTAACCAGTGTTAACTGTGTGTCCACCAGTACTAACCAGTGTTAACTGTGTGTCCACCAGTACTAACCAGTGTTAACCGTGTGTCCACCAGTACTAACCAGTGTTAACTGTGTCCACCAGTACTAACCAGTGTTAACTGTGTCCACCAGTACTAACCAGTGTTAACTGTGTGTCCACCAGTACTAACCAGTGTTAACTGTGTCCACCAGTACTAACCAGTGTTAACTGTGTGTCCACCAGTACTAACCAGTGTTAACCGTGTCCACCAGTACTAACCAGTGTTAACTGTGTGTCCACCAGTACTAACCAGTGTTAACTGTGTGTCCACCAGTACTAACCAGTGTTAACCGTGTCCACCAGTACTAACCAGTGTTAACTGTGTGTCCACCAGTACTAACCAGTGTTAACTGTGTGTCCACCAGTACTAACCAGTGTTAACTGTGTGTCCACCAGTACTAACCAGTGTTAACCGTGTCCCCACCAGTACTAACCAGTGTTAACTGTGTGTCCACCAGTACTAACCAGTGTTAACCGTGTCCACCAGTACTAACCAGTGTTAACCGTGTCCACCAGTACTAACCAGTGTTAACCGTGTCCACCAGTACTAACCAGTGTTAACTGTGTGTCCACCAGTACTAACCAGTGTTAACTGTGTGTCCACCAGTACTAACCAGTGTTAACTGTGTGTCCACCAGTACTAACCAGTGTTAACCGTGTCCACCAGTACTAACCAGTGTTAACTGTGTGTCCACCAGTACTAACCAGTGTTAACTGTGTGTCCACCAGTACTAACCAGTGTTAACTGTGTGTCCACCAGTACTAACCAGTGTTAACTGTGTGTCCACCAGTACTAACCAGTGTTAACCGTGTCCACCAGTACTAACCAGTGTTAACTGTGTGTCCACCAGTACTAACCAGTGTTAACTGTGTGTCCACCAGTACTAACCAGTGTTAACCGTGTCCACCAGTACTAACCAGTGTTAACTGTGTGTCCACCAGTACTAACCAGTGTTAACTGTGTGTCCACCAGTACTAACCAGTGTTAACCGTGTCCACCAGTACTAACCAGTGTTAACTGTGTGTCCACCAGTACTAACCAGTGTTAACTGTGTGTCCACCAGTACTAACCAGTGTTAACCGTGTCCACCAGTACTAACCAGTGTTAACTGTGTGTCCACCAGTACTAACCAGTGTTAACTGTGTGTCCACCAGTACTAACCAGTGTTAACTGTGTGTCCACCAGTACTAACCAGTGTTAACTGTGTGTCCACCAGTACTAACCAGTGTTAACTGTGTCCACCAGTACTAACCAGTGTTAACTGTGTGTCCACCAGTACTAACCAGTGTTAACCGTGTCCACCAGTACTAACCAGTGTTAACTGTGTGTCCACCAGTACTAACCAGTGTTAACTGTGTGTCCACCAGTACTAACCAGTGTTAACTGTGTGTCCACCAGTACTAACCAGTGTTAACCGTGTCCCCACCAGTACTAACCAGTGTTAACCGTGTCCCCACCAGTACTAACCAGTGTTAACCGTGTGTCCACCAGTACTAACCAGTGTTAACTGTGTGTCTACCAGTACTAACCAGTGTTAACCGTGTCCACCAGTACTAACCAGTGCGTTGTGTTCTCTTCCAGTACCACAGGTACATAGAGATAGCCATTAAGCAGTGCCGTAGCTCTGGTATCGACTGTAAGATCCACGGCCTGGGCATCGTGGGACGGATCAGAGCGGAGGATGAAGACCTGGCCACCGTGCCGTTCCTGGCTTCGGACAACGAGGAAGAGGAGGATGAGAAGACGCCTACTGGCAGGTGAGGAAGGATACTGTGTTTAAAGTAGTGCCACAATCCCAAATCAACCCCTAGGCCCTAGACCGTACGCCCTACGCACTTGTGAAGAGCAGAAAGGATTTGATTGGTGTTCTCCTGTTTCTTTACTATGTTTGAAGTAGTGTGTGTCTGGATCGTAGCAGCCGAGTATCATCTGTTTGTCTATTCAGCTTCCATCAGGAAGGTTTACAGCCTGGCTCTGCCCGTGTTCAGACCTTTCCCCTGTTTATTACTGTATATTCATGCTGGGCCTTGACCTTTCCCCTGTTTATTACTGTATATTCATACTGGGCCTTGACCTTTCCCCTGTTTATTACTGTATATTCATACTGGGCCTTGACCTTTCCCCTGTTTATTACTGTATATTCATGCTGGGCCTTGACCTTTCCCCTGTTTATTACTGTATATTCATGATGGGCCTTGACCTTTCCCCTGTTTATTACTGTATATTCATACTGGGCCTTGACCTTTCCCCTGTTTATTACTGTATATTCATGCTGGGCCTTGACCTTTCCCCTGTTTATTACTGTATATTCATGCTGGGCCTTGACCTTTCCCCTGTTTATTACTGTATATTCATGCTGGGCCTTGACCTTTCCCCTGTTTATTACTGTATATTCATGCTGGGCCTTGACCTTTCCCCTGTTTATTACTATATATTCATGCTGGGCCTTGACCTTTCCCCTGTTTCTTACTGTATATTCATGCTGGGCCTTGACCTTTCCCCTGTTTATTACTGTATATTCATGCTGGGCCTTGACCTTTCCCCTGTTTATTACTGTATATTCATGCTGGGCCTTGACCTTTCCCCTGTTTATTACTGTATATTCATGCTGGGCCTTGACCTTTCCCCTGTTTATTACTGTATATTCATGCTGGGCCTTGACCTTTCCCCTGTTTATTACTGTATATTAATGCTGGGCCTTGACCTTTCCCCTGTTTATTACTGTATATTCATGCTGGGCCTTGACCTTTCCCCTGTTTATTACTGTATATTCATGCTGGGCCTTGACCTTTCCCCTGTTTATTACTGTATATTCATGCTGGGCCTTGACCTTTCCCCTGTTTATTACTGTATATTCATGCTGGGCCTTGACCTTTCCCCTGTTTATTACTGTATATTCATGCTGGGCCTTGACCTTTCCCCTGTTTATTACTGTATATTCATGCTGGGCCTTGACCTTTCCCCTGTTTATTACTGTATTTCAGCCTGTTTATTACTGTATATTCATGCTGGGCCTTGACCTTTCCCCTGTTTATTACTGTATATTCATACTGGGCCTTGACCTTTCCCCTGTTTATTACTGTATATTCATACTGGGCCTTGACCTTTCCCCTGTTTATTACTGTATATTCATGCTGGGCCTTGACCTTTCCCCTGTTTATTACTGTATATTCATGATGGGCCTTGACCTTTCCCCTGTTTATTACTGTATATTCATACTGGGCCTTGACCTTTCCCCTGTTTATTACTGTATATTCATGCTGGGCCTTGACCTTTCCCCTGTTTATTACTGTATATTCATGCTGGGCCTTGACCTTTCCCCTGTTTATTACTGTATATTCATGCTGGGCCTTGACCTTTCCCCTGTTTATTACTATATATTCATGCTGGGCCTTGACCTTTCCCCTGTTTCTTACTGTATATTCATGCTGGGCCTTGACCTTTCCCCTGTTTATTACTGTATATTCATGCTGGGCCTTGACCTTTCCCCTGTTTCTTACTGTATATTCATGCTGGGCCTTGACCTTTCCCCTGTTTATTACTGTATATTCATGCTGGGCCTTATTACAGATTCCTGTCTTTCTGTTCTCCTAGTCTGGCCCGTAAGAAGTCGTCAGGTCTGGAGTCAGCTGCCACCATCAGGACCAAGGTGTTTGTCTGGGGACTCAATGACAAAGACCAGCTGGGAGGACTGAAGGGATCCAAGGTACTGCATGGCCTGCTTTGGTTAGCAACGCGCATGCCCCGCCAAACCTGAGGATCTGGCTTTTTCAGCCAGCTGTTTCCTGTGTCTGAGGGGTGCAAAAATCAACCTGTCACTTACAGTAAATCTCGCTGGATTGATTGCTTTCATTTTACTCCCGTGACTCTTTCATACTCGTTTTGTCCTGTTAATGTTACGACCACATAAAAGTTAGTAATACCTGTCAAACACACCACGGTAATGGCTGAAATGGGATCAATGGAGTACTTGGTCTATAAGAACGTTAGAGCTTCGTGTGGGATTGAACGCATCGTCTCGACGCTGCCAGAAAGAGACGAGGAAAATAACTGTTCATTTGTTGTGGACTTGAAGAAAGCAATAACTTAATACAGTTGAAAGTTTACAGATGAGATGCGCTGAAATGATAACTTCTGAAAAGGAAAACTCAGATTATAGGGATATTATGTCTGATCTGGCAAACAATGGAAAGTCTGTTTAGAGGTGTAATCTAGAACCAAGCTGTTGATTTGTAATATGAGGGTTCCCTGCTATTGACACACTTGTTGAATTATGCAACAGAACGTGACAACAGTAATTAATGAGGTGGTCTAGACAGAGCAGGTGAGTACAGGTAGGGTAGACAGAGCAGGTGAGTTCAGGTAGGGTAGACAGAGCAGGTGAGGACAGGTACGGTAGACAGAGCAGGTGAGGACAGGTAGGGTAGACAGAGCAGGTGAGGACAGGTAGGGTAGACAGAGCAGGTGAGGACAGGTAGGGTAGACAGAGCAGGTGAGGACAGGTAGGGTAGACAGAGCAGGTGAGGACAGGTAGGGTAGACAGAGCAGGTGAGGACAGGTAGGGTAGACAGAGCAGGTGAGGACAGGTAGGGTAGACAGAGCAGGTGAGTACAGGTAGGGTAGACAGAGCAGGTGAGTACAGGTAGGGTAGACAGAGCAGGTGAGGACAGGTAGGGTAGACAGAGCAGGTGAGGACAGGTAGGGTGGACAGAGCAGGTGAGGACAGGTAGGGTAGACAGAGCAGGTGAGGACAGGTAGGGTAGACAGAGCAGGTGAGGACAGGTAGGGTAGACAGAGCAGGTGAGGACAGGTAGGGTAGACAGAGCAGGTGAGTACAGGTACGGTAGACAGAGCAGGTGAGGACAGGTAGGGTAGACAGAGCAGGTGAGGACAGGTAGGGTAGACAGAGCAGGTGAGGACAGGTAGGGTAGACAGAGCAGGTGAGTACAGGTAGGGCAGACAGAGCAGGTGAGGACAGGTAGGGTAGACAGAGCAGGTGAGGACAGGTAGGGTAGACAGAGCAGGTGAGTAAAGGTAGGGTAGACAGAGCAGGTGAGTACAGGTAGGGTAGACAGAGCAGGTGAGGACAGGTAGGGTAGACAGAGCAGGTGAGTACAGGTAGGGTAGACAGAGCAGGTGAGTACAGGTAGGGTAGACAGAGCAGGTGAGGACAGGTAGGGTAGACAGAGCAGGTGAGGACAGGTACGGTAGACAGAGCAGGTGAGGACAGGTAGGGTAGATAGAGCAGGTGAGGACAGGTAGGGTAGACAGAGCAGGTGAGGACAGGTACGGTAGACAGAGCAGGTGAGGACAGGTAGGGTAGACAGAGCAGGTGAGGACAGGTAGGGTAGACAGAGCAGGTGAGTACAGGTAGGGTAGATAGAGCAGGTGAGTACAGGTAGGGTAGACAGACAAAGCAAGGTTTTAGTGGTTGCAGCCCTGTCCCACCCATTTATGTGAATGTTTTATATTCTGAACAAAAATATAAACGCAGCTCATGAAACATGGGACCAACACTTTACATGTTGCATTTATATTTTTGTTCAGTATATATGCAAATAAAACGAGTGTATTTATGCAAATGAGGCACATATCATTTTCTTTATTTTAACACAAAATATATTTAAAAAAATACCTGATACCATTTTAAATGTATATATGAGTGCATTCTAAGAAAATAAAAAGTGAAATTTTACAATAAATTGAATACCTGAATTCCCACCAAAATCCAATCATTATTTGTCTGTGCCAGTAAAAATGATGTGCTATTATTCAGTCAATATCGGATGGATTAAAAAAATCTAAAAGTTTGGAGGATCTTCATCCATTGTCCAACTGTTGCATTTATTAGAATCGTTTTTTACATGTACTGTACAAAACAAATATTAAATAGATGGGAAGTGCTGCAGTTGAACGTTAACAGCTGTCTAATTCTTTAGTGTGATCCACTGCATGTTTGTGCTCTTCCTACTCAGATCAAGGTCCCGTCCTTCTCTGAAACCCTCTCAGCCCTCAACGTGGTGCAGGTGGCCGGCGGGTCCAAGAGTCTGTTTGCAGGTCGGTAAAGATGCACATGAGAACAGTTGTGAGACGTGAGAGGGAAATGTCTGCTGTTAGTGTTGTCTATGTTTCTGTTGAGAAAGGGATTCTTGCAAGTAGTGTGTATGTGTGTGTGTGTGTGTGTGTTACCCGTAATGTTCAAGTGACTGACGAGGGGAAGGTGTGTGTGTGTGTGTGTGTGCGAGCAACTGACTTACCTGTGTTGTTCCAGTGACGTCCGAGGGGAAGGTGTATGCGTGTGGGGAGGCCACTAACGGGCGTCTGGGCCTGGGTCTGTCCAGCGGTACCATCCCTATACCCCGCCACGTCACTGCTCTCACTAACTACGTCGTGAAGAAGGTTGCAGTGCATTCTGGGGGACGCCACGCCATGGCCCTCACTGTGGATGGGAAGGTGTTCTCCTGGGGAGAGGGAGATGACGGGAAACTGGGGCACTTCAGCAGGATGTAAGTTATATCTTCTACATCCCAAATGGCACCCTATTCCCTATGTAGTGCACGACTTTAGACCAGAGAATGGCACCCTATTCCCTATATAGTGCACTACTTTAGACCAGAGAATGGTACCCTATTCCCTATATAGTGCACTACTTTAGACCAGAGAATGGCACCCTATTCCCTATATAGTGCTCTACTTTAGACCAGAGAATGGTACCCTATTCCCTATATAGTGCACTACTTTAGACCAGAGAATGGCACCCTATTCCCTATATAGTGCACTACTTTAGACCAGAGAATGGCACCCTATTCCCTATATAGTGCACTACTTTAGACCAGAGAATGGCACCCTATTCCCTATGTAGTGCACGACTTTAGACCAGAGAATGGCACCCTATTCCCTATATAGTGCACTACTTTAGACCAGAGAATGGCACCCTATTCCCTATGTAGTGCACGACTTTAGACCAGAGAATGGCACCCTATTCCCTATATAGTGCACTACTTTAGACCAGAGAACGGCACCCTATTCCCTATGTAGTGCACGACTTTAGACCAGAGAATGGCACCCTATTCCCTATGTAGTGCACTACTTTAGACCAGGGCCCAGAGGTACACCTAAGCAGAATGTAAGTCCTCTAATCATCACACCCTACATTGGATTAGGAAGCATTAGATCGATAGCATTTCATTGTACTGTTTTCACTACGCTGTATCCTATGCATATGGTAACTGAATGTTGATTTTATTAACTCGTACTGTTATGGATTTGAGGTACTAATGGCCTTTATTCAGAAGAAATACAGTATATAGAAAAATGCTAAATAATACAGTGAAAACGCAGTACATCAAGACAAATCTTTTGCCCTTTTAAAATGCGTCTCTTCCTCCCTGTAGGAACTGTGACAAGCCGCGTCTCATTGAGGCCCTGAAGACCAAGCGGATCCGGGACATCGCCTGTGGCTCGTCCCACAGTGCTGCCATCACCTCCAGTGGAGAGCTGTATAGCTGGGGTCTGGGGGAGTACGGACGCCTGGGGCACGGAGACAACACCACACAGCTACGACCCAAACTGGTACGTACTAGAGACAACACCACACAGCTACGACCCAAACTGGTACGTACTAGAGACAACACCACACAGCTACGACCCAAACTGGTACGTACTAGAGACAACACTACACAGCTACGACCCAAACTGGTACGTACTAGAGACAACACCACACAGCTAAGACCCAAACTGGTACGTACTAGAGACAACACCACACAGCTACGACCCAAACTGGTACGTACTAGAGACAACACCACACAGCTAAGACCCAAACTGGTACATACTAGAGACACCACCACACAGCTAAGACCCAAACTGGTACGTACTAGAGACAACACCACACAGCTACGACCCAAACTGGTACGTACTAGAGACAACACCACACAGCTAAGACCCAAACTGGTACGTACTAGAGACAACACCACACAGCTAAAACCCAAACTGGTACGTACTATAGACACCACCACACAGCTACGACCCAAACTGGTACGTACTAGAGACAACACCACACAGCTACGACCCAAACTGGTACGTACTAGAGACAACACCACACAGCTAAGACCCAAACTGGTACATACTATAGACACCACCACACAGCTACGACCCAAACTGGTACGTACTAGAGACAACACCACACAGCTACGACCCAAACTGGTACATACTAGAGACAACACCACACAGCTACGACTGGTACATACTAGAGACACCACCACACAGCTAAGACCCAAACTGGTACGTACTAGAGACAACACCACACAGCTAAGACCCAAACTGGTACGTGCTAGAGACACCACCACACAGCTAAGACCCAAACTGGTACGTACTAGAGACAACACCACACAGCTAAGACCCAAACTGGTACGTACTAGAGACAACACCACACAGCTAAGACCCAAACTGGTACGTACTAGAGACAACACCACACAGCTAAGACCCAAACTGGTACGTACTAGAGACAACACCACACAGCTAAGACCCAAACTGGTACGTACTAGAGACAACACCACACAGCTAAGACCCAAACTGGTACGTACTAGAGACAACACCACACATCTAAGACCCAAACTGGTACGTACTAGAGACAACACCACACAGCTACGACCCAAACTGGTACGTACTAGAGACAACACCACACAGCTACGACCCAAACTGGTACGTACTAGAGACAACACCACACAGCTAAGACCCAAACTGGTACGTACTAGAGACACCACCACACAGCTAAGACCCAAACTGGTACGTACTAGAGACAACACCACACAGCTAAGACCCAAACTGGTACGTACTAGAGACAACACCACACAGCTACGACCCAAACTGGTACATACTAGAGACAACACCACACAGCTACGACTGGTACATACTAGAGACACCACCACACAGCTACGACTGGTACATACTGGCACTACCTCTCTGTGGATACGCTACACACTTAGACTCTCCTGATACTATAATAATGTACTATAATAATGTAGTTTTCTGAGACTCCTGAAACTATAATAATGTACTATAATAATGTAGTTTTCTGAGACTCCTGAAACTATAATAATGTACTATAATAATGTAGTTTTCTGAGACTCCTGAAACTATAATAATGTACTATACTTGTGGTTTTAGATTGGCTATAGAACTGTTAGATGTTGTGTATCTGATTTGTGTGTTTGATACAGGTGAAGGTGCTTCTGGGTCATCGTGTGGTCCAGGTGGCTTGTGGGAGTAGAGATGCTCAAACTCTAGCCCTGACAGATGAAGGTACTTGTGTGTCTGTATTTGCGCTGTGTCCGTCGCTGAATAGTTAGCCATGTCCGTCGCTGAATAGTTAGCCATGTCCGTCGCTGAATAGTTAGCCATGTCCGTCGCTGAATAGTTAGCCATGTCCGTCGCTGAATAGATAGCCATGTCCGTCGCTGAATAGTTAGCCATGTCCGTCGCTGAATAGTTAGCCATGTCCGTCGCTGAATAGTTAGCCATGTGTCCTTACACTGCAATGCTCTGAGCTGTACCTCTCTTCCTCCCTCCTCAGGCCTGGTGTTCTCCTGGGGCGATGGGGACTTTGGGAAGCTGGGTCGTGGGGGCAGCGAAGGCTGTAATATCCCTCAGAACATCGAGAGGCTGAATGGGCAGGGAGTCTGTCAGATAGAGTGTGGGGCTCAGTTCTCCCTGGCTCTCACCAAGTCTGGAGTGGTCTGGACGTGGTAAGATCAAATCACATTGTATTGGTCACATACACATATTTAGCAGATGTTATTGCGGGTGTAGTGAAATGCTTGTGGACAGCTGTGTAGGATTACGAAACATCCAGAAAACTTTTTTAAAAATCCCATTTGGAGGATTTCTGGAATCAGCAGGGAATAAGCTGCAAGGGAATCCTCCAACCTGCAATTCTTTAACTGGGATTGCTTCAAGAAAGCTTCAAGAAAGTTTCAGGAATTTTACAACCCTACAGCTGATGACATAAGCTGTGTTCGAATACCCATGCTAATATACTGTATACTACACAATTAATTAGTATATACTACATACTATAAACTATTAGTTCATTTTAGCATACTGTAAACTAATAGTATCCTTTCAGTTGAGTGTACTAGCACTTCGCCTGTCTACTGGAAGTTGATGCTGTTGCTATGCAACCTCTTGCTAGCTTGTTAGCATAACAAATTACTAGCTAGACATCTTACGACTTCATTAGCAATGTCCATTGAGAACGCACAATGACTATACCACTTAGCTAAGCTAAGAATGACGTGAATAATCAAGTCAATAAACGTTGGGCAGTTAGTTAGATAGCATATAGTTAATATACTGGCAAGTTCCATGTATTAGTAGCCAACTAACGTTAGGTAGCTAGCTAACATACCGGTACATACAAGCAACTGCTGTAATCATATGCTATGCGGTTTGTAAGGCTAGCGTAGCTAACAAATTGTCAGCCAACATAGCGTGTAATGTTTTTTTTTTTATTACATTGCTCAACATGTTCTTAACATTTGTCATAATTAGTTAAAGCAATGAATATTTACTTTTTGTACTTACATTTGTATCCGCTCTCGTCGGACTTCGGCTGCATATTTTCCGCCATTTTCTTCAAATCTGAAAAATGTGTGAAGCCACGGCCATTTTCTGAAGTATTGCATTATGGGCCCAAAATTCACAGAAATAGTGTCCACTGCTTGTATACTTCGAATTTTGGCTAATGTAGTACGACATCCGGGAACTTTTGTCATACTAACTATATCCATACTATGACCAATAGGCATACTACATACTCAATTTACCTCACAAATAGTAGGGTTAGTGCGGATGTGATGGTACTATTCTACCTCAGGCGAGCAATACCTCGAGACTTCTTTAATATTAGACATCGCGCACAAGCAGTTATTGACAAATGGACACACACCCCCGCCCCTCGTCTTACCAGATGTAGCTGCTCTGTCCTGATGAAGCCAGCCAGCTCCGTAATATCCGTGTCGTCGTTCAGCCACGTCTCGTGAAACATAAGATATTACAGTTTTTAACGTCCCGTTGGTGGGATAGTCTTGATCATAGATCTTCCAGTTTGTTTTCCAATGTTTGCACGTTGGCCAATAATACGGAGGGAAGTGGTGGTTTGCCCCGCCCTCCTCCCCATTTTCCTTCATCTTTTCTTCGCGCTGATGACGGGGATTTGGGCCTTGTCTTGACAAAGCAGTATATCCTTCGCGTCAGACTCATTAAATAAAAAATCTTCGTCCAGTTCAAATGAGTTACAAACAAAGTAGCACAGTTGGTTAGGAGCCCGTAAAACGGCAGCCATCCCCTCCTGCGCCATTAACTCTGTTCACAACGTTGACATCAGCAAACTGCTCGCCCACACGACGCCATACACATGGTCTGCGGTTGTGAGGCCGGTTGGATGTACTGCCAAATTCTCTAAAACGACATTGGAGGAGGCTTAGAGAAATTAACATTGATTTATCTGGCAACAGCTCTGGTGGACATTCCTGCAGTCAGTATGCCAATTGTACGCTCCCTAAAAACTTGAGACATCTGTGGCATTGTGTCGTGTGACAAAACTGCACATTTTAGAGTTGCCTTTTATTGTCCTCAGCACAAGGTGCACCTGTGTAATGATCATGCTGTTTAATCAGCTTCTTGATATGCCACACCTGTCAGGTGGATGGATTATCTTGGCAAAGAGAAATGCTCACTAACAGGGATGTAAACAAATTTGTGCACAGCATTTGAGAGAAATAAGGTTTTTGTGCATGTGGAACATTTCTGGGATCTTTTATTTCAGCTCATGTTGTGTTTTTATTTTTGTTCAGTGTAACATAACGTTTGATTTAGATTTAGAACACCAGGTGGGTGCAATTAATGATCAGGTAGACAGAAAAGCAGCAGGCTACGGACTTTGTAGGGTCAGAGTTGAATAACCCTGGTTAATGTGATGTTTCTACCCAGGGATAAAGGTGAATAACTGTCTGTTTCTCAACCAGGGGTAAAGGGGACTATTTCCGTCTGGGCCACGGGACAGACGTCCATGTGCGTAAGCCCCAGATGGTGGAGGGGCTGAGGGGGAAGAAGATCATCCACGTGGCCGTGGGGGCGCTGCACTGCCTGGCTGTCACCGAGACTGGACAGGTGGGTGCTGGCCTCCGTGCCTCATGGCTGTCACCAGATTAGTTTTTGCTGCCTTGCCAACTTCTATGGTCTTGTCAAGACACACGTGACAGCACACAGGAGATCTAGCGAGGCCTCGTCCAGTAGAGCGCATCAGACACCAGGTCATTTATTCACATGGCATCTTTCCAAGTATTTAACTAAATGTGTAACTGTAGTGATACTGGAGATATACTACGGGTAGCTCTGTCCACATTACATATCAGCACTTCATCTCTGTCAGGTTTTTAATATGTATCCACTTCTTCTAGAATAATTGTTCGAAGTCTTCACTAAGTTTCTCTGTATTCTACCAGGTGTTTGCATAACTGTTTCTCTCTGTGTGTGTGTGTGAGTGAGATTACACAGACCCACAAAGAATTTGAAATCAAATCCAATTTAGATAAACTCCTATATCTATTGGGTGAAATATCACAGCAGGAAGATTTTGTTACCTGTTGCCACAATGCATTCGGAAAGTATTCAGACCCATTTACTTTTTCCACATTTTGTTACGTTATTCTAAAATGGATTAAATAAAACATTTTCCTCAGCAATCTATACACAATACCCCGTAATGACAAAGCGAAAACAGGTTTCTATACATTTTTGCAAATTTATTACAAATAAAAAACAGATACCTTATTTTCATAAGTATTCAGACCCTTTGCTATGAGACTCGAAATTGAGCTCAGGTGCATCCTGTTTCCATTGATCATCCTTGATGTTTTTACTACTTGATTGGAGTCCACCTGTGGTAAATTCAATTGATTGGACATGATTTGGAAAGGCACACATCTGTCTATATAAGGTCCCACAGTTGACAGTGCATATCAAAGCAAAAACCAAGCCATGAGGTCGAAGAAATTGTTCGTAGAGCTCCGAGACAGAATTGTGTTGATGCACAGATCGGGGAAGGGTACCAAAAAATGTCTGCAGCATTGAAGGTCCCCAAGAACACAGTGGCCTCCATCATTCTTAAATGGAAGAAGTTTGGAACCACCAAGACTCTTCCTAGAGCTGGCCGCCTGGCCAAACGGAGCAATCGGGGGAGAAGGGCCTTGGTCAGTGAGGTGACCAAGAACCCGATGGTCACTCTGACAGAGCTCCAGAGTTCCTCTGTGGAGATAGGAGAACCTTCCAGAAGGACAACCATCTCTGCAGCACTCCACCAATCAGGCCTTTATGGTAGAGTGGCCAGACGGAAGTCACTCCTCAGTAAAAGGCACATGACAGCCTGCTCAGAGTTTGCCAAAAGGCACCTAAAGGACTCTGACCATGAGGAGCAAGATTCTCTGGTCTGATGAAACCAAGATTGAACACTTTGGCCTGAATGCCATGCGTCACGTCTGGAGCATGTTGGTGGCAGCATCATGCTGTGGGAATGATTTTCAGCAGCAGGGACTGGGAGACTAGTCAGGATTGAGGGAAAGATGAACGGAGCAAAGTAAAGAGAGATCCTTGATGAAAACCTGCTCCAGAGTGCTCAGGACCTCAGACTGGGGCGAAGGTTCACCTTCCAACAGGACAACGACCCAAAGCACACAGCCAAGACAACGCAGGAGTGTCTTCGGGACAAGTCTCTGAATGTCCTTGAGTGGCCCAGCCAGAGCCCGGACTTGAACCCGATCGAAATTCTCTGAAGAGACCTGAAAATAGTTGTGCAGCAACGCTCCCCATCCAACCTGACAGAGCTTGAGAGGATCTGCAGAGAAGAATGGGAGAAACTCCCCAAATACAGGTGTGCCAAGCTTGTAGCGTCATACATAAGAATACTCGAGGCTGTAATCGCTGCCAAAGGTGCTTCAACAAAGTACTGAGTAAAGGGTCTGAATATATATGTAAATGTGATTTTAAAAAAAAGTTTATTTTATAAATTAGCAAAAATGTCTGAACCTGTTTTTGCTTTGTCATTATGGGGTATTGTGTGTAGATGGATGAGGTCAATTTCATCAATTTTAAATAAGGCTGTAACGTAACAAAATGTGGTAAAAGTCAAGGGGTCTGAATACTTTCCGAATGCACTATACAACCCATATTTATGTTGATTTATTTTCCCTTTTGTACTTTAACTATTTGCACATTGTTACAACACTGTATATGGACATAATATGACATTTGAAATGTCTTTATTCTTTTGAAACTTCTGAGTGTAATGTTTACTGTTAATATTTATTGTTTATTTAACTTTTGTTTATTATCCATTTCACTTGCTTTGGCAACGTTAACATATGTTTCCCATGCCAATAAAGCCCTTTGATTTGAATTGAATTGAATTGAGAGAGAGAGCGAGCGAGAGAGATGTTTGAAGGGGAGAGAGAGCTGACCTTAATGTCTGTGAGTTCTTAGAAAGAGAGAGGCTGAAATTCAAACCGAGCACTCGATATGCATATTCATGAGTCAATCGAGTCTGTCCTGAGCTCGCTGGTTGATACAATGTTTCATGTTTACTAGCGTGAGCTTCGGGCCGGACCCGGATGATAGTTGATACAATATTTCAAATTCGTTGCAGACAGGTGGAATAGAGAGATGAATGCGATTGACATTATTATAATTGAAATGAAGCTGTTCCACGAAAATGTGCGTATGAAAATCATAACATCGGTAGAAAATGTAAATCAATTGGCATTCCACGTGAAGCAGGTTTCCGACTCCTGGTGTAGCCTATTACCGGAAGCTTCAGGAGCGTAACGGCTGAATCAGCGAAGGCCTGCAGGAGGAGGTCGGGAACAGGTTTTTAAATTCTGGTTATCTTGATCTCTGGCTCTCTCAAGTCATTAGTTGTCTTAATTATTTCATCATACATCAGACAAGCTCAGTGCAAATAGTTGATTTTATTAAAACACATAGTTTTACATTTACGTCAGTTAGCAGACGCTCTTATCCAGAGCGACTTACAAATTGGTGCATTCACCTTATAGCCAGTGGGATAACCACTTTACAATTTTTTTTTTTTTTTTTTTGGGGGGGGGGTAGAAGGATTACTTTATCCTATCCCAGGTATTCCTTAAAGAGGTAGGGTTTCAAGTGTCTCCGGAAGGTGGTGAGTAACTCCGCTGTCCTGGCGTCGTGAGGGAGCTTGTTCCACCATTGGGGTGCCAGAGCAGCGAACAGTTTTGACTGGGCTGAGTGGGAACTGTGCTTCCGCAGAGGTAGGGGAGCCAGCAGGCCAGAGGTGGATGAACGCAATGCCCTCGTTTGGGTGTAGGGACTGATCAGAGCCTGAAGGTACGGAGGTGCCGTTCCCCTCACAGCTCCGTAGGCAAGCACCATATGTGTGACACATAATGTGTGTCTATATATGGAAAAATACCCGTTTAGAAATTGAGGAAGAACAGACTACTCTCGGTCAACCAAGATGTATTTTTTGTCGGGGACAGCCGTAATATACTTGTGCAGTAGAGATGTTGATTGGTTCCTCTATCAGTTTCATGCTACAAGACGCGTCGCGGGAGACGATGCGCGCAAATGGATTTAGAATTGTAGAATATTGATAAGTGGCAGTTAGGACGTCAATTGTCTCAATGTCTCAATGTTCATTTTGACCAAAACACCTGCAGACTGATCACTTTTGAACACATCAGCAAGTGGCCACTCGATAAAGGGCTTAGGGGCCACGTGTTCCTGTTTGAGATTCAGCCATAGAGATGTGAGAGAGGGATACAGAGGTGTGTTTAGTAGCTGTAAGTGTGTCTGTACTGCTCCACCAGGTGTTTGCGTGGGGAGACAACGACCACGGCCAGCAGGGGAACGGGACCACCACGGTGAACAGGAAGCCCACCCTGGTTCAGGGTTTAGAGGGACAGAAGATCACCCGTGTGGCCTGTGGCTCCTCCCACAGCGTTGCCTGGACCACCGTAGACGTCACCACCCCCTCTGTCCACGAGCCTGTCCTCTTCCAGACTGCCAGGGACTCTCTAGGGGCCTCATACCTAGGTAACCCTAACCTCTATACAGCTAGTAACCCTAACACTAAGTCTAACCCTCTTCATACCTAGGTAACCTAACAACAGTCACATTTAATATAGTATATAGTATAATATATACTTTTACAGCATGAAAAAACAACTGGAACGTAGTAGGTGATTTGTCAATTAAATAATATGTATTTCAAAAACCCAACACAAACACTATCTTCAACTCAAATTATGCTTCAGAAATAAATATAACCCCCACAAATAATATAATGTCAACGCATTTTACAAAAACAAATATTCAATAACCATCACAATGTCCCAATAACCTTATTGAACCGTTTTGTTTTGGTTAAGTTCAAATTCAGTTTCGGCTATATTGGGACGCGCCAAGGAAATGATTTGTCTATAAGTCCCGTCTTTCTTTTCCCATTTCGATTCCCTTTACTTTATTCAGTTCAAGTTCAGTTCATAGTAGTTTCGCATTCAAATCAAATTTCCCCCGTAAAAGAAAAGGTGATCTCTAGAAACTGTAAAGAAAACAGGATGGATCTCACCGGAGTTTGGAAGGCGCGTCCGTGTTCATTAAACTTTTTCCGCGATCGGTTTTCCACAACAAGGAAATAATCGGACCGGTCAGGAACACGATCACAGTGCCAACAGAAAATCCAAACCATGGAAGGCACGGACTGCGCTTAGCAGGCTGCAGTTTTCTTCTCGCAATTTGAAACTGGTGCCGCTAAGGTTTACCGGTGTGTTCGAATCACAGGTAGGCTATAGCAAAACACACCTCTCTGGATGACCACCAAGCAACCTCCAAGATGCGAAGAAGAGTCTTCAGCCATCCAAGATGGCCGCCCAGTGGAAGGTCATGAAAGGAATCCAGAAAACAGCAGACAAGGCCCTTGGGTACCAGAGGTTGATATTTATTGCCTTCTCCTTTAACAGGGATCCTCCTGTACAGGATTCCTTGGAGTACTTTGAATCCAATTCAATCTGGACGCTCGCTGGAAGCTTCTTTGTCACTGACCTCCTGGTCCTGAGCTTGAGAGCTGGCAAGGATGGAAAGGCTGTGAGTGGTGGTGACAGCAACATATGCTACATGGCTTGCTGATGGAGCCACTGCTCTGGACAGAGCATCAATGTTCTGATGGCCTTTCCGGTAATGCACTCTGAACTGAAGGGGCAACGTCCAGCGTGTGAGCCTGGAAGATGTCTTGGGGCTGTTGAAAACCCATGTAAGTGCTGAGTGATCAGTAAATACATCAAGTCAATCCCCTTTTCCATTGCCCACACCACTACCCACACTGCTTTTCCCTTGTTGAGTAGTTGCATTCAGCTCCTTTAATGCCAGTGATGCATATGCAATGCTTCCTTCTCCACCTTCCGTCTGTTGAGTGAAGACTTGGAATGCCTGCGATAGGTCTGTCTGAGCCAACAAGAGCCTGCTGCAACTGCTCAAAACTGTTCTGTCCGTTCCCAGAATTATATCATTTGGTGATTGGCTGTGGAGGCTATTTGGTGATTGGCTGTGGAGGCTATTTGGTGATTGGCTGTGGAGGCTATTTGGCCATTGGCTATTTGACATGCGTTCAGTTAAACCCTGAAGTTTAGGCTTATGCAGTAATACCAGATAACCTCAAATAATTTACATTTACGTCATTTAGCAGACGCTCTTATCCAGAGCGACTTACAAATTGGTGCATTCACCTTATAGCCAGTGGGATAACCACTTTACAATTTATTTTTTATTTTTTTGAAATAATGAAAGAAAAACCTCAATGTAGCCTTTTATAAATTGCACAATAATTACAGTGCATTCGAAAAGTATTCAGACCCCTTGATTTTTTCCACATTTGGTTACGTTACAGCCTTATTCTAAAATTGATTAAATTGTTTTTTTCCCCTCATCAATCTACACACAATACCCCAAAATGACAAAGCAAAAACAGGTTTTTAGACAGTTGTGCAAAATGTATAAAAAAACAAACAACTTAAATATCACATTTACATGAAAACTGAAATCACATTTTCATAAGTATTCAGACCCTTTACTCAGTAATTTGTTGAAGCACCTTTGGCAGCGATTACAGCCTCGAGTCTTCTTAGGTATGACGCTACAAGCTTGGCACACCTGTATTTGGGGAGTTTCTCCCGTTCTTCTCTGCAGATCCTCTGAACCGAAGAGCGGTACCTGGTTTCCTCCAGACGTGACGCTTGGCATTCAGGCCAAAGAGTTCAATCTTGGTTTCATCAGACCAGGGAATCTTGTTTCTCATGGTCAGAGTCTTTTAGGTGCCTTTTAGCAAACTCAGAGCGGGCTGTCATGTGCCTTTTACTGAGGAGTGGCTTCCGTCTGGCCACTCTACCATAAAGGCCTGATTGGTGGAGTGCTGCAGAGATGATTGTCCTTCTGGAAGGTTCTCTCATCTCCACAGAGGAACTCTGGAGCTCTGTCAGAGTGACCATCGGGTTCTTGGTAACCTCCCTGACCAAGGCCCTTCTCCACCGATTGCTCAGTTTGGCCTTGCAGCCAGCTGTTTCATTTAAGAATGATGGAGGCCACTGTGTTCTTGGGGACCTTCAATGCTGCAGAAAGTTTTTGGTACCCTTCCCCAGATCTGTGCCTCGACACAATCTTGTCTAGGAGCTCTACAGACAATTCCTTCGACCTCATGGCTTGCATGCTCTGACATGCACTGTCAACTGTGGGACCTTATATAGACAGGTGTGTGCCTTTCCAAATCATGTCCAATCAAATGAATTTACCACAGGTGGACTCCAATCAAGTTGTAGAAACATCTCAAGGATAATCAATGGAAACAGGATGCACCTGAGCTCAATTTCGAGTCTCATGGCAAAGGGTCTGAATACTTATGTAAATAAGGAGTAATAGTTGAGGGTTTGATCAAGGGTCTAGATGAGTAGATTTAGGGCTCATTTCTCTCTACATCCAGTAGCCCAGGTCTGACTTGGATTAGGGTTAGACAAAGACTCAGGATGAGGCTGGGGTTTGGTGAAATACCACTTTTTGCGTTAAGTGATGAATATGAAATATTGACATTTTTGTCCGTGTGTCCTGTGTATTCCAGGTGTCCAGTCAGACAGTGACTCCTCGGCGGTGACCAATAAACTGATTGGCCACAGTAATGGGGTTAGACCCAACCGCCCCTCTCTGGCTAAGATACTGCTGTCTCTGGATGGGAACCAGGCCAAGCAACAGGCCCTGTCCCATGTCCTCTCAGCTCTACAGATCATGTATGCCAGGTAAGACTCCTCTCAGTCTCTACAGATCATGTATGCCAGGTAAGACTCCTCTCAGCCCTACAGATCATGTATGCCAGGTAAGACTCCTCTCAGCCCTACAGATCATGTATGCCAGGTAAGACTGCCCTGTCCGATGTGCTAGTGTATGCCAGGTGATGTCAGAGATGCTGTGGTTGGTGTCCTGATTTAATGTGTGTTGTATTGGTGATGTCAGAGATGCTGTGGTTGGTGCCCTGATTTAATGTGTGTTGTATTGGTGATGTCAGGGATGCTGTGGTTGGTGCCCTGATGCCAGCTTGTATGATGGTCCCCATGGAGTGCCCCCCCCCTGACTCCTCCTCAGCATCCAGCCCCGCTGAGGCAGAGGGGCCCCCTGTGCCCCCAGAGGTGGAGGAGAGGGTCAGCCCTAACCCCTGGCAGACAGACAAGAAGGGAGAGGTGAGGAACATCAGCCCAAAATCTCAAATCAACCCCTAGCCCGACCCCCTAGTCCCGACCCCCTAGTCCCTAACCCCTATCCCAACCCCCTAGTCCCTAACCCCTAGCCCGACCCCCTAGTCCCTACCCCCTAGTCCCTAACCCCTAGTCCCTACCCCCTAGTCCCTACCCCCTAGTCCCTAACCCCTAGTCCCTAACCCCTAGCCCGACCCCCTAGTCCCTAACCCCTATCCCTACCCCCTAGTCCCCTAACCCCTATCCCGACCCCCTAGTCCCTACCCCCTAGTCCCTAACCCCTATCCCTACCCCCTAGTCCCTAACCCCTATCCCTACCCCCTAGTCCCTAACCCCTATCCCGACCCCCTAGTCCCTAACCCCTATCCCTACCCCCTAGTCCCTAACCCCTAGTCCCTAACCCCCTAGTCCCTAACCCCTATCCCGACCCCCCTAGTCCCTAGTCCCTAACCCCTATCCTGACCCCCTAGTCCCTATCCCTAGTCCCTAACCCCTATCCCGACCCCCTAGTCCCTAACCCCTAACCCCTAGTCCCTAACCCCTAGTCCCGACCCCCTAGTCCCAACCCCCTAGTCCCTAACCCCTATCCCGACCCCCTAGTCCCTAACCCCTATCCCAACCCCCTAGTCCCTAACCCCTATCCCGACCCCCTAGTCCCTAACCCCTAGCCCGACCCCCTAGTCCCTAACCCCTAACCCTAGTCCCTAACCCCTAGTCCCTATCCCTAGTCCCTACCCCCCTAGTCCCTAACCCCTATCCCTACCCCCTAGTCCCCTAACCCCTATCCCAACCCCCTAGTCCCTAACCCCTATCCCGACCCCCTAGTCCCTAACCCCTAGCCCGACCCCCTAGTCCCTAACCCCTAGTCCCTAACCCCTAGTCCCTACCCCCTAGTCCCTAACCCCTAGCCCCGACCCCCTAGTCCCTAACCCCTAGTCCCTAACCCCCTAGCCCACCCCCTAGCCCTACCCCCCTAGTCCCTAACCCCTAGTCCCTACCCCCTAGTCCCTACCCCTAGTCCCTAACCCCTAGTCCCTAACCCCTATCCCGACCCCCTAGTCCCTAACCCCTAGTCCCTAACCCCTATCCCCGACCCCTAGTCCCTAACCCCTAGTCCCTAACCCCTAGTCCCTACCCCTATCCCGACCCCCTAGTCCCAACCCTAGTCCCTAACCCCTATCCCCGACCCCCTAGTCCCTAACCCCTAGTCCCTAACCCCTAGTCCCTAACCCTATCCCGACCCCCTAGTCCCTAACCCCTAGTCCCTAACCCCTATCCCGACCCCCTAGTCCCTAACCCCTATCCCGACCCCCTAGTCCCTAACCCCTAGTCCCTAACCCCTATCCCGACCCCCTAGTCCCTAACCCCTAGTCCCTAACCCCTAGTCCCTAACCCCCTATCCCGACCCCCTAGTCCCTAACCCCTAGTCCCTAACCCCTAGTCCCTAACCCCTATCCCCGACCCCCTAGTCCCCTAACCCCTAGTCCCTAACCCCTAGTCCCTAACCCCTAGTCCCTACCCCCTAGTCCCTAACCCCTAGTCCCTAGCCCCTAGTCCCTAACCCCTAGTCCCTAACCCCTAGTCCCTAACCCCTATCCCCGACCCCCTAGTCCCTAACCCCTAGTCCCTAACCCCTATCCCGACCCCCTAGTCCCTAACCCCTAGTCCCTAACCCCTATCCCGACCCCCTAGTCCCTAACCCCTAGTCCCTAACCCCTATCCCCGACCCCCTAGTCCCTAACCCCTAGTCCCTAACCCCTAGTCCCTAACCCCTATCCCGACCCCCTAGTCCCTAACCCCTAGTCCCGACCCCCTAGTCCCTACCCCCTAGTCCCTAACCCCTAGTCCCTAACCCCTATCCCGACCCCCTAGTCCCTAACCCCTAGTCCCTAACCCCGACCCCCTAGTCCCTAACCCCTAGTCCCTAACCCCTAGCCCGACCCCCTAGTCCCTAACCCCTATCCCCTACCCCCTAGTCCCTAACCCCTATCCCGACCCCCTAGTCCCTAACCCCTAGTCCCTAACCCCTAGTCCCTAACCCCTATCCCGACCCCCTAGTCCCTAACCCCTAGTCCCTAACCCCTAGTCCCTAACCCCTAGTCCCTAACCCCTATCCCCAACCCCCTAGTCCCTAACCCCTAGTCCCTAACCCCTAGTCCCTACCCCCTAGTCCCTAACCCCTAGCCCCTAGTCCCTAACCCCTAGTCCCTAACCCCTAGTCCCTAACCCCTATCCCGACCCCCTAGTCCCTAACCCCTAGTCCCTAACCCCTATCCCCGACCCCCTAGTCCCTAACCCCTAGTCCCTAACCCCTAGTCCCTAACCCCTATCCCGACCCCCTAGTCCCTAACCCCTAGTCCCGACCCCCTAGTCCCTACCCCCTAGTCCCTAACCCCTAGTCCCTAACCCCTATCCCGACCCCCTAGTCCCTAACCCCTAGTCCCTAACCCCTAGTCCCTAACCCCGACCCCCTAGTCCCTAACCCCTAGTCCCTAACCCCTAGTCCCTAACCCCTAGTCCCTAACCCCTAACCCCTAGCCCTACCCCCTAGTCCCTAACCCCTAGCCCTACCCCCTAGTCCCTAACCCCTATCCCGACCCCCTAGTCCCTAACCCCTATCCCTACCCCAGGATTTCCCACACTTTTTTGGCCCACCACCCCATTTTGGTATTATTTGACACCATGTAAAGAAAGTGATGTGATTAACGGCCAGTGTTAACTTTTTTTAAGTGGGACTATGCCAGTCTACTACATACACCATATATACAGCCGTATGTGGACACCCCTTCACTATATATATACAGCCGTATGAGGACACCCCTTCACTATATATATACAGCCGTATGTGGACACCCCTTCACTATATATATACAGCCGTATGTGGACACCCCTTCACTATATATATACAGCCGTATGTGGACACCCCTTCACCATATATTCAGCCGTATGTGGACACCCCTTCACTATATATATACAGCCGTATGTGGACACCCCTTCACTATATATATACAGCCGTATGTGGACACCCCTTCACTATATATATACAGCCGTATGGGGACACCCCTTCACTATATATATACAGCCGTATGTGGACACCCCTTCACTATATATATACAGCCGTATGGGGACACCCCTTCACTATATATATACAGCCGTATGTGGACACCCCTTCACTATATATATACAGCAGTATGTGGACACCCCTTCACTATATATATACGCAGTATGTGGGACACCCCTTCACTATATATATATACAGCCGTATGTGGACCACCCCTTCACTATATATATACAGCCGTATGAGGACAACCCCTTCACTATATATATACAGCCGTATGTGGACACCCCCTTCACTATATATATACAGCCGTATGAGGACACCCCTTCACTATATATATACAGCCGTATGTGGACACCCCTTCACTATATATATACAGCCGTATGTGGACACCCCTTCACTATATATATACAGCCGTATGTGGACACCCCTTCACTATATATATACAGCCGTATGTGGACACCCCTTCACCATATATTCAGCCGTATGTGGACACCCCTTCACTATATATATACAGCCGTATGTGGGACACCCCTTCACTATATATATACAGCCGTATGTGGACACCCCTTCACTATATATATACAGCGTATGGGGACACCCCTTCACTATATAATATCACGCCGTATGTGGACACCCCTTCACTATATATATACAGCCGTATGTGGACACCCCTTCACTATATATATACAGCAGTATGTGGACACCCCTTCACTATATATATACAGCAGTATGTGGACACCCCTTCACTATATATATACAGCCGTATGTGGACACCCCTTCACTATATATATACAGCCGTATGTGGACACCCCTTCACTATATATATACAGCCGTATGTGGACACCCCTTCACTATATATATACAGCTGTATGTGGACACCCCTTCACTATATATATATACAGCCGTATGTGGACACCCCTTCACTATATATATACAGCCGTATGTGGACACCCCTTCACTATATATATACAGCCGTATGTGGACACCCCTTCACCATATATACAGCCGTATGTGGACACCCCTTCACTATATATATACAGCCGTATGTGGACACCCCTTCACTATATATATATACAGCCGTATGTGGACACCCCTTCACTGTATATATACAGCCGTATGTGGACACCCCTTCACTATATATATACAGCCGTATGTGGACACCCCTTCACTATATATATACAGCCGTATGTGGACACCCCTTCACTATATATATACAGCCGTATGTGGACACCCCTTCACTATATATATACAGCAGTATGTGGACACCCCTTCACTATATATACAGCAGTATGTGGACACCCCTTCACTATATATATACAGCCGTATGTGGACACCCCTTCACTATATATATACAGCCGTATGTGGACACCCCTTCACTATATATATACAGCCGTATGTGGACACCCCTTCACTATATATATACAGCTGTATGTGGACACCCCTTCACTATATATATATACAGCCGTATGTGGACACCCCTTCACTATATATATACAGCCGTATGTGGACACCCCTTCACTATATATATACAGCCGTATGTGGACACCCCTTCACCATATATACAGCCGTATGTGGACACCCCTTCACTATATATATACAGCCGTATGTGGACACCCCTTCACTATATATATACAGCCGTATGTGGACACCCCTTCACTGTATATATACAGCCGTATGTGGACACCCCTTCACTATATATATACAGCCGTATGTGGACACCCCTTCACTATATATATACAGCCGTATGTGGACACCCCTTCACTATATATATACAGCCGTATGTGGACACCCCTTCACTATATATATACAGCTGTATGTGGACACCCCTTCACTATATATATATACAGCCGTATGTGGACACCCCTTCACTATATATATACAGCCGTATGTGGACACCCCTTCACTATATATATACAGCCGTATGTGGACACCCCTTCACCATATATACAGCCGTATGTGGACACCCCTTCACTATATATATACAGCCGTATGTGGACACCCCTTCACTATATATATATACAGCCGTATGTGGACACCCCTTCACTGTATATATACAGCCGTATGTGGACACCCCTTCACTATATATATACAGCCGTATGTGGACACCCCTTCACTATATATATACAGCCGTATGTGGACACCCCTTCACCATATATACAGCAGCATGTGGACACCCCTTCAAATTAGTGGATTCGGATATTTCAGCCACACCCGTTGCTGACAGGTGTAGAAAATCAAGCACACAGCCATGCAATCTCCATAGACAAACATTGGCAGTAGAATGGCCTTACTGAAGAGCTCAGTGACTTTCAACGTGGCACCGTCATAGGATGCCACCTTTCCAACAAGTCAGTTTGTCAAATTTCTGCCCTGCTAGAGCTGCCCCGGGTCAACTGTAAGTGCTGTTATTGTGAAGTGGAAACGTCTAGGAGCAACAACGGCTCAGCCGCAAAGTGGTAGGCCACACAAGCTCACAGAACGGGACCACCGAGTGCTGAAGCGCGTAGCGCGTAAAAATAATCTGTCCTCGGTAGGACTGATCGATTGTTTGGTTGATAGGCTGTTGGTCGACCAATATTTATTTTAGTCGAGCAGTGGCAAAAAAAATTAACTAATCCATTGCGGAGGCAGAGGGGACAACAACCAGTATCACCAGTAGTATATTTACCCTTAATTACCATCGTTAATCATTTACGATGTTTGTTTGGTTACGGTCATTTCTGTTGATGCATTCAATATATTATTATTCCAGTCTGACCGTTGTCATTGTAGGAGTGGACACGTTGTTTGCAGAGCCACAACCTAGGCTACACTTGTGAGAAACTAGTTGTCAATTAATTAATTGTCTTTTGTTTGGAGCGCTCCTGTCAATCTTGAGTAAGGACACGCACCTGATTACGGATGGAAGTAGTCCTGGGCTACCTGGCCTGCGTATAAATGAGCCCATTTGGAGATCTGATACTATTTCTGACTGTCTGAACTCACCATCACTGTGGAGCTTCTCAAAGTAATCTTTTCTTCACCTCAAACACCAAGTAAACAAAGTCTGTTTTTACATCCATTGAGAATGACAATAGTTCCTCAACGAAGCCTATTTGCA